TGTTTATACTCGCGCCTACCATTTCAGCCATTTCGACCAGCCCGGTATGCATCACCTATCCCTAGCCAGACATTAGTATGTTAACCTGTTCCACAGAGGCCAAGGTCCCCGTCCATGTATTCTCACTGTCTGAAAAGGCAGCTCGCGAAGCTCATGCCACCCATCGCGATGCCCTGTTCGAGCACAACCGAGCAGCCATGATGCGTATCTACCCATACGCATTCAGGGTCACCTCATCCAACCTCGACCCAACATTTTACTGGCGACGCGGCGCTCAGCTGGTGGCACTTAACTGGCAGAACCTCGACAAGGGCATGATGCTCAACCACGGCATGTTCGTGGGGACCCACGGCTGGAGACTCAAGCCACCAGGCTACAGAAGCAGCGAAGCATCAACCAGTATAATCCCCCGCGGCAACGTAACCCTCTCGATCGAGGTATATGCCGCACAAGATCTCTCCCTACCCCAGGGTGACCACAGCGGAAAGGGATTCAAACCCTACGTGAACTGCCAACTCCACGTGGAAGAGCCAGAAAGCGACGTCGCCCCGGACCAAGACGACGCCAGCTCCGACACAGAGAAGAGCAGCTACAGGCGATGCACGAAGAGTTCCTCGGGTATAAACCCGGACTTTCAAGGCCAGAAATTGGACTTCCCGACCGTGACGGGGATAGTCGAGGAACTGAGCTTCCTACGGTCAGTGCACATCCATCCCCATTCTTCCCTTCCCTTCCTACAGTACATGTTCTTCCAGTACTGCACATGCAAACGGATTAGATATCAAGTCATGTTCTGTGCTGTATCTCATGCGTCATACTTGTCCGTTGCATACTATGCACATTTTCTGCACGTCCCCTTCGTGTCCCCATCACGTATCATATAACATCACATTTCGTTTCTTCATGCATGCAGGCATACACCCTGCATTGTGATACCAGCCAAAGGAAAGCACATACCCACCACCCCCATGCAAACGCCCGCATGTCCTGAAGGACTGCGTATAGTCCTTTTTCTTTTTTGCTTCTTCCAGGATCCCGTTCGGGCTGCTGATGCGTCTTTGACTTGCGGCTGGACCTACACCATCCTCTCTCGCTCGCTCTCTCTCTCTATCTCTCTCTCCCTCCCTCCCTCCCTCCCTCCCTCACACACGCTCACGCACCCTTTCTTTCTTTGTTGTCATCCACCTGCACGCAGACACAGGCGCGCACGCACAGGCGCACGCGCGCATGTCCTCGTGTCCTAATATGATTACTTGAATATCCATGCACAGGTCCCACTGACGCCACTTTTTTATTTCATTTAGGGTCAAGATCAAAGACGATGAGATCGGTCGGGATCCGTTGGCTGCGTGGGCTTGCATCCGGCTTGACCGGTTGCGGGAGGGGTATCGGCTTGTTCACCTTCATGATTGCTCAGGTGAGAAGAATGGGGGTGTGTTGTTGGTGAAGATCTCCAAAGTAGTTACTTAGACGAGAGGGAGAGGGCTGTGGAGTGGAGATTGATTCTAGCGCAACATTGGAGACATATTGTGAGATTTTGGTCGGTCGCTGTAGATGTGATAGACAAGCTACTACTGTACTGTATAGTTCCTGATCTTCGATCTGGCGCTCGGGCAGGCTATCGGGCGTGTCGTACGGCTCATTTCCTATATTGGAAGGTGGCCAGCGAGAGTGACTTTGGGAGTCGAGTCTGACCAATCTTCAAACCCCGGTGTCACGTACATATGATTCCGAGTAAGGTGAGGAGGGATCTGATCTCGATTGTGGGAGGGTAATCGCACAAGTCATAGCAAAGAAATCGTAAGGCAATTGTTACACCGACGGATTCGCTTTGTACTGCATGCGCGACGGGTGGACGGGTGGATAGGTGCACAATTGGAACAACGGCTTAGGCAGATAACCGTCCTTGAGAGAGGATCACTAACCCTGGTGTCCTGTACTGTAGTGTCGAGTGTGTCGTCTGAAAAAAGGTACTAGCGCCGAGCGGGGAGCGGATTACGGGCGATTCCTCATTCCAGCTAAGAGACACCCTCATTAGCCTCATTAGCGTGGAAGGCTGTCATTATCTTTGAGGGCTAGCTGCGTCATGCGCGGCATCGGTGCAGTGCAGGCCTGAAGGATCAAAGAGAGTCGGGCATATGTGCAGAACCTGGATGCTTGCAGATTATGTGCATGGCACCATCACAATCTGGCTAAACATGCATTCATGTATCCAGGTGTGAGATCATAAAAGTGGCGGTGACCGGGGTGAACAAAGAATTGTTGAGGCCAAAATAGGGATATCAGGGCGAGAAAAAGAACGTGGGGTTGGATAGTCCACAATTTTCCCACGCAAATAAGAACGGCATGCATGCGAGCCGCTGAACCCACTATATGTGACAGACTCATGTCGGTGAGACCGAGGTGCTCCGAAGTAATTGAGAGTGAAGGGAAGGCCGCGTCCACTCAGGGAGCGATCAACACGCCAAGCGACATGCATCAGATTGATCAACAGCCTGGTGGGGTCACAAAGACCACAGTTGATCGGTAAATCCTCCGATAATAAAGTTGCCTGTTGGAATCGCACCACTGCGAGAGGTCGTGTCTATAGGTCGGCCCCCAGGTCGGCGAACTGGCAAATATCAGACGGTTTGTCGCGCAATTTGGACACAATTTCCAGTTGTGAGTTTGCCAGTTTGTGAATTTCGCAGTGCGGAGGGGTTCATGCGTGACGTCGAACAACCGTGAGTTTGCATGCATATTCACAGAGCCCATCAGGGCAGCAAACAGCCAAAATGCAACCCACCAATAATCGGGGCTGATCGCTTTTTTGGTGCTGGTCATCCTTGTCTGTCGGCAAATCACAGCGCTCGGGCGTCGCGCTGGGCCCATCTTCGATCTTCTCTGGGGTGCTGGGGTCGATACGTCAACTTTGAATTGCTGTGAGGGTCATTCCCCCTACTTAGTTGCCCCCCCTTTTCAGGGGTTCTTTACTACATTGCAAGTCAATTTGCTCTGGCTCGCGCTCAAACTTCGCAGTGTACTCTGTAACTGCTGATCCTATTCTTGAGCACAATCAAGAGTCGCAAACATGTTAAGCTGGAGGCCTCGGGAGGTACCGACAGTAATGTGATTGGCTTTCAATGAAGTAGTGGCGCGAAACCGACGAAGTGGACTACTTTTTTGGCTCGAATCCCTAAAGCCAAACCGTGCATGACGGCAGCGATCCATCAGCCCTCACTGGCTAATCAAAAGATCCTACATGTAAACTATGAAAGAGTCCTTGAGCTTCCACACAGGTGGGATATATTATTTTTTATTTTATTTTCTTGCCTTTCCCTTTCATCTCATTTCCTTACTTTCCCACTTAGCCTATGCCAATCCAATCGCGGGGCCCTGTGAACTAGATCTCTCCCTGGAACCTTATAAGGACCGTCGACGCCTCACTTCTTTGCCTTATCTTCAGACTTCGCTCAGAATATTTAAATCACGCCTGTTCGCAATCGTCTAAAGTCAGAGTACTCTATTTACCGTTCCCCTTGGCCAGAATACCCTCTAGCACTATGACTTCCTCACAGTGTGCCACGGCGTGCACAATCCCTGTTGTCAACAAGGTTCGTCTATCTCCCGCAGTGCATGTGTGGTACCTGTACTTTTGTGTAGAGATGCTTACACTTCGAAGATGCCTGGTGTGCGATGCCCCAACTGTCAAGCTCAGGGGAAAGAGGTCTGGGTGATCCCAGGCAAGAGCTGCCATATCTGCCACACTCCTTGTGCATGAGACTAGGCGTTCTACATATCACTCACTCGAGGGAAGCTATCCTCGTCTCCCTCGACACAAGAACTTCTGTGCGAACATGCACATTCCTCTTTTCTTCATTTGACTCTCTTTCCGGTTCAAAACCACATCATTCCGGATACTTTCCATCCAGGCCACAATTTCCATGCGCCCAAAAACACGAAAAGGACAATGGAAAAGGCCCTGGAGACAGCATTCCAGCCCTGGAGTTTCTTGCGTCTCAATCAGCGAAAGGCGCAATAGGCTCATACTACGGTGTCACTTGTTTGTTTGCTTTTTTCTTTTTATATAACGAGACATGAAAAGGGTCATGTTTGCTTTTTTATCTCGCATGTATTGTTAACAAATATAATATCGGGATCCAATGTCTCTGAATCGGGCCGAGTCCCACCACGGTTTTTCTCCGCCATTCAGAAGTACGAGAAATACTTTATTCGATCCTGGTCAATTCGCACTATCGGTAATTATGTTCGATGGTTCGTCTTGTACTTTTGTCTTGCATAGATGGATCCCTTGGCTCCCACGTGATCTTTATCCCGCGTGACATCATTCCCCCCTTGGCCATACAGAAGGGTGGCGTTGATCATTAACACACTTCCATAGTAGAACATATTTCATCCCAAGGTCTCTATTGAATCTGATCACCTTCTCTAATCCAAGACGAAATGTCAGAGAAATACCCCATCGGCACTCCCAAGGAGAGCGAGCAACTCGTTAGCGAGTGGGGGTTCAAACATGTATTCACCTGGTCAGATGGAAGGTATGAGTAGTTCATTGTCCATATCGCTTCTACCGCCGATCGAGACATCTATACACTAACCATCTCACTAGCGGCGCGCATTATTCACCACACTCCCACGGCGGGCTAACAACACATCTCATCCGCCGGGGCTCTTTCACAATCACATACCCAGATGATAATGCCAAATTGTATAACGGCGAAGTTAAGAAAGAGACATTCGGTGTCGGAGAGCGGATCGATGTTCCTGCTGGTAAGGTCCACGAGGTTTGGATTGGGGATCAGGGGTGTGAATATGTTATTGGGGAGTTACTAGAGTAGTATCTTCGAGCTACGGCGTGCTTGATGAATATAACGGTGACAGACGGTTGATTTAATTCTATGTATGAGCCCAGCTCTTGTATGTTCTATTTTTATATCTTATCTCATCTCCGAGACTGTGTCGTCTTTTAGATCCCATGTATGCCGACTGTAAGGGTATATCTAGTGCAAAAATTTGAAATCGACTCTGTGGAGATGTTAGCATACACATTCATAAATTTGGGAGAGCATATGGAGTATGGCATACCTCTTGTTGCCAAGGTCTTTGTTTTCGGCGACGTATCGCTGTCTCTCTTCGCTGGACATGTTGTCCCAGATTGAGGCATTTTTCCTGTAAGAGAGGGAAAATTAGCATCGAGTACTTTGTCATCAGACCAATTGGGGGATGTCAACATACTTGTTTCGCCACACATAGTAGTACTTGGCAATAATGAACATCACCATACTCCAGCACGCGATGCCAATAAGTACCTTGTTACCCGTACGGTACAAGGGTTTATCATTTTCACGGTAGATCTGATATAATAGTTAGTAAAACGGACCCGAACCAGAAAAGAGGCAGGTGGGACTCACATTGTTACCAATGATGTTACTGGCTTGAACCATCATATTGTAAACCGCGCTCGCAACCGTCCGAGTCCTCACAGAACCCGCATTACGAGACGTAATAGCCACAATAATAGCATGCACATAAGGCATAGCAATCAAAAGGACCAAAAGAATCCAACGAGCCCAAGTACTAGAGTCTGCGGGAAGAAGCTCGAGGGCAATCAAAAGCACCAAAGCCCAAATCTCAGCCCCAACACCAAGCAACAAGCGCTGGTTGAAACGCTCAGAAATCCAAGTCCACGACAGCAAGTTGATAATGAAGATCACGTAGGCTGGGATGGTCAACAGATTGGTATGGAAAGTGCTGAAACCAAGCGACTTCAGTTCCAGACTGATATAAGATGTCGCAGGGGTATTGGGAATACACCATGACAGACCGAGTAGGTAAATTGGCCACATATCATAGTCCTTCAGAGCCCGCCATAGCAACTTGGGGGTAACCGGCTGGCGATTATGCATACTTCCCTTGCTAGGATCATCACGCAGCACGCGATTAACCATGATCTTCTCCTCGTGCTCACTGAACCATCCCTCCTTTCCACGGAATCGGCCTGCGGTTTGGGTAGGCGATGCCGGCATCCAGAAAGCAGCGACAATACCAATCAGCCCGGTGATTAAGCCTTCGAGGGCAAACAGGTATCGCCAACCACCGGTACCGTCTGACATGCGGATATGCAGGAAACCAAATGCCAAAAAGGCACTGACTATCGAGGTCGCCTCGTATGTTACCCAGAAGTAACTGAGGCGAATTGGAAGTTCCTTGGACTTGTACCAGAAGGAGAGGAAAAGGATGGTGTCGGGGATGAAACCACCCTCGAGAAGACCAAGCATAGCGCGAGTCGCGAAGAAGCCACCTTTGCCCTTGATAAACGCCTGGCAGGCGGCAACGAGACTCCAGCTTACCATCTGGATGGGAATCCAGCGATCCGGTCCGAACCATTTTGACAAGAGCTGTGACGGGAGTTCGGCAAAGAGGAACGTTAGGTAGAAGATTGTTTGGCCGGTGTTGTAGTCGTTTGTGTTCATGCCCAGGTCACCTAGCATGTTGTCTGATGTGGCTTGAACAATGTTACCGCGGTCTAGTTGGAGTGCGAAGAAAGTGACACAGGCGAATGTGCATACTCGCCAGTCAATCTGGAAGCCGGTCAATTATTCGAACACAAAAAGAATATCTGATTCCAGTAAAGATTTATCATACCTTCCGCACAACCGCCTTCTCTTCTGCCTCCGTCCACTCAAAATCAGGGTCCCAGCGGTGAATACCCTCATATTCCGGAATGGGCTTATAGAAGCGAGGATCCTCGGTTGTATCGAATGTAGAGTCGATCTGCTTGGAATATGCGACAGGACCATCAATGGACGAAGACGAAGACTCTGTCGACGAGACTTTGCCCGTGGCCTTGGAGTCCAGGTCCTCGTTAGGGACCGTGCTCTTGACTTCTTCGACCGTCATCTTGGATCTAGATCTGGGATGGTGGCTAGGGTCAGAGATGCAAGAAAATTGTACTGGATGGGAAGTAAGCTCCTATAAAGGGAAGATTTCAGATACGATATTGCGTCCTTCTATCACGCCATTTTGGTGGCAGAATCTTGTGTTAGCCACGCCTCCATCTGCAAGTGTACCCACGAGGAACTACGACGCAATTAGGAAGGTGCCGGGTGCGTGCAGTAGTGGGTGTCGCGCGCAGGTGCAATCTATAGACTCGATTGCGACCAACCCTGGGTCCCACATGGTATGTTTTTGTCTTGTTTCGGACACCTTGTTTCGAGCATCGCTTCAGAATTCTGGGTCCTCGAATTGACGTGAATTGTATAGGGAGATACGCGTGTCGATCGAAAGTATCAGGAAATTTCCAAGAAAAGCATCGGATACCGAGCAATCAGAGCTTGAGATTTGGTTAAAAAATAAAGAGCCGAAAGGGTTGACCACTTGCATCTCATCTTGGTTGGATCACGCAAGTTAAGTCCCGGTGACGTGAGGTTGGTGTGGTCGGAGCCCTACCGAGGGACGTCTCGCCATGTATAGACTTGAGCTTCATTACATCGACCCCCTAATGCCTAATTTTAGTTTGGTTTTGTATGTTAGATATACTTGCAATTCAAAATCGGGATCTACTTACTGTTCTCTATTAATAAAGGGCCAAATAACTTGTTAAAAAAGTGAAGTTGGTGAGGCTATCACGCCATCAACAGGGAACTTGACACCAAATCTGATAAGAATCACGACTGTGAGAGGACGAAGTTCAGCACGTCATCTACAACGAGGATAGCGAAGTTGCTCAACAGTCAACCCCGCAGTCGGAAAGTCAACTGGCAATTCTTCGAGTTGTCGTTCGATCAGACATTTCAACCCCGCAAACATTGCGCAATCCTCGGATAGAAAGTGCCGAGTCAGCTATATATCGATGTAATCCCTGATATGTGAAGGAACATTAGACAATTCTGCTTCATATCCAAAGCCAAGGCACACTAGAAGTATACAACATGGCTCCAGGCCTCACAGAAACAGTCGCCCTCCGGGCCCCAACAGTTGCGTCTCCATTGAAGGCTGACGCCGGTCATAACAAGGAGAACTTGATCGGCTACAAGTACGAAAAAGAGCGAGAGATCAAGGGAACAGACAAGTTGCCTCCCGCCTCGTACCCTAACTATCTTCCTGTCTGGGACAACGAAACTGAGAGGTATATACATCCCCAAAGCAATGCAAATCTTCCCCATCACTAACAATCCTACAGATATCCTCCTCTGGAGCCTTTTGAGCACTACGACCACGGGAAAGATGCCGATGCCTCCTTCCCAGACCTATTGCCAAAAGGCCAAGTCGAAGTCGACGAGATCACACCCTTCATCGGCTCCGAAGTGCACGGCGTGCAACTAAGCCAACTTTCGGACAAGGGCAAGGACCAGCTCGCTCTCTACGTAGCACAGAGACGGGTAGTAGGTATGTGATATGCAACTACTCTCAACACCCACCCAGCTCCCAACCCTAACATATAACCCAGCCTTCCGCGACCAAGACTTCGCCTCCCGCCCAATCCGAGAAGTAGTCGACTACGCCGGCTACTTCGGCCGCCACCACGTCCACCAAACCTCCGGAGCACCCAAGGGCTTCCCAGAAGTCCACCTAGTATTCCGCGGCGCCGACGACCGCACTGGCGCAAGTTTCTTAGAACAGCGCACTAACACCATTACCTGGCATTCGGATGTTACCTTCGAGAAACAGCCCCCGGGCACAACATTCCTATATGTTCTCGACGGCCCAACGACCGGCGGCGACACTCTATTCGCCGATATGGTGCAAGCCTACAAGCGACTGTCACCAGAATTCCGGAAACGTCTGCACGGATTGAAAGCCGTGCATTCTGGTCTCGAGCAGGTCAACGCTAGTTTGAACGGTGGCGGTATTGCCCGTCGCGATCCTATTACCTCTGAACACCCTATCGTCCGGACACACCCTGTTACCGGCGAGAAGGCGCTTTATGTGAACCCGCAATGTAAGTCTTCGTATCTCACAGCATGGCCATCCCTTGATCGGAAACGGACTAACGGTGTGAATAGTCACCCGCTTCATCGTCGGCTACAAGAAAGAGGAGTCAGACGCTCTCCTAAAGTTCTTGTATGATCACATTGCTCTGTCTCAGGATATCCAAACGCGTGTCCGCTGGAGGGCTGGTACCGTCGTTGTTTGGGATGTGAGTTATCCTCCGGATCTGATATGCTGGTTCACCATATACTGACTCTCGCAGAACCGCGTGGCATGCCACTCGGCCGTTTTCGACTGGGAGGATGGCCAGCGTCGGCATATCGCCCGTCTCACGCCGCAGGCTGAGCCTCCTTATGAGACGCCTTTTGAGGGTGAGGAATAAGCGATGAATGAGTCGCTGGAAGACTCTTATATAACGAGTGAACTTGCGCATGATGTTAAAACCAATTCGAGATATGTATGTATGTATGTATGTATGTATGTATGTATGTACCTAATGAAGCTGCCTAGTGCGTTTGACTGCGCTATGCAGGTCGGTGCACCCGGACTGGAGTACAGAATCTATCGTTATGCCTTAAATCCTGTAGATAATGACCGGCTAGTTCCTAGTGCTTTCAAGCGACCGTGTGACCAATTGTTGCTTTGGTTGATATTGTGTTGACCATGCCAGCCCGTTTCTCTACGGGTGTCTTGTCCTCAAGATGAAGTTTCCTCTTTTCTTCTTGCTTGCTCTCTATATATCGAAAGCAGCCGGTTTCGGTTTATACGGCTGTTATAAGCGGCTCATATACTAGTAAGCCTACTAGACAGTGGGTATAAGAAACAGAGAATCGCGAAGGCCTGCTCGAGACACAGAGACCGCAAGGTGGTCGGTCCGGTCAGTGGAGGTCGATGCAACCTGAGACAATTTCTCTATTATACCTCAGACAACCAGGAGAAGACAACCATGCGGACAAGAGCAAGCTCCAAAACGCAGACCTCGCTAAGGAGATGACTGCACTCGACGATGTTGCTTCTAAGCTCTACAGGGCTGATGTCGGAAGGAATTACCAACCCGGTCGCATCTACGAGATATCTGATATAGTTGCAGCACCTATGGATTGATTCGGAATCCGATCTAGCTAGGAGCTTGATCAGCTCTATAAGTCCCAAATTTCCTCAATACTGGCCTGCAATGATCCTTCATCTTCCATTTCTTTCCTTCCAAGTCTCTCTCGAGATGGCATCGCCGAGAAATAAAGCAAGATCGACGTCACCAATTCCGCAACCCATTCCATCGTATGGACCTTTATTGGATCCCGGTTGAACCGAGTCATAGAGCCGGACAAGCCGGGACCGATATTGAATGAAAATATCATGAAGTCTGGCCAGGGAGATACTAGGGTACATTAATCTTTTATTTCCCTAAACCATCTTGACTTCCGTGCAGCATAGGAGCGGATTGTCTTCCAGCAATCCAGTCTTAAATTCCCGGTCAAGACGAGCGTAGTCCGCATCATCCAGCATCTTTGCAAAATGCCATATCGACGGATACCACACGAGGGCAACATCCTCCCAGTGAGAATCGTTACTTCCCTCTTCCAGTTTTGAGGACCAAGATGTGGTGCCAGAAGCGAAACATATTGCATCGCTACCATATTTCGGTCCGACTGTGCGCCCAAAACCAGCAACGTATCCTTCCAGGTATGATAGTCTCTTGCCTGGGGCATACGAAAGCAGATTCAGAACCACAACCGGGCCTTGATGGGACGAGCCAAAATCTTGGGTAAAACTTTTGACTGTCACTCCATCCGTGTCCTTCTGTGACCCAAGGAGCCTAGAACGGGTGGACAATGACAGCTTCAGATCATCTGGTGAAACAGATGCTTCCAAGTCGCTGGGGTCCTTAGCAGTCCACCCGGAGGGGAGATGAGGTTCTCTAGCAAGAAGTTGTTCAGCCACCACCTCCGGCTTCTGAGCATCATCCGCAACGTTTGCGGTGATGGACCAGCTCGATGCAATCTCGAGGCCTAGCTGCTCTGCTATATCTTTGGGTCCCACAAGAAGATAGTCCCATTTGGTCATGATGTTCCCGGTTCCAGTGAGAGCCTCCGCAGACAACCGCGGCTCTAGAAGCCAGTGGTGCACTTTTCCGACCCAAGTTGGTTGACTATCTGGGTTAAGGTCCCTGACCTTTGACGCTAGCACTTCCGGCTCTATAGGTCGAGAGAGGGAGATAAGGTGAAACGTGGTTGGTGCCATTGTAATAGCTAGGATAGATAGTTTATACGCTGAGTTGAAAGAATGCTGTCAACGTAAACTACCTCCAAGATCCGCCGTAGTAATTCTAAATAAACATGATTCGACATGACTCATCTTATTATATGCAATTCAGAGTATGACTCAAGCGCCCCGTTGCATGACGCTGACCGCGGGTTTAGCCTACCTTATGTCCGTCAGCTGACCATGAGTTTAGCCTATCTTTATGTCCGTCAGATAGAGGCCCGTAGAGAGACATATCACTGGTGGAATGAATTCTCCTTTATTATCATCTAGCTAGTCTTGTAGCACGGTGCACAGTCACTCCTTAGGGAAGGAGTAGGAATATCGACCCGAAGTCACACGATACGGCTAGTGATTCCGCTCTTAGGCGACTGTGTTCGAGCCCTAGGGACGAGAACGAGATGGCGTCGGATCTAGCCGCATCTCCGGTAAAATGAAAGGGGCAGTGCGTCGGGCTGCAAGCCAAGGCGCAGTGGTCGGTGGGGGCGAGAGGAAAGAAAGGGGGCGGCGACAAGTGCAAGATAGAGGAGTTCCAGGGAGAGGAAGAAGGAGAAGAGATGCCAAAAGGGCGAGGTCGGGTCTTTTATGTCGAGGCGACGCCGGCAGAGGATACAAAACAGCGTATTTGGCACTAAGCCTACAAAAGGCAAAACTAACTGCATATAGTAATTCACAGGTCCGCTGTTTACATATTCAATCTTTATCCCGCCTAAACCGACTCAAAAGCCCAATATCCCACTCCCCAAATCTCCTTGCAGAAAGCGGCAGCATGCTATTGCTCCCCCGCAGCGCAGTAGACAAAGCCTCGAAAATCATAGACGGCAATTCCAACTCCTCAACCGATAAAGGCGACGGATTCCCAATCTCGGGATGAAGCAATCCGTCCACATCAGCGCAATCCTGGTAAAAGACTTTCATAGCCTGTTGTGCCATGATACTACGGCCCGAGCTGGAATTCGAGTATCGCATGTCTGGATTGAAGACCCAGAGCTGGAAGTGAATATGTACGTTAGCGGGTCGTGTTTTGTGGGAAGTGGGAATGTGATAGGCTTGGGCTGGGAGTGAGACTCACTACCAGGCCGGTTTTCTGACCACAATGTACCACGAATCGGCGTGCGCTTTCTCTTTCGATTAATTCGAGTAGTTGGGCTGCGATAATCATTTCTGTCGGTTGGGATTTCCATTCTGGGGTTCCTGTGTCGGAATCGCTGGCCGGGGCGGTGTTTAATGAGACGTTTGCTTTTAGGAGACGCCATCCGTTGGCGATGGGGTCTTCCATGCCGATTATTGCGTTGCAGGTTGCGCAGTCAAGTGTTCTTTGGTTGGAAGGTTGGATCGTCTGTGTGGTTGATTTTTGTTCTTCTTCGTTGCCCTATAAGATGCTGCTGTTAGCAGGCCATTGCATTGCACAATACAGAGAACAAAACTAAAGCGAAATCAGAGATAAAAAAGTTATATTGCATTCAAGTTCAAGTTCATCGTTTAATAGACATGATCCACATCACATTGCCAAAGACGAGTACAGGTATGTACCTCAACTAATCAAGCCAGCTCCACTGATCCAAAACCGGCATTGAAGTTACGAGGACGCTTTGAGTCACGAAACAATAAGATGGCAGCCTGGGACGAGTCCATGAACGCGAATGACAAAAGCGAAATCCATCTGCGAGAGAGGATAACTGCGATTGTTGCTCGTGAATATGGACAGGTGCTGGACATGCCATCGTCTTGAATCGCAGGTACACAAAGTGCATTTCGTTTCATCTTGGGCAATAGTATCGGAGACCACCTCACTGAGAACTAAGCGGCCTCCTTCTGGTTGCCCGGGTCAAAAAAGCAAAAACGGAAATTAAGAACAGGGCGAGTCATGCTGCAAACGCAAACGAGAGTTTTGTCAATCTCACCTTTTTCAATGCTATGCAGTCTGATTCGGCAAGAAGGAAAGTAGCGACGTCAATAAGGACTGTTCCTGGTATAGCCACGACTTGACTATCGGCTCCATATCCTTTCGTATGAGCATGTTGGTCTTCAATCTGGAGCGCAACATCTTTCGCATCTTTTTCATGGCCTTCATGGGGGTCGGGTTTATGGCAATGCCAAAAGTCCATCATTTCAGCCCAGTTTCCACTGGGAAGATCCTTCCAAACCCAGCCCACGGTAGAGGCCTGGGAGTGCTCATTTTGATCTTCATGATTGGCGGGAGACAATAAGAAAGGCGTCGCACATTCACGACATCGAATCCTCGTTAAATGCGACATCTCCACAGCTGTCCAGGGCACAAAATCATCAATTAGTTCATCCTGAGGCGCCAGCGCCTCGTCTTTTGGATCGACCTGCATTCGGAAAGAATAATCATGGCTGCTATTCGAGCCAGAAGCAGATGTTGTTGCTGGGTCAGCTGTAGCATTCAAACCGCGCCGAGACGCGTCACTAACACGCGCTGGCAATTTAATCGTCTCAACCACATCCTGGAATGGCTTTGGTAATGAGACTATCACTGCTTTTCGTGACTCTGAGAGTTGGATATCTGGTCGGATACCGTTGAATTCTGGACGTCCCGGGAGGGAGACGTAGAGGGTTATTTGGCGGATGTTGGGTAGGAACTCTGCGTGGAGATACAGGGGTACGTTGATGTCCTGCATCCCTGAGGTTCTGTCTGCGTCCTGGTGAGAAGGGACGGAGATGCTTGTTAGTCGAGAGAGTGGTTTCTGTGCACGATTCCGAGCTCTCAAGGTTCCTGGATGGTGTTTGATGCTCCGCGTGTATTGTTTGTCTTTGGTGCAAACTGCACAAACATCTATTTTGGCAACTCAGTCACGTGCTCCATACAACGATGCAAACATTTGGAGTTTCGATCACAACTAGGCAGGTAGAAATAAGAAAATGATTTGGCATTTTACAATGACTACCTTACCCATACCATGCAATCAATGACGTGGGATCTATAATTGGCATGGAATTTTAGATGCATAAAAAGAAACAAAAAGACCCTACAATTCGTCCCCAACAAAATCCCCCCTCCATCCTTGGAACTCATCAGTAAACCTCACAGCAGCCTTAAGGAAGAAACTTTCCGAATCACCCCAAGTCAAGGACAATTCTTTCAATGCGCGGATGACCTTGACGAACTGTGCATCTGTCGAAAACTTCCCCTTCACAGCCTTCTCTGCCGTCCATTTCCAGTCCCTTCCCTTGAGATCATAACCAAGAATTCGGTCTGAATCAATCTCAGGTCGTAGCTGGGAGATGTAGATCGCGACGGTGGTCAGCCACCACTGGCGCAGAAGTGGAATCTGGAATTGTGCAGGGATTAAGGGTAGCACCACACGCACGGCATGGCTAGTTGTGAGAAGAACAGCAAAAAGGGAATTGTATGACCCGCTTCTGGCATTCTCTGGGTCGGATGTTCCAACAAGCAATGCAGCGGCAAGTTCTTGGCTCTCACGGAACTGTTCCATTGCGCTTTCGATTTTCCATGCACTCCAGTGCTTGAGCAGCAATGGATTGCGGGATGTGATAAGGGACTTGAGGTTTTGACTGTCTGGCTTGTTGAACAGATTGTCTAACTCTTTATCTTGGCGGACATTTTCCAAGATTTCGAAAAGAGACTTTGATTCGTATGTTGCCTTGTTCAGTGGCGCTGCATCTTCCAGATCCTTGAACGTACTGCTGTGGCAGGTTGCAGCAAGGCCGAGGGCTTCCATTGCCATCTCGCGACTGGAGACCTCAAAGGCGTGGGCAAGATGAACCAAGGGGGCTCCAACTAGAACCTGGTTAGTTAATTCAAAATTTGGGAAATAGAATGCCCTTCAAGAAGGAGGGGAACATACGGCCACCCATAATAGAATTAAACATAGGCTCTTTGTCATCAAACAGGTACTCAGCAACGACTTCTCTCCAGTCATAGCCAAGGCGAGCTAGCTCATCTTCAAAGAAGTTCACAAATGCACGGTCATATCTATATCAACGCGTGTAAGTATCCAGTTGGATCTCAAAAGAAAGAGAAAGGCCGGCCCAAGCCAAGGGTACTCACTCTCGACATCCCAAATAGCCCCTCCAATCAAGATGAGTAACTTCAGCAGGCGAATCCTCCCACTTGACCTGAGAATTAATATGATCTTCATAAATCCGCCCTAGATCCTCATCACTCGCGCCTTGCAGAAAAGAGGCGCATAATAGCTAAAATATGGATCAGCGTCATCGATCAAAAATGACAGTATTATCCCGGAAGGGCTAGAAGATACATACTTCAGGCAACTGACTCGGCAAATAGCGCTGCACAAACAAACCATGCTCAACATGATTCAATTTCAATAAGTGTTTCAAGGCCCGGCCAGGTTTGTCCTGGGCAGTCTCGCTCTCATGGATCTTGACTGGGCGAAGGTCGATCGCGCCCTTCTTGGAGAAGAGTGATAGGCCGAGTTTCGGTAGTGATGGCCATGAGATTGTGAACATTGTGGATTCAGTAGTGTATAGGTGTAAATGGTGGAGGTTTGGCTGGGATTGTTGGGAATTGTCGCCTGAGGCAGAATACTCTTATGACATAATTTGGGTTATCAATCTGGTCACGTGAGGTGGTTATTTCTGCAGTGGACAGTTGACTGGCCCGGACTACAAGGTCAGCTCTCAAACACGCCAAACGTCATTATTTGGCCTTGTGGACTGTCTGCAGATGTGAGGGACCTGGTCAATGTCCTAGTACCTATTCAGACGTGAGACAGATCTACATTATCCTAAAAGAAAGCTTGAGAAGAAACATAACATATTTGATCTATGAATTACAATTTGCATAAACTACTCCGTGTTTCCAGCCTAATCCTTGCGAGGCTCAATAACTGGAATCGGCTGCTCTGACTGGGGATCAACTTCTCCAGCCAGAACTTCAACTTCAAAGCGAGGACCGACGAAGTTCTTGCGTCCGTCCACAAACCACTGGATAGTGGAAATGATAAAAACGATACCGAAAGCAGCAACACAGTAGTCTGTAAGGTCATGAAGTCAGCATTTCGTCCTGGGGATAGGAAAGAGCACGGGAAACCCACTCATGCTGCTACCAGTGGCGGGTAGTTCAGGGGGGAAGAGGAAGAGAATAGTAGTGAGGGCAATGTAAGCCAATGAGATCTGGAAATATACAGTCAGTCGCAGTCCAAAATTAAGGACGGGATAAGCCACATACAAGGTTCAAAGTCCAGCCAACAATGTTGGGCAGAACAAAGGAGCGCTCCGGGAGCATTCTCCGTCCACGAAGGCAGTTGACTGCAATCGGCATTCCATATGAGAGGTCGAGAAGCACCACTGATGCTGAGACAATAGCGTTGAAAGCGCTTGAAGAGCCCAGGAAGATGAGACCGAAGATAGTCACAAGGGCCAGGTTAAGGTAGAGCGAGTTCAAGGGGACCTTGAGCTTGGGGTGGACCCGAGAGAAGAATGGGGATGCAGGGAGACCGCCGTCACTGGAGTAGATGTCAGCATATGCCGGCTCGGGAAATTATTGATGGATGACGTACCGTGCAAATGCGTAGATCATGCGGCTGCTGGTGGTCATGATAGCCGTGGCGGCGAACAGGACACAGACGAGAGGGAAGCTGGAAGGCCTGTGAGTTTACCGGATACCAGAACTGGGAAGAGGATGTTCTTACATCAACAGGCAGATGGCGCCAGCGTTGCTAGAAGTAGCATTCTTCAGGATCTGGAGGAGGGGAGTCGCAGCAGATGAGATAACTTCTTTGATATCACCAGCCACGAAGAGCAGGACAACAAGGAAGATTGTACCAGTGACAGTACCGATGCCAACACAGGCAATCATAATCTTAGGTCCCTCAATAGATGGGTTGGGGATTTCTATAATCCATTAGCTTCGTGCCCGGTCAATTTCAGAGTTCAATTTCTCGAAAGTACCTTCAATCATGTGGGCAACACCGTCCTGATATATCGTTAGCTTTGTGTTCAATTTTAACTTTCACAGAGTACTCACAAATCCAGTAACACCGAGACCTCCTTGCAAGAGCTGTGAAGATGTTAGATTTGATCAGATGTCTCTACAACGCGGAACATACCCCGAGCAACCAGGCAACACCGTCAGGCCCTATAAAAGTCAGCTGGGGAACCGTAAGAATGGCAAGATTGTATACTTACATCCAGTTTCATTGATGAAATCAGTAAAGACGAACCTGTATATGTCAGTCTATTGGTTCAGTGTTCCATCCGCAAGATCAACATACTTTCCAGAGTTATAGTTCGGCGAAGCGCATGAAAGCACAGTGATGCAAATGACAGCGAAACCAGTCAAGGACCAGATGACTGAGAAAGTCAGTAACAGACCATCTGTAAAGAGTTTATTCGAAAACTCACAGGCACCCTTGGTAACATAAGGCAGGACATTGTTCATTAAAGCGTTAACAAGGAAAGCCACAATGTTGTAGCCAAGGTAAATCAAAAACTGGTGCCAGCGCTGAGGGCTGTAGGTCTAACATTGAGGGTCAGTGAAGGGTTCGAAGCCTGAGATCAAAAACAACATACCGGATTCATCAGGGAGATAACACCGAGGATAAGCTGACTGCCCAGCAGACCACCGGTCGCGACCAGCGCAACCCATCCAGAGCAATTGACCCAGCCAGTGATCCAGGACAGGATTGGCATCCAGCTTCTCCAGGAGGTGACAGCAACCCAGTGGTATTGGCCTCCGGCAGTAGGGTAAGCGGAAAGGAACTCGGCCAGGGAAGCGGCCATACACAGGTTACAGATACCCGCTGTAACCAAGCCTGCCAAGATTCATGTCAGTTCTGTGCAATAGTACCGATTCGAAATAGATGCATACCCCAAACAACACTCGCGCTGCCTCCGGAGGTCAGACTGAGGGACAGACTGGCTGATAATGCGGTCCATGACTGTGCGATGTCAATAACCGATTCTCTTGCTGTTCAGCATGCTGGTTGAGTCACGTACATTGAGAATAGCAAAAGCAAGACCGAGCATGGATCTGTCACACAGAATCACGGTTAGCCCATTCCGAGATGTCGATCAGTTGTAGGAACTCACATCAATGAGTAGCTACGCTTCAGCTCAGACTTATGGCCCATTTGGGCCAGCTGCGCGTCGTCATTGTTGTATTCCTTCTCCATGGTGAATGCTCAAATCAAAGCAAGGAGGATAAAAATGAAAAGTGAAACCGAGGAGCAGGCAGAATAAGAATGCCCCGAGCTAATATGACGACCGTCGAACATCACTTTCCCTATGTTTCTCCACGCTCAGTCCACGCGGGGGAGTACATACAGTAAGAGCTGTTAGGTAACGAATTTGGGGTAGTGGCCAGTCAAGGCGATAAACAAGCGAGGCGTTCATTGGCGAGGAGCACCGAGTACGGCACTTCCCACCAATCACAGAGAGCGATACCGGCGGACGATCCAAAATCTTGGCATATCGCGGTCCGATGCATCCAAGGCTTGTGGCGGCAGCCCCAGAGCTTATCCCTGTACTACCCTCTGATTGGTCGTTGAATCCACCTAGTCCACGACGCGGGGGAAGATGCAGCTTGGGGAAAGTGGGCGATCCTTGGGGTTTGTGGGCTACGGGTAACGTTCTATGCATAGGCTGCATGCTTCGTGTATATAAAGTCAATTCCGGCCTTGGCTGGAGCCCCTGGCTTGGATTGTACTTCGCGGGCTTTGTCCGGTTTGAGTGATTCGGCCCGATGTGTCTCTCTGATAGGGATGCGTATTTGTGGAGCGCGTGGGTCGGGGGCAAACCTTGCTATCTGGGGAGACAAATACTCCTATGTAAGGATATCTCTCAGAGGGCTGGTTCACCGGAATGGAATGTTCTACTGTTATCGGAACACGCCCTGAACTCTATCGAGATCTGCAGGGGCTGAATAACGTATCATTTAGTCGGACCTTAATTTCAGTTCTCTACCTAGCTGCTGTACGCACGTACAATATGCGGCCTTTTTCTAAATTATTCACCTAGTTTGCTTACATAAATAGGGGTTGCAATTTTTCTCACCCATTCAATATTCTAGTGAGGGATGGCGTAATAGTAATCAGACATGATGACATGTGAGATGGATGATATCATCATTTTAAATGAGAGACAAAGAAAATGTCATCTCAAGTCATCGGAGTCACCGAACATACAAGTAGTTCCCGCGGCCATCAAGATTGACACTTCCCTCATCAGAATAACTCTATTCAGAACATTCCATGGTTCCTTTCTTTCCACGTGGTCTCTATGCCCTTATTTTTGAGCACCGATGAAGATACTCACCTACGAACCTATGTCACAAATGGCCTCAATCACCACCTCTAACCCAACAATAAACCAAACCCAGTTCAAAATCATATCATGAATTTACACAGCCAGACCACAGGTATATATATATCAACAGAATAATAAATACAAAGACCCACCATCCCCAGGCCAAAAGAATCAACACGCTAGCACGAACAAAGAAAGAGAGAACCTGTACTCATGCTAGAACAAAAAACCCATCTATTCAATCTCCTCCATAGGATTCCCAAGATGACCAGTCCTCACAATATAATTATCCTCATCTTCATCCCCATCCTCCGCACCCCCACCAGCACCATCCTCCTCATCACCATCACCATCCCTATCCACATCCCCGTCCACACCTCGGGATTTCCCCTTCTTATTACTAACACTCCTGCCCTTGCCCTTGCCATTACTACTAGTTGTAGACTGCCCACTAGGGCTGCGAATTATACTGCCAGGCCATTGTTTCAGGCCTTTGATGCGGTCGTGGATGCTACCCGGGCCGTGGCTGTCACCATTTGGGAGAAGTGTTTCTGTTGGTGGTAGGGTTGCTGCACCGCCATCGAGGTTGAAGGCTTCCATGGCTTCGGCGATTGTTTGGGCGCCGTTGGAAGCTGCTGGGTCTTGTTTTTGCTTGTCGACTGATTCGAAGGTTTGGCGGATTCTTTCGAAGTGTTCTAGTTCCTTGGCGCTGGGATGGTGTGTTAGTATTTTGTCTATAGAAGGCGGGTGGGGGTACATACCTAACACTTGGCACGAGCTCTCCTTGAGCGGAGAGGAAGTCGTCTTCTGTCACTGTGACAGAGACATCGTCTGGTGTTGCGAGGTGGTCGAAGAACCAAGCAGTGCTGACAGGACCGTTGGGTAGGCTCTTGATCTTGTCATCGACTGCCGTGGCCTTCCTTGTAATAGCTTTCAGCATGGCATCAGAACAAAGCGCGTACAGATCAGCACCGGTGTAGGTGAGAGGAAGACGTTCCGCAACACGGTCAAGCGAGACATCGGGATCGAGAGCAAACTTCCGAGTCAAAGCCTCGAGGATAGTCGCCTGCTTTCTGTGGGTATCCGAGACACCCAGGTAGAGCATCTTATCGAAACGTCCTGGACGGAGCAAGGCTGTATCCAGCAGATCAGGACGGTTGGTAGCACCGATGACGAAGACACCGCCGCTATTCTCTTCGCCGCCGTTCATGCCGTCCAATTCTGCGAGCAGTTGACTGACAATCCGGTCCATCACACCACCGCTATCGCCTTGGTTACCACGCTTGGGGGCAACGGAATCCAATTCATCGAAGAATACAACGCAAGGACGAGCATCACGAGCACGCTGGAATACACGACGGACGTTGGCTTCGGATTCACCAATGTACATGTTAAGCAATTCAGGTCCCTTGACAGAGAAGAAGTTGAGAGAGAACTCGGTGGCAATCGCCTTGGCCAGCAGGGTCTTTCCAGTACCCGGTGGTCCATAGAACAGAATACCACTACGCTTCTTCATACCCTTGGCGAAGAGTTCGGGGCGCTCAAGTGGCAGCTGAATAGTCTCGATCAACGCATCCTTGACATTGGTCAATCCACCAACGTCATTCCAGCCTACATTCGGAATCTTGGGGGCACCAATCGAATCGGCGAAGTTCTTGCGCGCGGCTTCCACGGCAAAGTCGAAGTCTGCCTTGGTGACACCTCGTGCACCGTCGCCTCCTGCCAGCAGAACATCTCTGACGAAGACCTCCGAGCCAGACTGTTGCTTGCTGGCTTCAGCGAGGCTTTCAAGGCGAGCAGTTCTCGCTGCGGCAGCTCGTTCCACGACGTCAACCAGGTCTCCTGCGACGAGCGCGGCGGTCTTCAAGGCAACGGTTCCCAGGTCCACATCACTAGACAGCTTGATACTGCGTTCTGCGACTGCGTTCTTGAGGATTCCTTCGCGCTCTTTCTCTTCCGGGGCACCCATCTCGAACTCATGAGTGAAGAGACCACGAATGCCTTCGGGGATGTTTTCGACGTCAGTGGTGGTGGCAATGATGACTCTCGCATCATTCAAGATATCGGTCATTGCTGTCACAATGCGATCAGCGGTAAGCACTTCGATATGCCTGATCAGCAGCGAGGTGCAGTTGGCTCCACAATGGAAAGCCCGCTCTGCCCTGGCCTTTAGGTACGCCTCAGTCTTAACATCGCCACCGTTGGCACCGCCTTCTGTCAAAATATCATATGCATCAATGGGGAATGTGTGGAGACCGATGTCGGAACATGCCCGAGTTGCTACAGTTGCTTTTCCAACATGTCTCTGCTGAGACCGGAGGAGAATGAAAACGGGCTTCATACCGAGCTGGATAGCTCGAGGGCTAGTCGCAGCAGACATGAGATCCCGAATTCGCTGCTGCAGGGGGGGAATAAAGGCCTGGGGGGGCTCAGCAACAATGCCATGGGGAGCTGGAGTGTCAGTGACACTCTTCGGGATTCTCTTGACACCAAGCCAATATTCCCATCCATTATTCAGCACACCAGGAATTCGGCTCACGTCGCTTCCGGCCTGAACCATCCGAGTAGTCGCTGGGTCAAGGACAGCAACTCCACCCCATTGGTCTTCGCCTGTCTCCTCCAGCTCCTCCACGGAAGTCGGTGCAACCTGTCCAACGCGGAACCAAGCAACGCCAATTTTGCGAGCTCCCGCGTTACCGGCATCGACATTCTGGCCGAGTCTGGTGGTGATATCTTCTTCTTGATTGGCGCTGTCCCCGCCAGCGGTTCCAGAGAAGACTGCTCTGCCGAGTCCTTCGTCGACACTGATGCCGACCAAATCGCCGCTTTTGAGGATACGCCGGCGAGACTCGAAGTAATGCTTCAGTCCTGCAAATAGTGCTGGCTGAAGTACCCGATCCATGGAAAGTGGAGTAGACACCTTAAGCAATGTAACCTCCTTCGCCAAAGGCGGGTTCTTGGCAGCAGTGTTCTTCATTTGGTGCAAAAGACCAGGCTTTGAAGAACTGTTGGGTGTAGCAAAGGTCATAGGAGAGATCCGCAGGTACTTGGGGTTTTCAATGTTACCCAGAAGCAGTGGAGGAACGAAGACAGAGGGGGTCAAGCGGGTGGGTGGACGTTGAGAGACGCTAGACCGACGTTCGCCTGAGTGGTTAATGGCATAACGCGGCTTAGAGGACGGAAGGCCAGAGAGACCGAAGACCTTGACTGGGCGCCAATCGCCTGAGTCTTCGGGGGAATCATTAAAGCTTCCAAATTTGAGAGAGGCAAACATGTTCAGCTGGGGCTCCTCGGCTGCTTCAATCCGAACCCAGTCGCCAGAGAAGCAACCGATCTTGGCCAGGGTGCTGATGTCTACAAAGACAAAGGAGTCAACGTCTTCATCGTCGCGCGGCCTGGGGTGCAACACATCATTCGGGACTTGTTGCAAGAGACCTTCAACCTTGAAGGTCTTGGCTCCACCACGGCCAGGGCGCATAGTGGCCGATGTAAAATTCGATGCCACTGATCCTGGAGTATGGATTCCATCTGTGCGTCGACCACCGGCTCTTGGGGTCGCCGATGTCAATGAGGACATCACTCCAGATGCTGGCTGTGGCAGTTCAGGTGCACTGAGAGATATCATGTCTTCCAAAGAATCATCCGACGAGTCGCTCATTGAGCCTGCCGATCCCTCTGTTTCAGACTCCTCGGCAGCCGATGTAGCTTCCATCTCGGTCCCGCTTTCACCAGGCTTGTCTTCTGCCGCGGAATAGAATTGTTCGTTGGAAGTGTCATCGGCTTCATCCTCGGCCACTTGTTTGAGAAGGGCAGACCTCGGAGGGACGGTTTGCTGGGCACGAATTCCTTGTGCACGAGCCTGGATAAGGACAATCTTGGTGGTGGGCATCAACAGGCCTTGGGAAACAGGCTCACAGAATGAGATTCGCGCAGGGGGTGGCGGCGCATAGGTGATAGGGTGCGGAGGGAGAGGAAGGGGCAGTACGTCTCCAGTATGTACAATGCGTTGCGCTCCCAACGCCTCACGAACAGCTGCGGTGAGCCGTTGTTCGACATCCGCTGCCGCTCTCTTCGAATACTTCTTGGCTTCTGCCGTCTTCCCCGCCTTTCCCCAGAGACCATTGGGCCCCCGCGCATTCTGAAACCCACCACTAAACTTGTTCTGAACGTCATCGTGATTGCGGAGAAGATGGCGCTCTACGGTAACAAATATCGTATCGAGATGAATTGGGGCGACATCCAGAATCCGAATCTCTACGGACCGATGTGCCTGTAGGGAGTTGCGCGATGGATCAACCTTCCCCAGAGCCTGGAGGAAAGGCTGCAGTGAATCCGCTGACTCTGGGAACAGAACCGTCGAGTGTGATAACGGAACTGGCGACCTTTCTGTGGGCTGGATGCGTACTGGAAGTATCGTCCAGGCCTGGTCCTCCACCGAGGTATACGTAGGGGTATGCGGGGCAATTGCAACATAGAGAACTCCATCGTCTGAGGTCGTGACATCTAATAGAAGCAAGACAAATTGGTTAGCCTTTTCATCGACAATGGCCGACTGGGTTGACACTCACCTTGGAGGGCCTGCTGCTGGAACAGGTCATTCGCTAGATCTTCGGATAAGATGCCGACCTTCCCACGCAGCTGGGGGTCCAGCGCCAGACGTGCTGCGATCGGAGCCTTGTTATTCAATCGCCGCTTTCCGGCTCTTCTTCTCCGTTGTCTGGGCTGGTGGGAGCTCTGTCCATATTGCTCGAAGTCCATGGGGGCGGTGTCTCCGGTTGCCGTCGGGAAGTAAAGCGGGGGAGATTGAGGGAGAGGTGGTGAATAACAATTGGAATCACCAGATCATCCGGCCAACAAGCTCCTGTCAGAGGATACACACGATCCGACACCGACAGAGGTACTGAGGGGAGAAGATGAGTGGTCGCCGGATCCAGAATCCGGGGGAAATCAACACGCGGGCATCTCGGCACCGCCCGCCGTTCTGCCATGTCCCGAAGCCGAGGTCCAATCGGCCCATGAATGTCGTTGAGTAGTAGAAGCACTTGAGATATATGTATACTTCATGATTTATAGGTCATGGCTAATTGGAGCTTTGAGAAGTCTATAAGGAATGGTGTAAACATGGTTTCCAGTTTAGCAGTTTGGGAACTCGCAAGCGTGCCCTGACGCTATTGGCTATTCCTTGCCTGTGATTGCGATGAGCTTCCCCAGCTTCATACAACTGACATCATTTTATTTGGGGATATAGCTTCAATCGATTCTAACCCAGCTATAGGCTATATTGCTAAGTCTTTTGATATTATTGGTGTATAGATTCGTCGTTATCTAATGTTTTGAAAATATATATTTCCGCCTCTGACAAACATTGGTATCTGTAAAATGGATGCCTGAATTTTCGAGAATCAAGCAAGATATCTCACTGCCTCAATAAAAGAAAAAGCCCACTAGGCAGTGGAATTAGTAGAGCCAACGACATATATCGCGTGCCGGTGACAACACAACGTGAGGCTGCCACATTCCCAAGGAACCAAATGCTGTTGACTGATATCCCGTCTTATCGCAGGAATAGGCTGCCATGACTGAAGGGCTAGAATGATCAGTCAATTCGGGTATCTACAACGTCATTTAGAATGTGGTTGGTGAAGATATTCTCCAGTGCCCTTGCAGATAATGCCCAATGCATAATCAATTACAGTACTGCAGATGCCACAAAGACTGAGGAAGAGGGCTGCTTTTGACCTGCGCCGGGGCTTGACAGGGGGGCTGTGCAATGGGAGTCAAATGGGGCGCAGTCGAATGCTCTCCAGGGTCCAGCCGTGTTCTGCAGATGTACTGTAGGCAGACAACAAAGCAAACGCCCCGGGGCTTCGTCCACCGACAGATGCAGTCCAAGTTGGTCCGACTTCGGCCGATTATTGGGCTGGAGGTGTGTGACCAGCGGTGACAGGCGGCTCAAGTGCGCAGGTTCAAATGCGCACGCAGCTCGTAACCTCGTATTGGAACAGTTAGAACGAGTCATTGTATGGGCCTGTGGGGTCCGGGAATGTGGATTGGCTGTTCAAGACCCTTTCTCTTGTCCAGTGGCCAAGATATTAGACCATGTCGGGCGCAACGCCAATCATGTCCTGTGATTCAGGGATTATGGCATGATTCTGAGTGACGTATCCCACAAACGGGTACTCCGTATAACGGGAACATGAAAGAACAAAACAGTTAACCTGAACTCAATGAGGCTCTCGGAGAACAAATGTCTCCGACTCCGAGTTTCCAAATAAAGCAGTGGGGAAACGGTACGATACCCGCTGGGGTGCCACCAACAAGGCTGGACCTGGTAATTACCAGTACTGAGTTACAATACAGTCCAGTCCACCAATCACATGACGTAGAATGTGCTCAGCCATCGCAAACTATACTACTTTGGGGTTAGCGTCTTCGTCTATCAGGCAGACATCCAACGCGCCATCAGAGCCTCCAGTTCTTCTTTTCCTTGATCCGCTTATTCCCCCCATCGTTGTCAAGCTTATTCTTTTATTCTTCGTTTCTGCCCTTTTTGTCCTCCATAGCTGCCTTCAAGAACTTCCAATATCGGCTTCTATAGTGGGGCTGTCCGCCATCTCAAGACGTTATCGTTTCTGATATCCAGATACTGGAAGACATCGCATCTTTATTCCGGGGTATCGTATTCCCTTGGACGATCGCCGTTGACGACTGAACACCATTTTGGCTGGTTATATCAGTCCGACACTCCTTGGACCCTGTTTTGGAGCCTTCAGACTCTCCGACACTTTTGGTTCAGGAGTGCATGTGCACCCGGAGATTATCAGACTATCGCGATCGTGTTAGATCTCCACAGCCTTGCGTCTGTTGAAGGGTGTCGATTTCTGTCGCTTTAGATCATCCACGAGCAGTGGGCGTCTGATATATATCCCAACGGAGTCGAAAATCAGAGGCTTACATCTCTGACTCGACCGTACGTCACTTCTCGAATCATCTGGACACAGATCCTCGGTGAGTCATGGAGTCGGCCAATCAGCCGCAATACCCGGTCCTTTCCTGTTGGGATCAGTGTGCTAACGCCTGGGTTGATGCAGCACCGCCAATAATGTCTTCCGCCCAGCCAGAGCCATCGCGGCTGCACCCGCGTCGCCGGCCCATCTTAAACACCGAATTGCCCACCATGTCGACCGACTCTGTTGAATCTGAGATGCGACTGAAGAAAGGAGAGACCTTCCATACTCCCACCTCCCCGCCGTCCAGTGACAGTGATCCAGTCTTGAACCTTCGGTCACTGCCTCGTCGTTCGCCAACATCTTTGGAAGCGATCACCGCCGCCGAGGAGCGTATGACTTCTATCCTTGGCCGTCTTAGTCTCAATACCACCGAGGATAAACAGAAAGGCTCGGGAAGTACTGTGCCTGATACCATGCGCAGAAACTCTAATTCCATGTCCAACCTTGGTTCCTCGAACGAGGAGAAAAAGACAGACCAGGAGCAAGATCATAGTCACGATTCTGACAGTGGCATTGGGTCATCAGTCAGCAGCGAGGAAGAGCTCTCTGATTCAAACAGCAAAGGTAGGCTCACACATTGTTCCTGTATTGTCCCTTCATTGAGGTTCCGGGCTCTAACGAATAGCAGATAATGGTATTCACGACAAACAATCTGCCATTACAGACTCTATTGCCGCATTTGCTTCAGGATCCTCATCCAAGCGTCAACTAGGCCCCGCTGCCTGCAAGCAAATTGAACGATACGTTCTTGTTCCCATCCTCAAAGAACCTCGCCTTAAACCGTTCCACCCACTGGTACGGAGTATTCCTCAACGTATTGTCAATAAGCAGATTGTCTGTCTGCGGGATCTTGAAAAAACCCTATTGTGGTTGGCACCGGTAAGTTAATATATTGTTCTCAATGGGTTATTGGAGTTCCGGCGAAAGCTTATCGTTTTTTCTCTCTTCTTTATAAAGAAGTCTGCAAACTCTCGACTCTCGTATCTCAGCTTCTGCGAGTTCACTATTCAATGCTTGCATACTTCGGCGTCTCATCTTAACGATCGCGATCAACGACTACCTGCCGATCGCCCTTATACTAACGGATACTTCCTTGACCTTGTTTCACAGGTTCGACGATACGCCGCCATGATTCGCGCTGAGCGTGAGCGGGTCCCAGCGACCCGGGGCGGCAAGCCCGAGGAGAAATCTAATCTGTATGTATTACCCTTTCATCCCAAGTATGCAGTTGTACTAACCCGACATAGGGTGCACCAAGCTCATCTGGAACATGGCATTTCCAAGGACGGAAAGCCCCTGGAGCTTGTTGTCATGCAAGATGGAAAGCCCATTTCCATGCTGACTGGAAAGCCTTATGAAGTGGATTCTTCCATTTCGTCTAGTTCCATCAAGCGTACCATCAACCTCGACGATGCAGTCGACGAGGGCGTGCAGCGCTCGATGGCTCGTCGCAAGAAAAATGCTCCTCCTATGGACATTAACCAGAAGTGTTCCCACTGTGACAAGGTGTTCAAGCGCCCTTGTGACTTGACGTAAGTGATCTTGTTCATTCAAACCAAAGTTGACAATGCTAACTTGTTCTAGCAAACACGAGAAGACCCACTCTCGCCCCTGGAAGTGCGAGGATACTTCGTGTAAATATTTCAAGGTTGGCTGGCCCACCGAGAAAGAGCGCGACCGCCACATGAACGACAAACACTCGGATGCCCCCAAGCTTTTCCGCTGCGGCTTTGAGCCATGCACCTATGCCTCGAAGCGCTCGAGCAACTGTAAGCAGCACATGGAGAAGGCTCACGGATGGAAATATGTCCGATCCAAGAACAATGGTCGCAGTGGCAGCACCGGCAGCAAGCGTGATTCCTCTGTCCAGGCAACTCCTCAGACACCCAGTGTCTCTACTCCTGCCTCCAAGGTCACCGACTTTGCTACCCCAATCACAGGGCCCAGCCCCTCTCCCAGCGACCAGACCTACAACTGGCCTGAGAACCCCAACTTCAACTTTGCGGAGCCTCCTGCGCCTCACAGCGATGACTTCCCCTTGTTCGGCGAATCCCCGCCTTACTTGATGAATGATATCAACTCTTTCCCGACTTCGATGAATCTGGACGGTTTCCAGGCTCAATTCGGGGCTGGCGACCCAAACAGTTTGATTCCGGCGCTGGAAATGCACCGACAGTCTATGAACTCCATGTCTGTCCCTTCGTCAGAGTCTGTTCCCGATCTGATGGGACCTGTGTCATTTGATGGATCCCCTCTCGCCGGAACCGACAGCATCAACTTTGACCTTGAGTGGAACAACCTCGAGTACCCACTCAACGACGAGTACAACGCTATGTCCATGCGTATGCAGGCGCCTACCCATCCCATGGAGGCCATGAAGGGTTACTCGAACGAGTTCACCCAGATGAACAACAACCATCTGTCCTACGCCCTTCCCACCAAAGTGTCCGGCCTCTCTCCGGGTGCCCAGGGCAACGCCATGCTGTACTCTCCTGACTCATCCAATGTCGGCGACACCCTCTCGGAGCGCTACGAATACGCTCTCCAGCCCAAGGCCGGAAACGATTTCACTCTGTTTGACCCAAGCTCCCAGATGGGCCATGCTGCTCCCCGCATGACGCAGACCAACAGCAATGAGGCACTCCAGTACCACCGGACCCAGCAGACTATGTTCCATTCTCTGAATGAGCAGCAGCGTGCTCTCATGAACTCCTGGAACGGACAGCCCATCCAGGGCCACTACCTACCCCGCGACAACATGGAGATGGATTTCAAGTAAAGAGGAGGACCCACAATATCGCACCTGTTGAATTTTTCCTGTTCCCAAGCGACCCAGCGATGATAATAAGGCTCTACGTATTCGTATTCATATATTTTTAGTTAGTCCACAGAAATCTCCACATGATTCTTTCTCATCTCTCCACGTAAATCATGCCGATACTGTACTTATAGTCAGGTGGAGATCAGAGGCCTGATCACGCAGAACTTAATAGTCATAATCATAATCATAACCATACCAAGATCAGCGCCGAGAACATCCCCGCCTCATAAGGCTCGCAAACGAGTAGGCAACACCATAATCAGTCTTGGCATCCAAGACCTCATAGTAAGTCTCTAAGCCAGTGGAGACAAAAGGCCGCGTCAGGAAGCCGATCAGAATAGTCCCAGGGGCGCAGTTTAGCAAAGTTAGCGACAGCCCTACAATCTGCCACCAGAGCGGGTGTGACGACATCTCCTCTTCTCCGCCTCCTTTCCCGCTCGCCTTCTTCCCCATTCATTCACTCTCTTCCTTTCTCTCTCAATCTAGATTAAAGAGCTTGTGCGTTCCATCCAACAGCCTGACTTAGCCGCTGTTGGAATTCCGGCGTCAACCAGCCTTGTTAGGCAGACGCATTCCCCTCGTTTCACGACCCTTCGTCACAATCACCACAAATCACCTATTTGTCCGTGTCTATTTCCTCTCACGGGAAAAGCAAGCCCTGATTTTTTATCCCAGGAGAGACAACGACATCTATTCACAATGCCGGAATCACAATCGTCTGATCCCGCATTCCCCAGCGGCAAGGGTGTGGACTTGCCTGCGCAACCCGCTGCCCCGCCAGGCCAGGTCCTAACCGGAAAGCAAGAACACTGTGAGTTGATCATGATCGCAATCGTGATGGAAATTGTGTGGTATTTGTGGTAGTAGTTCCAGTATTAGTTGCTGACAGGTGGGGTATTCCACAGACCTCAAGCGCGAGCTCATCGCCCGTCAAGTCCGCGCCGAAATCTCCGAGCTGAATTCCCCGACAGCGCTGCAGCGATTCGGTGCGCCGTTTAGGTCTGAGTTTGGTGAGGTTGCGCCTGTCGACTCTGAGCTACCTATTTTGCGGTATATCTTCGTGCATCACGTTCGGAATTTCCCGTTCCTTGACCAGGCGCGGGAAAAGGAGTTTTGGCAGGATAAGCTACAAATCGTGGGTTTTTCTTTTCTCCGTATGGGATCATGGTGGGGGAGACTTGCTGACTGGCGGGTTCGCGATATAGTTTTTGGAATCGTTCGCCAATAAACATGTTTCGTCTTCGGAGGATCGGCTGGAGGAAACGAAGCGTCGGAAGTTGGCACGGAAATGCGAGAAGCTCGTGGAGCTGATGATGGTTTCGGGTATACCGACCGCGTCTGGTTATGAGGAGCGCATTCAGTTCTCTGAGATGGAGGTTGTGGAGCGTGGAGCTCAGGAGTCGGGCTTGCTGGTTAATATGCCCGAGGGTAATTCGATTAATGGCTGGGATGTGAATGTCGCCGCTGTTCGGACGACGTCTGTCAAGCGGACGATGCGATACCATCAACACGCAGTAAGTGATATATTCTCGAGATCTTTTCGTTTTGTTGGAGACGTTTGCTCACGACAGCATGAACAGGAATTTCTTATTCGAGTTCGTCAAGATGGCAAAGGCGAGTTACATGTTGGGAGGAGATATGGAGAGTTTGTTAAGCTTCACAAAAGATTGAGGACTGAAATGCCTGGCAAACATCTCCCACCTCTTCCTCGCAAGAACAAGACCTCTACTACGAGCTGGTTTGGTTCAAATGCCGATGATGATGCCTCTTCAGTCTCATCTCTTTCTACACAGGGTAACAGCATGCCCGAGGAGTTGCCTTCCTCGCGGACCCTTGCCCCTTCCACGGGTAGCATTCGGCGTTCGCTTTCACGAAGTTCAATGCGATCAACCAAATCACCCCGTGCATCGACGACCGATGTATCAAGAGAGACTGTATTATACCGCGAGGAACAACGTGTATCGCTGCGCGCGTTCCTGCGCACAATATTGCAGAACAAGCGCGTTTCGGAATCCAAGGCAATGGAAGAGTTCTTGACTGCCCGTCCCATTAAGTTGAATGAGGAAGAGGAGCTTGATGTTCAGAAGCGGAAAGCCATGGATGCGGTGAGAATCGAGGAGCAAAAACGCTTTTATGAAATTGCCAGGCAGCGAGCTGCCGAGTTGGACGTTTACATGGAGCAGTTCCGTCGGGATATTGTGGAGAGCAGTTAGTCAACGTGAGCCGTTTGTCAGGAAAATTGCTAATCTCGCTGAATTTAGATGGATTGACAAAGCTTTTCGCTGAGATCCGGGAGAAGCCTTCTATTCCAGACCTCAGCCCGCAATATCAGAAGTTTGCTGAGTGGCTTCGTATTGAGTATGTTCTTCAAGTTTCGAGATCTTCAACTACTAACAGTGATTAGAGTTGCTGCAACGATATACCACTTATTCCTTGCCGAGGATAACTCCCCTGAACTTTTCGCGCAAGCGAAGAGGATCCACGGCCTCGTCCCTTATACCCTGATGAAGAATGTCATTCGCATTGCCAACCCAGCCGCAGTCATGTCCGGTGTTCTCGACCTGTTTATGGCACAACCCTTCGGCTCGCGGTCACTCTTGCAGCGCATTTTCTCTTTGACATTGAACGAGAGCATCAAAGACTTCCAGCGACATATCAACTCGCTGGCTGCCAAGGTCGAGGATGAAGTTCTCACCAAGAAGCTCAAGGCCTTCGCGGATGCCGAAGAAGAAACCAAGAATGAGATCAGAGCAGAGGCCGTGGCCGATGATGTTGATCTTATTGTCGCCATCCTTCGCTCTGAACTCATATCTCCAGAGCTCACGCCAGAGCAGATCGGAAAGGTATTCAACGGCTACGTTGCCTGGAACCACGCCGTCGATAATGTAGACCTGGAAATGCAACAGGGCGCTCAATGGTTCGCTCACATGAAGCAGCTTCTCAAGCTTTACACCCGGCAACGGGATAAGTCGATGATGCTGAGCATTGTTGAAGAGCCTGTCACATTACAGCTCTTCCGTGATCTCTTCACTATCTTTTACGAACCATTGGTCCGAGTTTACAAGTCTGCAAACGTGTACGGCAGTATTACCGACTTTGCGCAATTCGCTGACGACGCTATTGGTGTGATTGAGAGTTCCCAGCGCCAGGATGCCTCTGCCGATCCAAACCAAACTGTGCAGGCCTTCATCGACCTGTGCGCTCGTCACGAGGCCAACTTCTACAAATTTATTCATGAAGTGCACCAGCATGACAATGGTCTGTTCCAGTCTCTAATGTCTTGGATCGAGGAGATCCTCGACTTCCTGCGCAATGGCCCCGCAGGAGGCAAAATGGACATCAACGCCTTGTTCCAAGGAGCTGTTGGCGTCGGCCAGGTCGACAAAGAGATTGCCCTGACCGAAATTAATGCTTTGATTAAGTGGCATGAAGACCGCAAACGCTGGCATTTGAACAAGACCCGCCAGAAGATGGCCGCTGAAGGTACAGCAGGGGAACCCATCCCTGGCACTGGTGCCTTCCGTAGTGGTGATTTCGGTCTTGACGAGGTATGTATTTCCCACTCGACCCAGACTCAAACTTAAAAAATCATACTAACTCACTCCCCAGGGCGATTTGGAAGACCTCACCATCTCAGATGAAGCATCCGACGCCTCAGACGAAGACACCGAAGACGAAGACATGGACGATCCCATTGCCGTCGAGCGTCGTCGTCGCACAAAGAAACAGGACCAACTCCGCCGTACAGCCGGTGAACCTGTTAAGCCGGAGGTCACCGAGATTCTCAAGCTGGGCGAACCATTTGTTGTCATGTTGCGGCATGTGCTTGCGGATTAGAAGGGGATGGGTATCTTGAGTGGTTCTATTTGCTTCGCATAGTTCACGATACCGCCATAGACATGGCTCTCTGTGCTTGCTTTTATTTGGCTTTCTCTTGATACACCGTGTTTTAAATTCTCCCTGCCTTGGCCTTGTTTTGGCTGGGGGTGTATGGAAGGGTAGATGGTGATCGAATCATTGAAAATACCAATAGGGCAGTGAATACGATTTTTGAATTAGGCTTCGTAGGGTCGTATTTCAGGCACTGAATCACTTGGTAAGTACTCTCAACGCCCGATGTCAAATGGGAGTCTATCTACGACATTTATCGGTACGATATCTGAGGTCAATTTTTCCTGCATGCAATAAGTAGCTAGGAGAAGCACTTAAGAGCTCTCACACGCTGCAATACTGTATTCCATGTGCCATTCCTTCGTACGTTGTTACTGTACCAACAAACCAAAATCACAAGATTTTCACCTTCCGGACGGCATTCAAACTTTCAAACTTTACATAAACAAAGTTCATGCATTCATAGAGAGAGCTTCCTCCCCACCCAACTTTAAAGGCAATCAGAGCACTTTAACGGGGAGGAAGTCCTTAACCCTAATGTCAAAATTTGATTGTAATTAGGGTAGAAGACAGAAGAGGGTCTATAAAGCTCAATCACCTATAATTCTCCTTGGCCCAGATTTTGGGCCTCTAGCCCCATGTCTGCAGTGGAATCAGGTTTGGGATGTGTTACCTAGTAAAGCCCAGATAAACTGCTTCCAGTGGAGAAAAAGGGGTTGGTGTCGCTTTAGATCCTCTGCACCCGTACCTCTTCACGAACACGGATGCCGCCAATGTTGTTCCCATACTGACCCATAAGAATTTCCTCATCACTCTGGTTATTGCGAGCAATGTATGCCTCAGTGATACTCTCCTGCGCGACACTAAACATTGTAGATCTCTTCGTCGGGTTCTGCATGCGAAAGCGGGACGAATGAGAAGAGTCATCTTGTTTGATATATCTGCTGTCTGAGCTCTTCACACTCGAACCATGGACGATAACGCGGTAGAGGGGGCGGACAGTGGGAATGCCAACGCAGATCAAGGTGACGGCCATTTCGACGCCCGACCAGATGACCAGGTCGACGGTATCCTCTGTAACAGAGAGCCACGGATAAATCAGCCGAGCCCACAGCTGGTGAGAACTGAATTAAAGTGCTTACCTGTGTAGTTGGTGCTGGACAAGCCACCCAGATCGATAGTTCTTATTATTCCGCATACACAAGCTCTGCAAGTGAAGATTAGTTGACGCTTATAAGGGGATGGAGCGCTATAGCGACACACATAAAACCCAAACTCAAGCTGATTGCAATAGACATCTTCTCTTTGAACTTCATATTAAGATTCCAAATGAAAATCCACGGAAGAAGGGCAAAATAGAAGTCCACAGCAGCACACCATGCTTAATAACAACAATATCAGTATATGGCTCATAGCAAAAGCGAAAAACTATCAAAGGAATGGAACATACACCCAAGCAAGATAGAGAATGGCGTGACATTGATAATGCTACGCCCTGGGACGCGAGGGTCGTATATGGATTTGGACGGCACACGCTGGGTCCAGAAAATAATTGCTGTCATCACGGACACAATCGACAGACTGACCATTGAGACCCAAATGGAGAGGCGATGCCATTGCTTAACCACAATGCGTAGCAAAAAAAGACCCAGCGAAAGCTTCGCAATAGCCATTCCTATCACTGCAAAGGTCTGTCCAATCATTTCGTTGTAGACAGCTTGAACAGCCGAGTCTATAGGCAAGGTGGATATGGGCTGTCCGAATCCGTGCACGCCTGCGATTGTGATAAAGATAGTGTATAGGAGCAGAAACACCTGGAACGTGGTGAGCGTTCAAGCGGGATATTGATTTCGAACGAGCGTAGCTTACCCAAGCCAAGTTGAACACATGGTCATCTACTCCGAGTGCTTCGATAATGTATACTCGTGTATAGAGTCGGAGAGGGACCAGAATGAAAGAGATAAAAGTCATCGCCCACATCACCGCAACGGCACGAATACCTTTGCCAGCCAACATCCTTAATTCACTTGTAGAATGCCTTTGGAATGAGAGACGGTCAAAGAGTATGCGCCGAGGATCGATAGACCACAAAGCTTTGTCGGAAGGAGAGCACCCCGAGGACACAGATGATGGCTTCCTCCCGTTTTAAATATGTGATACTGTCGTCCCAAATCCCCATAATGATGACAGATGATACCAAAATGACACTCTGTAGGATGATTGTAGGCTATCAATTATTGCAATCCTACCCTTCAGATTCAGCATTAGCGAGGATGATTATAATTGATTGGGAAGATCCCAACTCATTGCTGCTCATTTCTGTTTCAGGCGCGCGAATAACGCCGCATGTTGCAGTGGCCTCTGTTAACTCGAGAAAGCCATACCATGTTGGGATAGTAGCAGCGTCTAGTCCGAAAATGCACCGTAGTGGCGCTCACGCCAGAGCTCGTGTTGATTCCGGGGAAATTGGGATGTGGGCCATTTCGACTGCACGAAGTCCGCGCATTCGACAGGTCAACTGTCAGCGGAAAGGCTTCTGGCGGCGGGAGCGTCGCAACGGTCTAAACACCTTCGGCCCGTCATTCAGAGTTGATTTCTGCCATGTATTATTGGCCAAATCAACGCTTCATCAATTTTAGTTTAAGCCACGCGCGAATAGACCCACGGTCGCACTTGGAGACCATGCAATGCGTCCATTCGGGAGAATCCAGGCAAGGCAAACGAGGCACCCCACTAGAGTGCTGATGATCGGCAGTGTCAGGGGAGCAAGCCTGCACTATGTAAGAGCCATCTATATATCGCAGATGCTCTGGGCGGGGTTTTCCGGTGTGTCAAAATCCCCCAAAATTCCCTGTCACATACCATATCTATTTGTATTTATGTCATCATGATATCGGAGGTATCTTTCGCAGCGGTGTCTGGCTTCAGCGTCAGGGATAGCGCCACCATCCTTGTTTATGCTATTCTGGCAGCTCTGTCCCTCTGGAGCTTGACAACGTATCTCTTCTCCCCCCTGCGCCAGTTTCCTGGCCCCTTCCTCGCAGGTAAGCTAAGCGGAATACTACCTTAATCGAGCTGACCTTTTTCACTAGGATGGACGAACTTATGGCGGATGTTTCATGTGCGGCAGGGGAACTATCAAATGGTGGTCCAAGAGCTACACAAAAAGTACGGCCCAGTGGTGCGTATAGCACCCAACGTGTTAGACCTGGATATCCCCGAGTTGATCAGAACAATCTACAACACGAAAGCGGATTATTTGAAGGTGAGAGTCTTGGGCCTCGTGTGGTGAATACTGCTATTAACCTGTAACAGACCGAGTTTTATCATGGTAGTAGCGCCAAAGCCAATGGCAAGATAATCTATAACATCTTCAGCGAATGCAAACCTGAGGCCCATGCGCGGCAGAAGCGACCCATCTCTAAACATTATTCCCTGAGTGGGGTGCTTCCATTGGAGCCTCATATAGATGAAATGACTCAGTACCTCTGTCAGCGCCTGGAGGAGAATTTCATCTGTGAACCTAGCGCTACCAAAGCATGCAATCTGGGCAAATGGATTGCGCTTTGTGAGTTCAGCCTCTTCTGGATACATCCCAGATACTTCCAGGGCGGGAATTAATGCTATGCAGATACTTGGGACGTAGTCGGTAAGACTACATTCAGCCAGCCTATCGGATACCTAGAGAAGGGCTATGACTTTGACAACACCCTGAGCACCGCAAATACTGCCATGGACTACTTTTCCATAGTGGGCCAAATGCCGATCTTGGATCACCTGTTGGACAAGAACCCTGTTTACCGGATCGGGCCGCCGTCCTTTGGCACTATTACCAACATATCGATTCGGCACCTAGTGGACCGACTCCAGGGCAAAGACGCCGGCCATCATGACCCAGGAAAACCGGACTTCCTCGACAAGTTCATCGAGGCTAAGGGAAGGTTCCCGGACATTGTGAACGAAATGCAAATCATCTCGTACCTGATGATCAACATGATTGCAGGAGCCGATACAACAAGTACCACCATCAACGCGGCACTGTACTTCTCCTTAAAGCACCCAAGGGTCTGGGAGCGCCTCAGAGCCGAGATCCCCGCTCACGACCACATGTCTGGTACACCCGTGGTGCCCTACAAATCGGCCAAAGAGTTCCCATACCTGGATGCTGTGGTACGCGAGGCAATGAGATACCATCCAGCGGTCGCAATGCTCCTCGAACGTTACGTACCAGAGGATGGACTTACCCTCCCTGATGGGCGTTACGTCCCGGCGGGCTGCATAGTCGGCATGAATCCCTACGTTGTCGGACGCAATAGGTCTGTCTGGGGTGAGGATGCCGATGTATTCCGTCCGGAACGATGGATTCGCGATGAGACTCGGGAGACTGAACATGTGTTCCAGCAACGTCTGCGTCTGATGAACGACGCTGACCTAACGTTTGGGGGTGGGAGTCGTGTCTGTATCGGGAAGCATCTGGGCCTACTGGAGGTGTACAAGGTGCTTGCGACTCTTGTTTCGCGCTATGATATCAAGCTGGTCCATCCGGATCGGGATTGGGTGACCCACAACAGCTTTTTCGTTCGACAGACTGGTATCGAGGTGAGGCTGTCGCGTCGGACCTAGGGTACTGTGGTATACAAACAATGAGGATATCTCCGTGTGACAACCATAGGTCGTTCAGTCTATCTGAATAGTGAGGACCCTACAATTGAAGTCAAATGGTATTGGACTACCTGACGGTGCTATACAATGACAGTGCATATACATTTTAGCCATGTATCATGCAGTCTTGGCAGTAAATTAGGTACCAGAAATGTCATTGCTTTTCGAAGGCACTCATTAGGAAAGAAGAGATTGGCTAGGTAAAGGGAATAATAGTAAGAGCAACAGAGTCCGCAGAGGACAAGAACATGATCCGCCCCGCGCTAGTCAATCTTTTCAAGGCATATAAATACACCAAAGATACTTCGTACAGTATTTTCAGGCTACAAGGCTGTTTTATAATGTGACTGAGCAGCTCACTAGGTCTGGATCCGGCCTGAAAATTTATTTAGCGAGTTGTGGACAGACTCGTCACGAAAGTAGACGCCGAAGTCATGCCACAGTCAACAGAAGTCGGCTGTCTCATGGCGAAAACGACGGCTTCTGGTGGAGATAGGAGATCTATATACCAAGCCCTAGGAAAATTCCCATTCAAGATCGGTTAAGAGTATGTATGCCATGCTTCCTATCGAGTGCACTACTTGAATATGCGTTACCTATTATCTAATACCTCCACGACCTGATAGTATTGATTCTCCATCGCCACCTCAACCGGTGTCTTTCCTTCCGTATCCCCTAATCCAGGATCAATCCCCTCCGCCTTTAGTAGTGCCTTCACAACCCCTAGATGCCCACAAAAAGCAGCATTAAACAGCGGTGTCTGCCCATTCTCATCACGAGCATTGGGATCAGCCTTACGCGGCCCACTCAACAACCGCCTCACAATCCCTTCATGGTTCCCATACGCAGCAACTCCCAACGGCGTAGTCCCATGCATATCGGCAATCTCCAACCCAACCCGGTCACACCCAACCAACAGATCAACCATATCCTCCCTCCCCTCCTCAGCAGCCGTAAACAAAGGCGTCTGCCTCTTCCAATGCGTCTGCAAATTGGGATCTGTAGCCTCCCACCCAAGCAGTATCCTCACAACATCTATATTGCCCGCCGCCGCAGCAATAGTAAACGCACCACGCCCATACCGCTGCCCATCAGCATAAGAAAACGCCGCACGCCCAACCCTCTCCCCATCAGCATTCGGATCCAACTTCTCCCCGAAAAATTTAACCAAATACTCGACAACATCAGCATGACCCCTCACAGCTGCATAAAAAAAAACGTGCTGACAATGCTTCGCACTGTCATCCCCATCAAGAATCAACCGCAGATGCCTTGCAAGTAACAACCCCATCTCACAATTGAAATCCCTTGCAGCGCGCGATAAAGGCGTCCACCCATGCCGATTGGCAATCCGCGGATCAGCCTGCCCACTAAGCAAAAGCGTCGTCAACATGGTGGGTTGATGATCGGCGCAGATCATCAGCGCTGTATCACCGGATTTATCTTGGAGATTGACATCTGTGCGTGGGTCTGCTAGGAGTGTTTGCACGATCTCTGTGTGGCCTTGCTTTGCAGCCCAGGAGATTGGTGGTCTGATCCATTTGTAGTCGCGGATATTTGGATTTGCGTCATCGTTCAAAAGGATAAGTTTTAGGACTGCCAGGCTGTTGTGGAAGGATGCTAGGAGGGTTGGGGTGCATCCCTTTAGGCGGGGGTCTTTGTCTGTTTTGGAGTTGGGGTCTGTGTTTGCATTTAGGGCTAGGAGGGCTGTTGAGGGCTTGTTATGTGTGCTGGCCCAGAAGAGGGCTTTCGGGTCGGGAGATATGGCGTCGTTTTTGTAGAGGGTTCTGTTTAGGAGGGCGTGGATTGTTTTGTTGGTGCGTGTAAAGGCGTTCAGGTCGGCTAGCTCAGGGAGGAAATCTGAAATTGTAATGTAGAGCTCCTTAGGGATTGTCGCAAATGGTCCTTCTGGGTTGGTGCATGGTGTATGCATCTGGACCTTTTATTCAGGTAGAAAAGCATGGAGTTTGGACTTTTCGTTATAAGGTTGGATTTGGGTTTCTTAAATTGGATGTGGAGATGCGGACTCAGCCTCAACGAGCTGAAATAAAGCCTACCAGTAACTCCACATTAGGCAAATGGATTAAAAGTTATCAGTGTCTCAGTGTTTGTCTCAAGCGAAGAAGTAGAAGTGAGACAGTTGGAGATGACGATGCCAAGAGTCCGGGGCGATAAGCGATAAGCGCGTCTTCCATGGCGACGTTTGTCAGCTTCATCTTCTTTCAAACTCAGCACATCTTTGCACAGGAGAGATATAATGACTTCCCCCCAGAAAGGCTTTCCGTCTTCACCACGGGCCCGTATGACGGCGCCTGGTCTCTTCAAGGACGGCCTCTGGTGCTGTGACTGCCCAGATCGGCCCGCTGCTAAACAACATCAAGTTAAGAAACACAGCCCAAACCACGGGAGATATTGTAAGTCGAATTTACACCAAGAAAAGAGCAGCGGCTGACATGAATAGTCTGGACCTGCGATCAACCCCAACATCTTAGATGCAAGTTCTTCCTTTGGGCAAGCGACGCCGAGATCCGCGAACAAGCAACTGTTCTTTCCAACTCTCGATCCGAAGTCGATCCTCCGTCTCTGACACCCTCCAAACCTAAAACCCCTGGCCGTCTTAGCAATGGTCTCATGACCCCTCAAACCGAGCGTCGATTCATTGACAACCCTTCGCGCAGCTTCATATCCCCTCCGAAAACGGCCAAAGCCAGAATGATTTCCGAGGCCTCTGACGAATATGGATGGAATGACGACTCCGATGAGAATGAGGAACTCACGAATGTGCTATCATCCAGCCAGGCTACAGAGCCTTTCGTGTCACAACCAGACTTCCACCGCGAATCACCATCAAAGGTGCCCCGCACACAATCATTTACCTCCCCGGGCAAACGGAAATTCTCCGAAGCTTTAAATACCAGCTCTCCTCAGACTCAATCTGCACTTGCCACACCTTTCTCATCCCGATCCTCTCGAACTGAGCAGTTCCCTCCATCGTCAGCGGAGCTATGTATGACGCCTACGCCGAGCAAATATAGCGATGTCCTCTACACAGACTCGAAGTATGACATGACTGATCTGTCAAAAAGTCTGCTAGATGTGCTGGACAAGCATAGTGTTGTGCTACCAAGTCATGCACAGAGAGAGATGGTCGCGCTGCTCAATCAGCATGATCTTAGAACCAAGGGCATTAGCAAAGGGCGAGACATGGCACGCATGCTGCTCAAAAAAAGAGATGACGAGATCGTCAAGTTGAAGGAGCGTATCTCTAACCTTGAAGCTCAGAAGGAGTTGGATCGCAGCCTTATTGAGGGGATGAAATTATCTTAAAGGAGAGATGTGTCTAGCAGATATTATCTCAGACTGGGCCCTACGCCAGTATCTGCTTGCATGTGTAATTTTGGTATAACTACTTTATGAAATTACGATGTTATGATAGCTTGCAATTGTTGTTTGGTGTCCTTTCAGCCCTAGACAGTATAAAGGAATCGAATCTTACGTCTTTTTATACCCATCGCGACTATATAGCAGCAATAATGTTTGTCTAATTAGAGTTAGCTTTAGAGTTGCCCCATGGAATCAGTGGCGGTACGGTCCACTCAGTCCCACTAATCTCTAAGTTGGCGCAGACATTTAATGGGAAGCAAACCTTGTAGATAAAATTACAAGAACACACGTAGGGACTAGTATCATCTACTGGACATTTGCAGGGCTTGAAGTTTCTCTCAGTCCGTGCTGTGTATGAAGTACTGATGCAAACATTCCTGATATAATCGAGATGGGATATCTGATCTCGATTCAACGCTTTTTAAATAGTGCTATGCGTATTCGGGGGCCAGTCTCGTCTTTCCAACTCCCCCAAGTCCAAAACGACCCACAGTACGCAGTACAGTACTGGATCTGCTAGGGTTCAGGCGCATGGTAAGGCTTGCCAAAAAGTCCTCCCGGAATTGAAAATGTTTATTCCGACTATATAGGAAGAAACGGTGAGAAATCGGAAGGGCCATATTGCGCGGAAGCACCGTCTGGAGCAACTGAAGGACACGAGTGTGCTGTGACTGCTAGGTTTTGTCCTTAAGCCACTGGGTCTCCTCCTCAACCCACTGACGGGAGTCTCTTATCCCTTCCACACGACTTTTCGGGTTAGGGTTGAAACGATTCGCAAGGGGATTCAGCGGCAATATGTTTCCTTTGTATCAACGGTGTGAGCTATTTTATAACCTGGAAAGAACCTTGTGACTAAAAGGTGCATCTGTTGGAGGTACTTCATGGCAGTGCTTATTAGACTACCCTAGTTTATTGGTACTGAGAGTTATAAAGAATGCATCTCGGAATTGAGTACCCAAAAAAAAAGAAACTATGATAACTCGACGAGCCTGTTTGGACACACTTTGCCCTCCATATATCAACTGACCCAGCACAGCCAGACCGACTACCACCTGATGACTTTCTCAGGGAAGAACTCATCAATGAGCTCCAAATAGTAGGGCTGTCATGCAACTCAAGTTAGCTCTCATCACAAGAAAACCAGAAGACCAATCTCACCTTCAGCTTCTCAGGATCAGGAACGTCATCACTCTTGCTATACAAATCATAGGGATTGAAAGCCCTAACAGCATCCAACAGCTTATGATCATGCTCATCCATAAGCTCATGATAAGCGCCCTCCCGATGCCACGGATAAAAAGAATGATACCGAATCATAGCCAACCCCTCCTCAGGAATCAACGACTGATCTTTAACAATATGATAAAGATACTCATCGTGACCCCAAGCAAGCATAACATTCTCCAACCCACACCCAGGAGAATAAATGCCGTACTTCGTACTATAAACAGGATTATAATAATCCTCATTATCCTTGAAAGACTCCTTGCCAAAGATAATCCTCTCATCAAAGGCACAGCCAACAGCGAAAGTATCACCAACAACATCCCATTGCCCCTGAGCACCGAAGAAGAAGAGCAGTTTGCCTAGGTCGTGAATGAGTCCCACAAGCTGCATCCAGCGTGGCTTTCCGTCGTTGCGAATCGCTTCGGCGGATTGGAGGAGGTGTGTCATTTGGGACTCGGATGTGTCTGGGTCACATTCATCGATGAAGGTGTTGAGTTTCTCCATTGCTTCCCAGACTGTCATGTGGGCGCGTGTCTTGTTCTTGAAATCGTTCCGCGCTTTGAGGTTGTAGGCTACGGTTTGAAGGGTGTGTTGCTGCGCATAGAAGTTCTTGACTTGGTCGCAGGCGTCGTTGAATTGACGGAATCCGGTTGTGTCTTTGGCTTTGTCAAATTCGGATTCGTCGTACAGGCCTTTTTGCTTTTCCAGGGCTGTTTTGTGGACGTTCACTGCGTCGATGTTGTCGGATACTTGCTCCAGGGAGATTAGAGCGGGTTGGAGTGCGACTGCCATGTTTGCTGGTTGAAGCTGTCAAAATCGATGTTGACTTGACTTGAAAGTTTCGGTAAGTTATGTGCTTGAAATGGATCTTCAAACTTGGTTGCTTTGATATTCGTTTGAGGGGATGTAGGGAGAGACTTATATACCCCGTGTCCTAGGTCATGAATATTGACCCACCCGGACAGTATTTTCCGCAGTATAAGCATCATTTCACATTAAGTTTTGTTGGTGATCGGTATATTGCTTCCGGCATACATCACGTCTGCCACGCTGCATGGTTTCTTCGCGAAGTCTATTTGCAGCTTGAGATGGAAAGCGAATTCCGTGACTTGAGTTGCAATCGTGTTATCCCTGTCACTACAGAGATCAGAATGCAAGCCACAAACATCATAGGAAAAGTGAAAGTTCATCTGGTGGTCAACGGACACTGAGGAACATTTCGGCGTCCATTTTCCGAGCCCGACATATGGCAAGTTGAATGGCTTCAAGATGTATTGAGTGACTCTTGGCCTGGATTTGGGATACCAGTGGAATGATACGATTAGATATTCTCAGTAAGATAGGACTTGTACAGCAGTTCCCCTGGTGGCTCCCCGATGGTCCATACCATCATGCTTGGTTATAGCCAAAATGTGACTCGATCACCATCTTCAAGCCATACCTCGCAGATTAATAGCTCAAGGACTAATTATAGACATAAATAATGCTATGTATGCTTAGCATTCTTTTTAAGCAATACTTCATATTGCGCTTTTTATGGATTTTTGTCTGCACTCAACTTTCTTCTTTGAGGTTACTTCAACAGCATAGGACATGGTCTAAGATAAGTTCTCTCCTTTATACGAATTAACCATACTACCTCACTGACTAGAGCTCAAAACTACACATCCCTATGCAAATATATTCAAACCCAGTATGTCCGAGGTTGATCTATAGATCTAGATATGGTCACGTGCCCGATAAGAAATAAATCGCGAGGCCGCCATGCGCCTCGAGCGCCGATCAACAGCAAATCGCAAACCGTCATAACCACCCTTTCCACCTCCAATGGAGTCAAAATACAACGAGCGCAAGCCGATTTCCCGCGAGCTTCCCGAAATGTTCCGACCGCCCATCAACCGTGCCATGCGCACACTCGACCGATCATTTTTCCGACGAAGCGTGCCCCTCTCCGCCGCGCGGATTTTCAAAGCTAGCGATATTTCGAAGATCCGGAAGGAGCTGACCAAGAGCAATGATGTTTTGTCCGTTCCTCGCCTCAATGCCATCCGTCAGGTGGAAGGTCAGGATGGGTCATCGCTGAAGGCTTTGTTGTTGCGGGAGGACTTAAAGGCCGATGGTGGGTTGTTTCGAGTCGAATTGAAGGCGGGCTATGAGGAACTCATACTAATGAGACTTCACAGACAAGTCAACTTGGTCGCCGACTATTAAAGAGCTTGTGGAGAAGGGAACTGTGGATCTGGGACCTTATGACTTGACATTGGATTATGATTATTGGACATATCGTACGCACGTTATCCTACACAGCGGATCTACTTGATACTTACCTACATACAGCTGAAATCATCCACTCCATTCTACCCGAGGATATGGATGAAATCCCCCAAGGCTTCACGCAAGTGGGCCACGTCTGTAAGTCCATCCCATCCTCCATACTTCCAATACTAACCAACAGTGCACCTCAACCTCCGAGCAAACTATCTCCCATATAAGCATCTGATAGCCGAGATTCTCCTGGACAAGAACCCAACCATTCGCACCGTGATCAACAAAACCGAAGACGTCGGCTCGCACAGCCAATTTCGCACCTTTCCATTCGAACTACTGGCAGGCGAGAACGACCTAAACGTCATCCAACACGAGCAAGACTGCGAGTTCCGCTTCGACTACGCCCGTGTCTACTGGAATAGCCGCCTGGAGACCGAGCACCGCCGACTAGTCGAGAAGTTCCGTCCCAGCGAGATGGTATGCGACGTGATGGCGGGTGTAGGACCCTTCGCCGTGCCAGCAGGCCGGAAGAAGATCTTCGTCTGGGCCAACGACCTCAACCCGCACGGGTACGAGGTGATGCAGGATGCAGTCCAGCGCAACAAGGTGGCAGACTTCGTGACACCGTTCAACGAAGATGGACGGGATTTCGTCCGTGCCTCAGGCCGCAGACTCCTCGAAGCAGAGCCTGTCACTGTTACCATGCACCACAAGATCCGCAGGGATAAGAAGCGCAAGATTGAAGCCGGAGAGGAGGAACAGCTACCCCCGCCGCCAACTTATACTCGTCCCTCCTTTGTCGACCACTATGTTATGAACCTCCCCGCGGATGCTATTGAGTTCCTCGATGCCTTCCCTGGGGTGTACAGCGGCAAGGATGCTCTCTTTGCGCCTCACACTGAGCAAAAATTGCCCATGGTCCATGTCTACTGTTTCTCTGGGAACTCTGATAACGAGGTGGATGACCATATCGATATCTGTCAGAGAATCTCTGAGCGTATTGGGTACAAGATTACCGTTGATGACTGTGTTGGAGGTAGTGGTGACCAGGAGGTGGAGCTTGCCATTCATAATGTGAGGCTCGTCAGTCCCAAGAAGCAGATGTTCTGCGCTAGCTTCCGCCTGCCGAGGGAGGTGGCTTTCCGCAAGGTATAAGTGGTTACATAAGAGGCGTTCAAAAATCATAGACCAAATGGAAATCGATACCCTGAGATCATTCTATCAAAATCATACCTTGAAGTAATTGAAAATGTCGCACGTATAGTCTATAACCATCGGTCTGTGTACATTCAAGTAGTTGACAGAAAGGCGGTGAGTTCATCACCGCCCGAAACTGCCAAAGAGAAACTGCAGAGTTCAACGTCTAGAGGAATAACCTCATCTCATTAACCCCGCCATCTCAGCCTCAGACAAGCGTTCCATCATTGAAATTACAATTCGCACATCGCTCCCTGTCACCCACTTATCAGCCCCCACACCGCAAGATGAGCGTCCAACTCCCCCCCGCCACGCACCGCAAGCGCGCCCTGCCCCAAGGCGAGCTCGAAGCCGCATCAACCCTCAAGCTCGGCGCCGACCAAAACACACATACGCTCTCGCTCTCCGAAGCCCGCCTAGTCATCCACAAAGTCCTCGAGAACAAGCGACGCGGCGGCAACAAATATGAAGAGCCGGAGTAAGTAGCTCCAGATGGAAGAACGATGGTCCGATTTTCCAGCGATCAAACGCTTATCTGACGTATTATCTACTGTCTAGGAACCTGACTAAGACGCTGGATTACCTAGATGTATTTGCGCGGTTTAAGGATGAAGAGAATATTAAGGCAGTCGAGCGGCTGCTGAATTCGCATACGGAGCTGGAGATGTTTGAGCGGTCGCAGCTTGGTGAGTACCCTGTATTTGTGTTGCTTTTGCACAGCCCCTGCACTCTGGTCCATGGATTGGATTGGATGAACCTCGGAGATATTTGATATTAACGTCTGGGATAGGGAGTCTGTGCTGTGACAATGCCGAGGAAGCCAAGTCTTTGATTCCGAGTCTCCAGAATAAGATTTCCGACGGGGATTTGCAGGAGCTGCTGGATGAGTTGACCAAACTGCGCAACTTCACAGAGTAAACTACGGTCAAGGTTGCATGTGCATAAGCATAGCTCAAAATTGGGAGCATGGCGTTCTGAGGTGTATGTAATAGAAACTAGGATTGTTTATTACTTTTGCCACCGGGATTGTGTTTTAGCATGTGCCGGGGATGGAGTCATTGACTCCGGCGTGTTCCACTCCGGCTTCAAAGTATTACCTGAATAAGGTACATCGCGTGTTCTCTGAATGGTTCCTCCGCAATTATTCTTCCCCAGTTCTGCCTCGGGCACTACTGCGTCTTGGTCTGATTGGCTGGGGAGAGGAGTGTTATCATGAGGCTGTGATTGGCCCGGAGATCCCAGTACTATGGATGAGACCAGTCATGCACAATTACATGGATGTGCCTTTTACCACCCCCATATTTAGCCTATAAGTCTATTCTTATTATCTAACACCCTTCAATTGGCGGCTCTTGAATGGTGAGGGTCGACCTGGAAATGCTGACATAAGGGTATTCAGTACGTAATACCACGGGAGCTCAGCCCATCCACCAATCAGCAGTGGTGAATCCTTATCTTTGACAATTTGGCTTGGATAATGGCCACAACTGGTTCAAGTTCTTGTTACGAGAGCAAAAGGTGATCGTCTGGTTCGGGGACCGACCTTACTGTTCTCGGTATTTGGAGTATACAGAGATGTCATCATATACCATTTCTCTTTCTTTCTTTCTCTACACTTTACTTTCTCCTCACCCCGGTTACCTAGTTACTCTCAAGACTTTCCTTTAACAGGAATGACGGAGCGAACTACTCGGCATCTCCTTCTACTGCAGTCACTTGCAGACTCGTCTGCTTGATTACTTCGGTGATCTCGGAGATAACAATATTTTTTTTTTCTTGATAAGCCAAATTGTACATCTCGTCTTATCTCTGGTCTCTGCCAATGAAACTGACCAGTTTTCAGTAAAATACCTATCTACAATGGCTACAATCACTCTCCAGCCGGGTTACTCCCATTCCCCCCAGACCCCGACTCTTTCCCCATCCCCCATATCCATCAACTCGACCCTTCCCCGCGTACGGGATGGAGCCTGTGACGCCTGTCTCCGAAGAAAAAGCAGGTGTGCCATGAACGAAATGGTCAACAAGTGTTATTCATGCGATTTCCATCGCCAGGAGTGTACTTTCAGCCTCACTGCCGCTCCCGAAGCTCCTAAGAAAAGGAAGCTATCCGAAACGGAACCAGCAGAATCGGTCAAGCGGTATGTCCACTACCAATCCAGAGTAAGAACACTGTCCTAACAATGGTTCCAGACCTGCCACTATGCAATCGCAGTCAATAGAAGCCGAGTCGGCACACCCGCTTCCGCTGGCCCGGAATATGATTCGCCCGGGCTTCTTTAACCAGGCTACCCAGCATATCGGTATGACCACCGAGCTGGAACCGACTTTGCTAGAATATCTCCCGCTGGACGAATATGATGAATGTACAGTTTCTAACTCGCGTGTGCGGAGGTGTGCTGATGATGCTACTTTCATGCGTGTCGTTGATACCGTGCCTGTCGGTGACTCGCAGGCTGTGTCGCTCGATGCCATTGAGAGCTTGGTGGCACCGTATGGTTCGACCTTGATTGAGAAGTTCTTCGACCATGTGCACCCGTCGTTCCCGATTCTGATTGAAGAGGCGTTCCGTCAATCGTATCGGGAACGTCGTGGCTTGTCGCCGCTTCTCCTGGCTGCTGTCTATGTGTTGACGTTGAAGTTTGTTGACGTCGGTGCAAGCTCGCAGACGGCGCGGAAACCAGATGCTGCGCGTTTGGAGGCTACGGCGTTGCAGTTGCTGATGGATTCTTTGCCTTCCCCTAGTCACTCGACTATCCAGGCTGGTTTGTTGTTGACGCAAAAGTCAACTTTGGCTACAGCTTCCCTGAATGGGCAGCTGGTTACAGCTGGCTTTGAGCTGGGTCTGCACCAGGACTGCACGAACTGGCGTATGAAGACGTGGGAGAAGGGCCTTCGGAAACGACTTGCTTGGGCGTTGTACATGCAGGATAAATGGTCGTCACTTGTCCACGGCCGCCCGTCTCACATATTCGCCTTTAACTGGACGGTCAAGGATCTCGTGGAGCAGGACTTCTCAGATGCCTTTGCGTCCGGCACCGACTCCTCGCACGACGAAACAGCCGTTGGCCACGGCCCCCTACTCTTCTGCCACATGGTAGCCCTAACAACCATTCTCTCCGACATCCTCGACCGCTTCTACACACTACACGCCATTGAAGAATTCCAAGCCGCAGGCAATCAACGCACACGCATGATCCTCGAAAAAGCCAAACCCGCCCAAATCAGACTAAAAGACTGGTTCTCCTCCCTCCCCCCGTCCCTAAAAATGGAAACCTCAACCGGCGAACTTGTCGAAACAATAACAGACGAACACGCCCGGAACGGCGCCCTCCACCTCGCCTACTTCGCCACCGAAATCACCCTGCACCGCTGCATCGTGCGCTCTCTCCTCGCCGAAGGCACAGACCCTTACCTAGCACACATCTGCCGCTCAGCAGCAAAAACCCGCCTAATCTCCGCAATGGACTTCGTCAACCGCCTGCGACCCGCCCACCTCCGCTCCTTCTGGCCCGCCTCAGCCCGCACAAACTTCTCCCTAATCGGCTCCTTCGGCATGCTCCTCCGCATCACAGCGCCGACAAGCGAAGAAGCAGACTTCTACCGCGTGCGTTTGTGCGAGTATCGCTGGACGCTAGGCGTAAGCCACAAAAACGCCGCGTTCATGGGCTTCGCGCTGCAGAGTCTGGATAACGCTACCGCGCTGCATAAGCACGTTCCCGCGAAACCGGGTATCGAGGAGTTGATGGCTACGACCAAGTCTGCGCCGCCGCGTTTACCTACTACCGCGCATGGTACGTACGACGAGGCCATGATGGAGGCTGGGACGGGGACTTCTTCGTCTGTAATTTCGGGACTGGCTTCGCCTGCTACTTCTGTTAGTGATATTGAGGATGGGGATGCTTCTATGCCTCCTCTTTGATTTCACTTCTTCTTCGCTCATTCTTTTACCTCTATTACCTTCAACTTGAACGACCCTCCTCACGACTCTCACCCTTCGGCGTTTCTATCTCTGCGTTCTGTGCCAAGCGCTTTATTTGATTATACTGATATTGCATGCATGTATGCATTTTCGCATTTTACCTATGTACGCGGTTCTGCAAAATGCAGAACTCACTGTTCACTTTTGTGTTGTGCGTTTGTGCTTTGTGATGACGGAATTACCCTGGCTCGGAATGGAATTTGGAAATGGATCTGGTTTGGATTTGTTCTATTGTGTTGGTCTCGACTGTTTTGCTTTTATCTTTCTTATTCTTATCCTTCTTCTACTTTGGATACTTATAGATGGATTGTATCCCCTTGTATATAGATCATATCATGGATTATGATTACTTTTCATTTAATTTTTCCTTGCGTACCTTGTAGATGTACCTCTGTGTAACGTTCCCTGAACGAGATAAGAAGTGTGGCTCTTTTACTGTACCGACTACATATAGACAGGATAATGTCTGACAAGTCTTGGCTTTCCCTTTCCGTTTTAGTGCTCACCCCCTGCCGCTTTTTGCTCACTGAGTAAAACTGAGCACGCCCTGAGTATCACCTGATCGTTATGTAAGCCGGATGCCACGCTCACTGAGCAATCAGATCCCGCTCGGGTGTGACCTGAGCGCTCTGATTTGCTCACTGAGCATGACCTGAGCAAGCAAGACGCGGGAGCAGCTAAGTCAGCAGCTCACCTCAATAAAATGCACCACGCTAGCCTCATCCAAATGCAGTTGGTCACCAGAACTCTTGACCGTTGTCCCCTCAACGAAAGGCTGCCGTCATCAATTTGGTGGTCGATCCCGGTTGTTTCGCCTCTAGCTGGGAGGCACACCGATAGTAGGATCACATTTGTTGGTTTTACCATTCTGCGGCTATGCCACTATTCAACTCGCTGAGTCTCTCGTATCAACGATACCGTCTCAACATGGTTGCGGAAACTATCCAACCCCCCATTTTTCGTTCTACAATTCTAGGATTATCAAAAACTCTAACTAGATGGTTTGTAAATCTAACGTAGTTTTTGATTATGCTTTCTTTTCTTTTTTTTCCCTTTTTTTTATCTTTTTATTTTTATTTTAATTCTAATTTTAGGGGGATCCTAAATGGACCCCATATCTTACTAAATGGACCCCGTCCTTTTACGCTAATCCTAATAAGGCCTCATGCAGTAATTGTATTTCCAATGCATTAATCGGTAAAAATGCATCAATGCCTTGGCAATGCTAATGCCCCGAGAACCGGCGGTCATGGATCCGAGGTACTTCTATTTACTATGCGTCCCCCTGGTAAAATTAAGTCACCTTCGTACTCTACCATCGACCATGCTCGCAGCATGACACTAGTCCCAAATAGGGAAACAGATGCTGATTTCGAAAGCTCTGCAGAAATAAAGGAATCCAGCTATTCTACGTCAAATGTTGTTAAAAAAGGGCATGATTGTGGTGTGTTAAAATTGGCGAGATGTAAGAAGCCGTAGACATGGCACCTGGCGATGCCCTAATTACGGCATAATTAATTGGGGTGCTGACCTATTTGGGACTAGTGCCTTGCTAGGAAGCATCCAGAAAGCCAGTTACTCGTTGGTAAGAGATGGCAGTGACTTAATTTTACTAGGGGGCCGCATAGTAAATAGAAGTATCTCGGATCCATGACCGCCGGTTCTCGGGGCATTAGCATTGCCAAGGCATTGATGCATTTTTACCGATTAATGCATTGGAAATACAGTTACTGCATGAGGCCTTATTAGGATTAGCGTAAAAGGACGGGGTCCATTTAGTAAGATATGGGGTCCATTTAGGAATGCCCTAATTTTATTTGCGCTTGAATAACGACGGATTATCGCTCTTGCTGCCTCCGCTTGCTCCTAGGAATACGAAGCCAGCTCTGGCGACCCGGACATCCACAAAAATAGACTAAACTCATCGATCATAACTATTAGGTTATCTAGCTGCCTATAACGTGATTTGTGGCCTCTTATTTACCTAACATACTCTAACTAGCAATCAGAAAATACCTTATCTTGTGAAGTCTAATAGGACTTCCTAGGAGCTCTTAGACCTTTTGTGCCACCATGTGATTAGAAGATAGAAAAAGATCCTAGGAGCTCAAGTGCTGGCTCCTATTCGCGAGAACTAGTACCGCTAATGCTGAGAGCCAATGTACATAAAGAAACACCGATCCCTCCTTAAGGCCTCATAAAATCTGCTCATAAATTTAGCAACTTCAGTAATCTAGGTCTGTCTCTTTCAACACCTTAGCCAAAGTAGAAGCCTAACTATTATGTAGATTGTCTAATGCCGCAATTAAAACCGACTACCTGATCGATATCTAATATTTTATATCTGATGAGAGTTGCAATGCCGTTTCCTATATATTCCCGAGCTCTGAGTTCGTTATATAAGGTTAAGAGCAAAATGGGAAGATGTACGTGACTTTCGCTCTTATACCCGGGGAGGGTGTGAATTTATAGGGTGCCTATAGCTGACTGAATTTAGGAGCATAGAATCCACTAAGATCTAAAAGAGAATAGATCTTAGCTTGGTTCCTTGGTCTAATTACACGTACTAAAAACCTATTTTACTTACGCATGCTTATTTTGTTAGTTAGCCCAACGCAAATAGTATATCGGGTATGGCGTGCTTCCCTAGATTGAGCTAGACTAACGCTAGCCCCTCCCGCGCTAGTGAGCTTGATCTATAATTCCCATTCTTCTCAATCTTGCTAAACATCGATATAGACACTTAGACCGATGGCAGTGAGACAACTGAACGTTTCACAAAATTGACCTAAACTGATACTTATTTAGATGAGATTTATATGGCACAATAGTACTACTTCGGGAACTCAGAAGGCCCTAGGTGGAGTATTACACCTGAAAGAGAAAGTTTGAAGATGCCACGAATACGTATGAAAACGAGCACGTGTCTAATCTGATAATCGGCTATGCTACGATAATCAGCCTCGCTTGCCAGTCTTTAGTCTGTATTATTCCACTCTAACTTATAGATATCCTTTTGCCTCTAGACCTTACTTGTTCGACCATGCTTATTCCGGCAGTAGGACTTGAAAGCTTTCAGTCGAGTCATGATATTCGAGAGAATAGGAAGAGCTAACCTACTGGAGCGAAGACGCGCATCCTGCATTGCTAATATTAACTGAATAGCTTTCTACACTCAATTCTTGTGCGTACATAGGGATCCTCAATCTCTTCGCGACAATCCGCTCCATTGGGTCTCCGCTTTCGCTGCCATGAAGCGCACCTGATAATGACTAACAAAAATTGACACCGAAGTTCTGTGGCAATTTCAACCTATTCGGACTTGACAACTAGAAGACCGTATTCTGCCTTATGCCCTTAGCGTCCAACTTCATATTGCAGATCTGGACTATTTGTTTATCTTAGTATATTGTCTATGTTTGCAAGGCCGGTGTTTTTGGATTACATATGACAGGTTTAGAATGTTGTGGCTTGAGGCTCTTGCAGACTAGGACCTAAGCCGCATTATCGACATTAATTTTGCACTATCTATAGGAATGAACGAGCTTATGGAAAACTAGTTAGACTTCATCTTGTATCCCCTTACGGTGGATATATGGATAAGGCCCGATAACCTACTCCTATATACTTGGATTATCTCTGAAACACATTAAATCTTAGAAATCAAAATTTGCGGAAAGTGCAATTACGCCTTAAGACTCGATTGATAAATAGCCGGGCTATTTCGGTCATCAGCTTAGTAGGTGATGTTCTGGGCCCGTATTCGATACAACCGCTTGTTATTTACCGATGTAAGGTAATTACAGGGGCTTTGTCCAGCCTGCACAGCCACCGCTTTAAGACAGATAAGCCACAATACTTAGAACACCTATAATCTGAGAGTTACATGAAACAGGTATGATCCTGTATGATACTATTATCTTATGGTGCCGTTGCGGCTTTTAGTTCTTTTGGCCTATGCTATCTCTTATGAATCATGGGATTTCGTTTAAGCGCTCTATCAAGGAATACTGAATCATGGAATTGTCTTGGACCAGGCCTTGCTTCTAAGGGCTATGGCTTTTCAGAGGTCCATACCACTTATCAGGGGGCCCCCATCGGAGTATCCTAGGAACAAGCGAGTTTGTTCTTCTTGCTCCTAGGAACTTGTAAACTTCACAAGTACTCCTAGGAGCTTAACTACTCCTAGGAGCTTAACTACTCCTAGGAGCTTAACTACTCCTAGGAGCTTAACTACTCCTAGGAGCTTCCTTAACTGCCCCTAGGATCCTAATGCTCACAACACATCAATTCCTAGGAGCCACTACAGTTGCATTTGAGAGTAGAACTCTTTCAAATCAATATTACCTAAGTATCGTTAGGGGTCACGGTTGCTTACGTTTTACCACTAGGCTAGCTGAAGTAATGAGAAATAAACTTGAACAGATCAGGTCTGTTAAGATTTACGCACGTTTTTAGGTATAAAAGTAGCTTCCCCCTAGGACTTTCAATATTTATTTGAGGGATTCCCACCAAAGGAAGGTAAAAGTCCTCGCAGGTCAGTAAGCAGTGCAGAAAAGGGCGGCGCTTTTCCGTCAACAATTTACGTCATTGGTATTCCATATTCAGATATATAGCGAAGGCAATTGAAAAACTCGCATGGTCGGTCTACAGCATAGACAGTAAGATTCTTTAGAAAGCATTATTTTTTCTCAACGTGTAGAATGGAACAGATGAATTTGTGATACTAGCACAACCAACTGCTGGCTATGATATCTTTGCAATTGTGGGGGCTACCATCAGACTAAAGAAATATTTAGTTTCTGATCGGTGATGGGCAAAAACAATATTGGTCAACACAGCAGTGTGTAACTGGATGATTTTTATTTTGATCCCATCGCCCGGTCAAGGGCCACCCTGGGCAGCCGGTGTAAAAGATACGTGGAATTGAGTTCAGGAATCCACTTAACATCCCCCACTTGTGTGGAGAACAGGGCTTCCCGTCCGCTCAGCCGTACTTAAGCCTACTATTCTGCACAGCTAGTTCTCAATGAGCCACTTGCATCTAAGCGGCACTCTAGGGTGAGTGTAGGTGATATAGGTGAGAAGTCTAGAGACTGGGGTGACAGTTGTGAGAACGGGGTGAGAACGAGTGCTAATTCTCACCTAAGGGTGATAGGGCTCAAAAAAATCTAACCCCTAAGGCCCTGCTTTTGTTCTCCTATACTTTCTTTGCCTTCAATGGAAAAGGAATTTCACTAAAGAAGATATCTAGAAAAATTTGAGAAACGTATTGTACCTGCCGTATCTGTGAGGACGGTGCGACTCCTGTTGCTAATATAACTCCGGCAATAGAGTCTTCAAGTAGCAGTGTTCGTGTTCGGATAGTATTAAAAAAAAGAAATTTCTGACCTTCTATGGGAAGGACAGGTATGGGGATTTAAATACATCGTGCACTTACTACTCCAGCAAGTGAATATGATAGCTCTCATACTTCACACTGTGGGTCCTTAGCGCATCACATTGAAAGCCTAAGGTATAGAGTGGTCATGGCCCTAACACCGAGCTGAAGGCTTATACCAAGAAGTTATGCTGCTAATGTAAGGATACTTCTTGTCTGGAAAGACAACCTGTTGGCTAGGCAGAGAATCAATAGATAAACGATACGGATTCGGGAACGTGTTCATAAAGAATAAGTGTCCTTTTCTTAATGAACTGAATGTTGAAGAAGACTCCATTCGTGGAGATTTAATTAATTTGTTTATTCTGCTTTTTGGTGAGGAATAATGAACGCATCCTTGGAAAATTGATCCGCTATCTTACCGGACCCTGCTTACTTTTCGGGTCCAGTTCGGACAGTCCTCAGTTGCTCCTTGACGGCTAAGTGTTGTCCTTTTCGGCTCAGTGGCCTGACGTATCTTGTCTGCATGTTTCAGAATAAATCAAATTCCTGGAATAATACTGCATTACCAGATGGTAGACATCAATCAATGGGTCAAGTGAATGAAAGTGTGACGGTAGTGCAGGACTGCGCACGGCTCTACGGCATCCGAGTTGGAAATTCCGACCAACCGAAGTGCGAATGAAAGCTTGCCAGTTAATGTTGATCCTTCTAAGGATTTGTGCTATCTCTGCATCAACCCCAGCCCATTCATTGCTGATTCCAGCAAGGTTTCAGGAGTCAGGCAAAGTCTCACATTATCAAGCTCCGCTGATTTGAAACTCCCTGACTAAGTGACTAGAAGGAAATCAAACCTTCGGGATTTTGACCTGAAGTTATCAACATCGAGGCGAGATTGACCATGCTTAACTGCGTGTCTGGGTGGTGCGCGCAGAGTTTCGTCCTACGAACCTCCATCACTTGTACTCTGAGCTTCTCTGCATCCTTCCACCGGCCATAGCTTTCTCCTGGCCGGAACCCCCCATCCAGAGGTAAAACGTTGACATAGTCTACAGAACCGCGGTTGAAGAGCCCGCATGCCATCTTGACATCAATTTACGCCTCAGAAAGCACATCGTGACCAGTACAGGTTCAACCATTCAAAGAAATCACATCTGTTAGCAGCCGGAATCATCTTACATTCACGATCTGCATTAATCAGTGAGTTCGAATGCTTGGTATGTGCAAACGACTAAAGTATCTAGCCACCAAATACAATGCTTCACCTATTTACTCACACCAATACAGTAGTATGTATCTTTCTGGAACATAGTCCCGCACTTCTTGCCATCATCACCCAAAACTGTATTCCACTCGTACAACTGCTTCGGAGTAATGTCATGATCCTTGGCGAAGTCAACGCAGTTATCCCCATCCTTGGCCTTGGCGTAGTCGCTGCAGTTGTCGGGAATGCTGTTCGACTGAGTGGGAGACGGGACGGCTCCGCTTGTCGTTGTGGAGGTTGTAGTCATACTGGTGGGCTCCGCACTAGAGCTTGTGTCTGTATCGGTGGTTGAAATCTGAGAGGTCGATGTGCTCGTGGGGGTTGGGCTAGATTCCGACGAAGAAGTCGACGTAGAAGTCGAAGTCGAAGTGGAAAGCGGCGTCGAAGGCGCCGGCGTACTAGGCACAGCCCCCGAAGAGGATGAACTCGCCCCAGACCGGCCGTCCATACAATACCTATACTCCTTGCTGAAATTGCAACTGGTAGAATTGAATTTCTGCTTGTTCAGCGACGGATTCCACTGGAGCAGATCCGCTTTCGATATCTCCCAGAATGCCACAGCCGCTTGGCAGTTACTGTAGCCCGTGAAATTATATTGTAGCTCGCGCCCATCGACAAGGCTCTGGCAAGTTTTTAATGTGCCTGGGGCGATGGGACGAGGGTCAGGGTTATTCATCGGCGTGTAGGTTGCATCAGGGAGATCACCCCAGGGGATTTTGGAGACAGAAGGCATGTAGCCTGGGGCACCAGGATAATTATCCATGTCTTCGACGGGCTTGACGCAGTAACTGCGGCCAGCTATAAAGTTTGTGCAGCTGGGTATGTCAGTTATGCTCTGGTAGAAGGGGAAGGGAAGAGTTCGGGCTCACTTCTGGTTTAGGCCCGGGTTTAAGATGAGGAAATTACCACGGCTGATGGGGAAATTCTGGACGATTGTGTCACAGGTTTCGTTGCTCTTGGGCGTGTAATACTCGCCGCAGTTCTTGGTGCTGTTTTTGGCGAGGTTGGTCGGCACGGGGACGGCCGATGAAGCTGTGGGCGAGCCTGTGGCAGAAACAACAGAGGATGGAGCGTGGTATTTCTCTCCAGGCTCGTCCATGCAGATTTCTGTGCCGATGGTGCGGTTGAAGTTATAGCAACCGCCGTCAATCCAGGGGTTGTATGAGCGCAGTTGGACAGTTGTGATATTGTGTTCCTTGCTGATACTCTTACAGGTGTCTCCCTTTCTAACAGTGTAAGTAGTACACTGGTTCTGGATGCAGAGGTTACCAGATTTAGGGAAGTTAGCGCAGTAGGCTTGGAGTTGATTGTCCATGAGAAGTTGGAATGTGGCGACGCTCTGTGACTTGGAGACCGACTCGCAAGTGTCTCCATCCTTGATGGTGTACTTCGTGCCGCTGCAGGTACTGGCCGTTGGGGTCGCTGCTACGGATGACGCGGATGTGCTGGAGCTACGGAGCATTAGCTTTCGTTTAGGTGATATGTCGAAGTTAACATACATATGTGGAAGAGACATCGTCGGGCTGGCAGTCACCGGGTACCCTGTAAATCCGCAAGACGAGGTATAGCTAGGATACGCACTCGAATACACATCGGGCCCGCTGCCGTAAGGGTACTTGGCCTCGTTTCGAAGCTTCAGCAAAAGACACTTGTTGCAGTCGTCGCCGCCGTTCTTGGTGAGGTTACCCAGAACTATGTTACAGTATTTGCCTTCGTTCTTCAAGCAGGTCTGGTGGAAGTTGAAAAGAAGAGTGTCTGCGAACTCAGTGATGGGATACACCGTGCCCCAGTCGTTTGTGTAACTTACGCCGGAGCATCCGGCAGCCACAGAACGCCTGTATGCTTGCAGCTCGTCGCGACAGTCGCTGGTGCAAATTGTCTCAAGACCATGACGCGAGTAAAAATTGTTGGAACTTAGACTGTGCACAGCGGGGATGCAAGAAGTCAGATTGGTAGTGAGCGCGTCTGCACACTGGTCGTTGTAGTCGCTGACGGAATTGTCAGGAACGGGCTGCCAACAGGTAATGAGTGTGGAAAGAGAGAAAAAAAGAGTGTACCGCGCAAGCGGATTAACGAAAGACATGGTCGGAAGCATGGGCGGGTAGTTGGGGGACTGTCCGAGGCGGACAACTCCCTGTACAAAAGTATTTGTATATGGATAGTGCGAATTGATAAACATTGGCCCCATCATCCTGCGGCAGCTTCAAAATGCGATGGGCCGGACAATCTCCCTTTGGGGTAAGATGCAGCTTCTCACGGGATCTTTACCCACCATGCGCTCCACATCTCATGTCCACCTTGAGCCTCAGCCACTGAATCTGTCGATCGTGGGTCTGAGAACAGTCCTATGCGGAGTAGTTGCAGGGACTGTTCACACTGGTGCATTTGGCCCCTTCGTTCCTCGCACATTTTGGCCCCTTCAGTCCCGCGTGAATTATGCAGAGATTCAGGAGAGACCCTGCACGGTGACCTCCGTATCGTTCTCGGCTCATGGTGAAATTAGAGTGGAGACAAGCTGATACAAGCTAAAGTCACAGCCTCATGCGTGGTTTTGCTTTTGGCCCCGAAGTGATCGGCGATCAGGCACGATTAGGGCTTGATTGGCTGGCCGCCCATGGTTCACCAAGACTGCTCCCGCTGTCCCCATTGATAGAGCTGTAGTTGTTGTAGAGAGAAATTTTGGAGAGATCGGCTGTCCCTCGCTCGAGCTACTCTTCCTCGCGAGTTTGATAGTATTTAGTCGTCCACGGCCGGCCCTCCCTCACGGTGCTTCACCCCTGTTCATCATTTCATCCATTCCTTCATTCATCTTTCGTTCATTCATTCATTAGCAATTCCCTCATTCTTTTGTCCCTCACCATGGCTCGAGGGTTATTGAGCCTATTCTTTCTTTTATTCTTTTTTTCAAATACTATTGCCGACTTGACCGACCTTACCGAAGACCTGAGCACCTCCCTCAAGGCTCTCTCTGACGACAAGTACAGCTGCAGTAAGGATAAGCCATGCGAGAATGGAGCCTGCTGTGGTAAGAATGGCGTCTGTGGCTTCGGTAAAACCTACTGCGGTACCACCGGCAAGTCTCCCAATGATGCCTGCTGGAGTAACTGCGATGCACATGCAGAATGCGGCAAAGATGCAAAAGTCCCTGGTACCGGCTGTCCTCTCAACGTCTGCTGTAGTGAATTCGGCTTCTGTGGTACCACCGAGGAGTTCTGCGGTGATGGGTGCCAGAGCAAGGAAAACTGTAAACAGCCTGACTCCGGTGCCTCTTCCGGCAATGTCCAGGAGCGCATCATCGGATACTACGAGGCGTTCAAGTATGATTCGGACTGCCAGGGCATGAATATCAAACAGATACCCGTTGAGAGTCTAACTCACGTAAACTGTATGTCCCCCTGCTGATTATTATCTGGGCTCAATTACTGATTTTCAAAAAAGACGCCTTTGCTTATATCGACCCTGATAGCTACGACATTGGGCCCATGCCAGACGTCGACGAAAAAACCCTGAAAGACTTCACTGCTCTTAAGAAGCGCAACCCGAACGTGGTTCTTGGTGTTTCGCTTGGTGGCTGGACCTTCAACGACAACAAAACAGACACGCAAAAAGTCTTTGCCGAGCTCAGCTCCTCGAAGGACAACCGGTCCAAATTCATCGACAAGCTTCTCTCCTTCATGCGCCACTATGGCTTCGACGCCGTAGATATCGACTGGGAGTATCCCGGCGCTCCTGATCGACAGCCCGAAGACTGGGACTCCAAGGACGATGGTAAGAATTACGTGAAGCTCATGCAGGACATTCGGAAGGCTTTTGACGACCAGGACCTTGAGTATGAGCTCTCCTTCACTGCCCCAACCTCGTATTGGTACCTCCGCTGGTTCGATATCCACGAAATGGTCAAAGCTGCAACCTATATGAATCTGATGAGCTACGACCTCCACGGTGTCTGGGATTCTAGCAATCCCATCGGTAGCCACGTCCTCGGGCACACCAACATGACTGAGATAAATGAAGCCCTAAACCTTCTTTGGAGGAACGACGTCCCCGCTAAGAAAGTAAATATGGGTCTGGCCTTCTATGCGCGAACCTTCGAGCTCAAGGACAAGAAATGCGACAAGCCCGGCTGTGCCTTCAAGCACGGCGGCAAGAAGGGCGCCTGCACTGACACTGAGGGCATCCTGTCCTACAATGAGATCGTCGGAATTATTGCCGAGGACGACATCACCCCGGTCTATGACAAGAAGAACGCAATCAAGTATCTCGTCTGGGATGAGAACCAGTGGATCTCATACGACGACCAGCAGACATTCCAGCAGAAGATCAAGCTCTTTAACGAGAAGGGTCTAGGCGGTCTCCTGATCTGGGCTATAGACCAGGATACCCGGAATCTAGATGCTCTTCGTGGTGTTCTGTACCCCAAGGACGTTATCATGACGGACAGCATGAAGGACGATACCAGCTACTGGGAAAGTCAGCATCCGGGTGACTGCAGAACTACTGAGTGTGGTAAGCACTGTGGTCCGGGCACCATTGAAATGGACTCGTTTGGATGTCCTGACGGCTCGGGTAAAGGTGACTCCCGTATCTGCTGTCCTCTGGCTGCTGCTCCTGATCCGAAGACTTGCCACTGGCGTGGTGGTGAGAGTGGAAGCCTTTGTAACGGGCAGTGTCACGGTGGTGAAGTGGCCCTGGCTTCTGCTGTTGATGGAGGCAACGGTCACTGTTCAGATGGTACTATTACTCCCTCTCATTATCCTAGTTTAAGTTGATTAACTTTCCTAGGACGTCAATTCTATTGTTGCCCTATCCCCGAAGTTGCTGCTGGTGGCGGGATTAATTGTGGCTGGAAGGATAAGTGCTCAGACGACCAAGAACCCTTGACTTTTGCCGGAACATTCTTGTCAACTGTCTCCGATGTGTTGGATTACACCGGCTTGGTCGGCCAAGCCTTGAGTGATTTCCTAGACGACGTCGACATGGAAAACGAGCGGCAATATTGCTGCTCTAAAGAGGAAATCAAGAACTGGAAAGACTGCTACTGGGCTGTATGTCTTATCTTATATCTAGCCATGGGAACGACTTTAGCTAATCGGATGACAGGGAAGAGGTGGACGATTCGCTGACAGCTGCGACGACAACCACTGTAATACCGGACACGAAGTTGAACTTACTCTTAGCCCTTATGGCGAAGGAGAGGACTGTTTTCCCACGTGAGTGATATTGGGTCGGACTCCAACCCCGTACTAGCTGACAGCAAGCAGTGCCCGTCAGCGAGCCTTCTGCTGTACGCCCAAAAGTGGCGAGTCGTTGTTTATGCCAGTTCCTTTGGAGTATCTCTTTGAGAACCCTCCGGAAAATGCTGATGACCCGGATTTCAATATCCAGGTCGACGACACCTGGGGCACTGGTGACGTTCAAGGTGATGCTGACGAGGAGCCTGATGTGTGTAACCTACGTACTCTGCCGTAATGGACCAAACATAGCTAACGAATTTAGGATGCTGCTTTCGGATTCGTGGTTATTACTGCTCCTGACGAGGTCCAGGTCAGCTTGGACAAGCGTGATGGCTCGCCCTGGGAGCTGATGGACTGCCCCGACACCGATAGCGAAGAGGAGCACACCGTCCGCATGATCTGCACGGAGTCCAGCGAGGACAGCAAATGTGACCACATTCATCGTGGACAGGGTGTTCCTGGCACTATCCTTCAAATGCCCAATCGTTGTGGCCCCGGTCGGTATGCCGTCGCAAAGGGACTTAAGGAGTCTCGGAACCAGACCCTCCCCGGACATCTGAACAAACGTGACCTTATTGGGAAATCTGTCTATGACCTGACATTTGACTATGATTTCAAGCGTGTCCCTCGTGACTACGGCGACGCCATGATGCGGATTGACTTTAGTAACCAGCCCGGATACTGGGACTCTGTTGTCGACAGGCCTGGTGGTAGTGACGCCGAGCGAAAGAGCAAACGCGCAAAGCGAGATGAATCCGGCTACCAGAAGAACCGTAAGCGCTGGCTCGAAGATGAATGGCGAGATGCATATCATCATGGTGGTATAGAGCGCCATGAGATCCACAGACGCTGGTTTGGTGAAGATATTATCAACTGGCTCGGTCAATTGATCTTTGTTGGCGAGGCCGAGGCCACCAAGGAGCTCAACCACAAAGTCAATGAGAAGGTCGAGCTCATTCTCATAGACCAGCAGTTCGGACCGTGCCCTGTTGGTCCGGCCCAGGCGCAGGCGAACATTCGATCCACTATCACAGCTGAGATTGACGTCGAGACCTCCTTCGGTATCACCATCATCACCACCCTTACGCAGGGAATGGATCTCAGCAGATCTTACCTCTACTTCCGAAATGCCGGAGAAGTCAATGCCAAGTTTGAACTTGACGCCGTCGCCTCCCTTACCTACTCTACCGGTGATATCAAGCTGCTCGGTCTCGACGACTTCCCCGGCGCCACTTTCCGTGTCCCCGGAGTCGTCACAATCGGCCCTAACCTCGCCGTCTATGCCTCAGCAGACGCCTCTCTTGTCTTAGCGGGCCACCTCGAAGCAGATGTTTCACTTGCATCGTGGGAAATCCAACAGACATACCCTCAGAACGATGAATACCCAGAACAAGCCCTCGACGAGCCCGACCGCGAAGCTAAAACCATCGGCAAGCCCTCATTTGATGCCTCTGTCACTGCCAATGGCGAAATTGCCTTGCATCTCAAGCCCACTGTCAGCTTTGGAATCGACTTCGACGACCGCTGGAAGGTGCCTCGGTGCGCTGTTGATCTTGTGTTGGACGGTTACGTGATCGGACACGCAGAGGCCCACTACTCACTCAATGGTGACAACAGCTGCCCCTTCAGCTATGGTATTGATGCCGGCTCGACAATGTATGCACAGCTCGACGCACCCGATGAGTTCGGCTGGGGCGATGACCTCCGTGTCACACTCGCTGAGGTGCCCAGGAAGCAAATCACGCCTTCGACTTGTGTGGGCGACAGTGGTGACAAAGATAAGCGGGCATGGATGGGCTATGAGGCTATTAATGCCTCTACAGAAGATGTCTCCCCACACAGCCGGGGCCTCATGCCTATGCCGGTGTCTCATGGGCTTGCCAAGCGCGACACACTTACCCTCGGACCTTTGGTTACGATTCCCGATAGCTTCCTTAACTGCCCTGGAGAAGGGGGCGGGAAGAACTTCTGTGTGATGTGCTCAATGTTCGGCAAGGAGAGCAGCGACAATAAAGGCTCGAAAAGAGAGATTCCGCCGCTATTCCGCCGCGACGAAGACGATTCCTGCCCTTACTATCCGCCTGGTGATGACGAGAAGTGTACCGATTCGGACTCGTCGCTTTTTGCACGCGCGTCAGATCCGAATACTGCCAAGAAAATGACTCTCAGTTTCCTGAGCACGAAGAATAAATTTACGTATCTGAGATATCCCAGGTGTAACGCGAAGAACAATGGGCCGTCGAGTGTGGCGAAGGTAGGCTCCCATGGTAATTGTGTTTTTGAACGAAAAGGGAATGCTAACGAGTATACAAAAGTGGTATCTTCCTGAGTTCATGCTCTCTAGCTCAACTGATATTAACGACAACCGACGGTGCTCGGCAAAGACAACCAAGGAGAATTCCGTCCAGGGAGCGAACAATGTCTACTACGTGGATGGAAACTCGGATCTACCCGCTACGGCCTTCCGCTCGGAGCACGTCTTCGAGGTGCACCTGGTCAGCCATTTCCTTGAGTGGGTGTGTGGAGGAACAAAAGAAGCCAAGTACGGGAATCTGAGGAGCAAGCTTGCTTTCCCTAAGGATTGGAAGCCTGCTGATTCTACTTGGTGCAATGAGGTGTTTGGAGGTAAAAAACCCAGGCCTATGTGTAGCAGATTGACATAAACTGATGGCATTTGTACAGGGTCTAGTGGTGGGATGACTTGGTCGAGGAACAACGGCCCCAAAAAGAACTGGGTCCAGCATACGGCCGACGTCCTAGGAAGTGCCTCCAATACTGACCTGCTCGTTCTCTACCACGACTCGCCCAACGGAGTTAAGAAGGTCATCACAGAAGGAAACCAGCCTGATCTCGATATCAATCTCGCAGAGAAGGGTCTAGCGGACAAGATCATGATGAGCGCCACTGTTTTCGACTACATCCGAACCCTCAGCGACAAATGGACCAAACCCAGCCAAGACATCGAATTAATCTCCGACGAATTTGACCATGAATATACCCGCCAATACGTCAACAGCCCACCGTCGGGCAAGGCGCTCGAGAAGCCTAAGGCCCCCCGCGATATCAAACATTGGGGTCTGCGTACCCTATGGGCCTATTGGATCGACAGGCACCTAGACCAAATTGAAAAGGTTCAGAGCGGATGGCACCAAGTCGCTAAAACAAGAATGGAAGGCAAGGGCCAGAACAGCCCAGACGCGAAGAAGTTTGCGTCTCAGACTATGACGACGGGCGACGCAGCGGTGGGCAAGTTCAAGTTCCCACAGAAGAACTTGGGTAAACCGCTCCCTGGTGATCCGACGAGTTCATCGAATGATAAGAGTAGGTACGGCATGTGGGGAGACAATCAGCTAGGAAAGCTCGGCCTGTAGTAGACCTTATACTATTGTTCCGGTGTATATATGTATAGTTGTATATATCAAGTGGCCAGAGTTGACACTCGTGGTACTTATAACTTGTACCTTATTAGTTGGTTGGAATTGGAATTAAGCCCTATGTAGGCCTCGCCAAACAATTTCGTCGGCGTCGCGCACGTCGGAGCATCAAAAACGTTGGATTTCGCCGTGTCTGTATATCGTGCATGGAAAGAGCCGGATACGACCTGGTTGGAGACGCAAGAATACATCACGCCGCTGGGACTGGCGTTGATAAAGACCGCAAATGAACGAATATAAATGATGTCGTAATATTAGCCCCATTCCTTGTTATCAACTGGGTAATATGGGACTTCTCCTTTGTTAGGGTGTGACCCACGTCACCATCGTCTGCTGAGTCCCTCAAATAACTAACTTATGAATCTGAGAAATTTGCGATCTCTTGGTTCTTCGGAGCCGCTCTAACATGCCCGAGAAGCTGCTTTAAAAAAAGCTGAATATCATGCGCCATACAGGGAACGCGAATAATGGAATCTCGAGAGTTGATGCCACCAGAAGAAATAAGGGTGTCTTGCAACGCCCTAATCAGGGTCCCATTATTGGTTACCTAAAAATTCCTTTTAAGAGTTGGCGTTCGCTGAGCAACTAAAGAAGCACGTCGTATAGGTTCACACCCGTGCGAGGGCCATGCAAAGGCTCGAAGCCAAGCAGCATCTCTCTGTAGTTCCACTCTTTGTCGATAAAATGAATGGTGATAGCCATAAACGCTTGCTGAAACGGACTCATCCAACAATCCAGAACAAGCGATACTTTGACATCCCTGGGCAAGTCGTCCAACTGCGAGTCCTGCTAGGTAGTCACCGCGTCACGTAAACGCCGGCGGAGTGTTTTTGCGGACTGGATCTTCAATTTTGAGGGTCGGAGTGGATCGGATTAAGCAGGCCTTAGAAAGTGGGGTCTTTCACAATTTTGAAAGGAAGTTGTAGATGAGTGATTGTCTTCAATATAAACTCTCCAACTTCAAACTTAGTGTATTTGTTCGAGCGGAGCGATACATCTCTATGGGCTCTTTGCATCGAATCAGAGATAAGTACTTGGTGTGAGGCTCGTCTCTTGCCTTTACGGCACGAAGTAGACCTTGAATGTTTACCTATTGCGCTTGTTCCGTGCGACTTATGTTGCGGGTGGTCAAGTAATGTCGAGTAAGCCCGGCAGATAACTTTAAGCCGGCAGTTCCGCCACCTAGTTGAAGTGTTTCCACACTTCTGTAGAGTGAGATATCACCGACTATTTGATTCTCGATCGTCCGCCTCTATATACGAGTTGGCTATATTCAGTCTCGAGCCACTAGGACAATATGCGTAAATCATGCAAACGTGCATTAGATAGATGGATGGGTATATATATACATATATATATATGTCAACAACCAGTATTTTTTGTATCACCCTGCGAACATGTGACGCCGATAATTTACAAATATTACGAACCGTGACTAATCATTTTTATGTAACTTACGCATTATATTAACTTTGGGTATTTGGGTCTACCCACGGGTACCCGCCCCGTCTATCGTTCCCCTCATTCACTTCTTTAACTCTTTTTGACTCTTCAAATACTCCCAAACACCCAAGTCACCATGTCTGACTCGGATGAAGATGACTGGCAGCAAGTGCGCACCTACACTGACCATCTTGGTCACCGCGTGGTGCTGGAGCAGTTCGTCGAGCCAGACTTCCCTCCAGATGACGTACACTTAATTCCCTTCCAGGTCTACAGCCTTGTTCCCCTGGATGACGACCACGAACAGCTCCGGGAATACCTGATGCAGAGCTTCATTGATGAAGAGCTCAAGCCTTTGTTCGAGATTTATTCATACTGCCCGCCCGACGCCTTCGCCTGTATTGAGCATAACCGCCGGGAAATCGCCCACCGCAAGCAGCTACACCGGTCAGGGGTCGAGAATCCACCCCCGCTGATTCCGAAATTTCCCCGTCGTAGCGATGGCACGCTCGGTGGGTTTTGTATCCTAATTCGATCTCACAGCTATCGACTAGGCCAGGATGAGGATAGGCTTGCTGAGGCGGGCGAAGGCCCAGACTTGCTCTACTTCAACCGCTCGTTTTCTAGCACGCGCAGTGATGTTGACGAGGCGCAGCGTATATCCGAATACGACGATCTCGCACAAGAGGCATTTGAATTGGCCACCGAGCGTATCACGAAGCAGTTTAACATCGGCCAGATCCTTATGCTTGATATCTTCCTGAACACCGGTCGTCCTAGCCTACAATACGCCTTGGATGTGGATGAGGGCGAGCCTCCTAACTCGAATCCGCCGCCAGAAGAGCAGATTCGCGACCAGTTAGGCCAAGAAGCTTCAGTCGGCGGCTTCTCTCTTAATCCGGCATTCCAGATTTCTCACGATGACGACATCGTAACGGTCACCAATACTCCCAAGGGAAGCGTCCCTGATATTCAATACGTTGTCCATGCGCTTTTTCTCGCCTCTATCCGTGACACAGCAGGGCCCTCCCTCCTGGAAAGCACAGCGCGCCTCTTCACAGCGGCAGTTGTCTCCTACCTCCCGGCCAATAAAACCCTCGATCTCAAATTCTACATCCCAAACTCCCCTTCCTGGTCGGCCATCCGCCCCGCCCAAGCCGAAGTTCTATCCCACCAAACCCAAGAAGGGGACCAAGAAAATCCCTTCCTTATCGGGGCCCTGCACACCTTTTCCGCAGGCGACGAACAACCCCCTACCGCACATCGCTTCACCCCCCAACGACCCGACAAATATTTCACCTCAGCAAAAGCGACGGCCAGCACGCCATTTCGTCTGTTCACAGTTGCGCTCGATCGCGCCAAGTTTATCTCCGAGGCCGGGGTTTACTTCTACATGGCGGACTTCGATGCGTCCGGGGATCCGGACCCTTACTTGGAGGTATGTCCCGATGATACGCAGATTTTCCGGGGCGTGGATATGAGTACGGTTGCCGGACGGTTGGGGCTAGTTGTTCTTGACGGATAACTGGTTTTGTTGGGTGGTTTACTACATGTACATGTCTTGTGGAGATACCACTAAGCTGCAGTATTTTCACCATACATATCGAACTCGGAATAGAATGCGATGATATGAAAAGCTGACGGCACCGTTGGGATATATCGGTGTACCTTAGAAAGATATATACAAACAACTTTTTTCAATCATATATAGACAGGATAATGTCTGGCAAGTCTTGGCTTTCCCTTCGGGTGACCCGCGGGTCACAGCCAGGTCTAATTCCAAGGTTACTTCTTTGACCACGTTCATTTAGAAGATAAAGAATTAATTGGTTTTATTCTTTTTGCAGTGAGATTTCTGAGACAATATCAACCTTGGAACATGATACGTCCAATTTTTTTCTGCCCGTTTATGCATCACCTCTTCTTTCTGTTGTCCACACCTATATCTGCCAACTGATCGACGACGCTATCTCCTACCTAGGTAGTAGGTAGGACTGGTAGATCGCAGGGCATGCATTTTATTGACTCTCTCTCGTGTCTCGACACCATGATTATGCCCGGTTATATAATCACAATGATTTCCCGCTGTGTATAATAAATCTGATTAATTCGTTTATACACTATAGTAAAATTCGGAAATAGATTACCCCTAGGACGCTCACCATTCATTCGATTCTCGGCCCGTACCCGCAACCACGCTAACCCCCCGGGCCGTATTAGGTTAATCCAAAATGAAACCCTGTATAGAATGTATTGATTGGGTTTCTTTGTCTCATGAGTCACTCTAAATTACCTAACAGCAAGCCCCATTTTTCTATGCAAGGATTAAGAACGGGATGCCATGGCATGGAGTACAAGGTAAAACTCTATCTTTGTTTCGTCAGGTATATAGTATAGCAACGTAATCCAATCGTCGTCCCAGGGGTGCCCAGGTGAAAGCAGAGGGCAATTACTCCGTACAGATTTATCCAATTACAGATTAGCGTGGTTTTGGGTACGGGCCGAAAATCGAATTCTAGGAGATCTCCAGCAACGCCTCAAATTATCCACTTAGATCATCGCTATACTTCATAACAATTAGTTCACATGTCAGTGTGGAAATCCCGTCTACGACCTCTGATTGCCCCAAATTCCGCCAAGAGCGGGCCACACTATACCCCTGGAAGGAGACGCGAAGCAGATGACTAGCACGCTTCTTCGGTGGATATAGAACCACCGACGCTGCCAGCGTGACAAAGAACTACTTTTAGGGTTTAGGCGATTTTTAACCTAAAAATAAAAAATCAACTAAAAGTAGTTTTGTAAAATTCTGCACTCATGTAGCACCGTAGTCACTCCATACGCTACAAACCAGGCTACCGTTTTGGCCCCTGTACGGAGTAGGCCGCTGTCCAATTCTCGTCGCCAGCGTAGAGAATGAATGTTTGCTCGTTGCTCCTACTGTACTTTGACATTCATTTTCTCTTGTTCCTTTTCTTTGACTCCTTGACCAAGCGCCAATACTAACCGGTTCCTCGAGTCAGACCAGGCAAGGCAGCTTGTTCCATTTCGTATTCTTTTTGTACCTCCTACCTGCACAGCCTTGCGTCGCAACCAGTCGCAACCGGAAGACGCCCGCTTTTCATGGTCGACTCGCTTTTCTACCAGCGTTGAAGCGATACCACCAGAAACGCTAGCATGAACCTTATTCGATCCACCTGCGATCGTTGCTACGCCGCCAAAACGCGGTGCACCAAGGATGCCTCGTCCAACCAGTGCCAGAAGTGCGTACGGTCAAGCGCAGTCTGCAACTACAGTCCGCGCGGCCACGCTGGCCGTCCGCTCGGTCGCGGGACAGGCCAGTCAAGCTCGCCCAGCCAACGCCAAACCCTAGCCATGAGCAGTATGTCGCGAACCTTGCTCTTCTTCCTTGCCCTTGCATCACATATACTTGACATGGAAAGCTCACAGACATGACACAGCTGACGAACCATTCATCACCCTGCCTCCGTCTACCGCTTGTAGCATAGACCTCTTCAGCAACCTCCACTCCGACGAGAACACTGCCGCCTACTTGTGGGACCACCCGCCCTTGCTAGAAGACTACGGACAGTCTTATTTGCCCATCGGTGAGGCGATACACAGTGGTACGCTTACGACACCAACCGCAAGCTCAAATGCTGCCACCGACTTGTTCTCGTCCTTGGGGGCCGACAGCCCCCACCGCTCCAGCAGCGGCACACACCATGACACCCATTCTAGCAGCGAGGCGCCTTCTGCCGCCGCTTCGATCAAGAGCGAGAGCCTGCACAGCCGGCTCGTAGTCACACACACCGAGCTCATCGCCTTGTCTGAGTCGCTCGCCGTGTCCTTCAGCATGACCGACGACATGGGGGTCATCTACAGGCTTAGCGCCGAGATGACCGGGATACTTCAGCGCCTCAAGGAGAATGGGCCATGCTACCCGCCGATGCCGATTGCCAAGTGCCACGGCATGACGTCTCTGCTCATACTGGGCTGCTACAGCTATCTTCTCGAGGCCTATGAATTTTCCATGGCGAAGCTGCGACACGAGCTGCGAGACACAGGTAGTCCCACCGCGATGCTGCAGCAGCAGCGACAGCAGCGGGCTGCGTCACCCGAAGAAGCCCCGCAAATCAACATTGGAGGCATCCGGCTGCAGGTATCGAGAAAGTCGGCCGCCGAAATCCACCTGCAGCTCGTCTCCCAGACGGCCCAGAATCTCCGCGAGTCGCTCCGGCAGTTCGTAAAGCACACGGCAGCCCCACGCTGCTCCATGGACCTGGACACCGTCGACGACAGTCCGGCATCGAACCGTACCGGGGGCGGTGCCGGGGAGACGGGCCGCGGCGACAGCATTGAAATTCTAACAACAATGGCCCAGCGGGAGTTGCGGCGACGAGAAGATGGCATTTTCCAATACGTAAATGAGAGCGCCGCCAAGAAAACAAGGTGAGTGTACAGTAACGATTCTACGAACGCGATATCTTCAAATTGTCCATAACTTGACGTATACTTGTTTCGGTAAGTATTATTTTTCACTTTGCGAGCCAGCCTTTGATGCAAGACGAACCTCGGCCTTGCTCCCGTTTCTGCCTTACTGAGCGCACGCACACGTCCAGATATTTCTGCAATGGATGAATGACTCATGATTTTGTAACAAGCAGGTTTAGAATGATGAGAATTGGCAAATAAAATATGCATAGAATACTACTGGTTTCATGACCAAAGCAGGTACTAAGTAATATAACGTGAAAACTGGCCATTCATTTGAATGCTGTGCCATTTATCAGCCAGCCCGAAAAGTAGCCGGCATCACAAAGTGTTCATTTGACGGGACTGTCCGGAGTGGCAGGGTAGTAGGCCGGAGGGTAATAGCACTTAAGACGTCCACGCGTCCACGCGCCTGCACATCTGTATTTCCTCTTTCTCTTAGTATTCTCGCAATATTGCAACATTATCTCTTGAGTTGATGTCATCTTCTCCTGTGACAGTATAGGCTGATGAGCAGGAAAATAACAGTTCTGTATTTCATCTAATAGTATTGCCTTTCTCCGTTGCTCTAGGAGTATCTGACTGGAGTCTTCTGACTTTGCGTTGGTGAATTCCAACATCCATGGATCGGAGTGTTCTATGTATGTCCTTATATAAACCGTATGAGAAAATACACATAACCAATGATAAATATTGGCGTCGACTGGATGTCCTTTCTATCCAGAAGAAAGCTCAGCATGCACTACTACTTTCCTGATCCAGATTAAACCTTGAACAAGACAATTGAACCTGCTTCATGCTTTCTTTGCAATAGTGACAGTGTATTTCTGATGAATTCTTTCCTCAGATGACAGGTCTCTTAAAGCATCGCGGATGAGCTGTTCCACTTCGTCGTGGGCAATGTCCAGCAACCCTAGTAGTTTTCCCATCAGCTCTGGATAGTTTAACATCAGCTTCGCTTGCATGTATCGACCCATTGCTTGACTGTTGGGAGACTTGCCCGACGGGACAAACGAAAACTCAAACTTCCGAGCTTCAATAACTTTCAGACCAGCCGTCTCCATGAGACAGGCCGCATTGGATCCAGAAATTTCGGATAGACCGGCCTTCTCGACGGCTTCTATGAGCCGGGCGTACCAGTTCTAGTTATAGCTGAGGTATTCGTCTGTGCCGACACGATAGAACTTCCAATCTAGGTCCTGATGCTCAATGATGCCTTGGTCCTGAAGCATGAGGCTGGCAACCTGGAGGTACTTGTGCCAGTCGTTGATACCCAGGAACAACATGCGTCCAAAGAAGTAGCCAATAGAGTTTGGTGCCAATGCACCACGGCTGAGGCTGTCCGTCTGCTTCTCCATGTCCACATCTAGAATATTACCAGTCTCCCATTGCAGATTGGGCGAGGCAGCAGCAAGTGCAGGTGCGGGAACAGGAGTAATGTCAACGCCGACCACGTTTGCGCTGGGGAGCATAGCAGCCAGATGAATGGTTGCAATACCAGTTCCGCAGCCAATATCGACTGCTTTGGGAGGCGTCTGTGAGATGACGGTTGTACGCCAAAAACGGAGTACCACCAATCATGGGCACAATGGCATCGGCTTGCGCATCGAGTCGATCCTGCTCAATGGCGCTACATATCATATGTTAGCGAAGGGTTCAATTCAGCCTGGGTTCTGAAAAGTCGCACTCATTGGGAAGGACATATGACGATGATGTGTTGTGATAGCCGCGTTCCATAGTCGTGGTAGCCATTGTGGGTTGATTTTGACCAAAAGGTAATGAATGAATGAATGAAGGCTGTTTGTGTATTCTTGCAGAACTTGGGCGAAACCACCTTCAGAGTATGGCTATATGGCGGCGACGTAGTGTAGTATAATTGCTGTTGAGCATGGGCGATCCGTTTCAAGCCGGCTGGCCACTAGGCATGCGGACGGAGGGTTTGGTGGAGCCTAAGTTGGTCTAGAAAGGGCTGTTCGGAGTCCGGACCTGGATCCTGCTTACGGTCTTGAGTTAATTGCAACGGCAGATACTCACAGAAATAATTCCATTTGTCACGCCAGTAGGAGAGGGTTCCAGATGCCGATTATCGCGAAACCCGCTCCAGGTCTAGTCAGTTAGCCAGCCCGATTCCAGCCCTCAAGTGCTTTGTCAACCCTCCGAATGCATGCAAATAGGGGCGTCTCGGCTCATTTCGCTCAATTTCTTTGTTTAGGTCAAAAATAAAATGAACGATTCATCCGGCGTTGCACGATTCTCGTCGTGGCATCTTCCCAGCGCTGTAGTAGCTACTTCCATACTAGCCAAAATCGATCGAGCAAACTGATCTCGTGAAATCATGAAAGAGCAAAGCGAAGACAGCGAAATCCAGTCGCTAGACGACACAAGCAAGACCGCGACTCCGGATATGGCACGAGCAGACCAAAAAGCCCAGAGCCCACCGAGCACGGAAAAAGACAGTTACGAGGTCGGCTGGGAGGGTGGTGAGGCGGATCCTCTATGCCCTCGTAGCTACAGCACCTTGAAAAAATGGCGCATCACTCTTGTTATTTGTTTTGTCAGTCTGTGCATGTAAGTTACGCACGATCAAAGCAACTGACCCAAGCTAACACAACATATTCAGGACATGCGCTAGTTCCATCTACACCGCGACATACCAACAGATGGAAGCAGAGCTGGGCAACTCAAGAATAGTGTCTATTCTTGGTCTTTCCCTTTTCGTTCTCGGTATCAGTTTCGGTCCTATGGCTCTTGGCCCCCTCAGCGAGTTTTACGGTCGGCGACCCATTTACGTCATTTCATGGACGATCTATGTTATTTTCATTATACCACAGGCCGTCGCCAAGAACATTGGGGTGATTCTCGTTTTCCGTTTCCTCGACGGCTTCGCTGGCAGCGCTTTCCTCGCCGTGGCTGGAGGCACCATTCACGATCTCTTCGACAGGGCGCAACTACAACACCCGATTTCTATCTTCTCAGTGTCGCCTTTTATCGGACCCAGTCTGGGTCCCCTGATTGGCGGTTTGATCTGTTCTTATCTCGATTGGAGATGGACGTACTACGTTTTAATCATTTGGTCTTTTGCTTTGTGGCTGGCAATCATCTTCCTTGTTCCTGAGACATTTCGTAAGTTGATGGCCGGAATTCTTCAAGTCCTGTTCCAAACTGACATGTGCTAGATCCGGTTCTATTACGAGACAAGGCGAGAAAGCTTCGAAAAGAGACAAACAACGAATCATGGTTTGCTCCTATAGAAAGAGCGCACCGGTCTGTTGCCCACGCAATTGGCAACTCCTTACTCCGACCATTCCAGCTTCTCTTCCTTGAACCCATGTGTTTCTGCCTCTGCATTTTTGCAGCACTCTTGCATGGTATTCTTTACTTATTTTTCGACGCTTTCCCGCTGGTCTTTGTCAACAATCATGGTTTCAACTTGTGGCAAGTCGGTCTATCCTTCCTAGGAATTGGTATTGGCATGATCCTAGCTATTTTCATGAATCCGGTTTGGAACAATGCACGAAACCATCTTGTGCAAAAGAAAGAACAAGAGACTGGTATCCAAGGTGCTAGCGAGCCCGAGTTCCGGCTTCCTGCTGCTATGGTAGGCTCTCTGATTGTGCCTGTTGGCATGTTCATGTTTGGATGGACAACATTCCCCTGGGTGCACTGGATTGCTCCTATCATAGGCTCTACCATATTTGGATTTGGGTAAGTACAAGCTCTCATAGTGCAAGAGGAAAAGGTTCAAAAGCTGACGTGGTGACACCAAACTAGGGCATTGCTGCTGTTTACCTCTATTTTCGGTTTTCTTGTAAGTTTTCTGGACCTCTACCCTTTTTTTTATTAAAATTGTCTCTTGAAAGGCACAACTGACAGAACTTGCATCAGGTTGACGCTTATCCAACGTACGCAGCGAGCGCCATGGCCGCAAATGGCTTCATCCGATGCATTTTTGCCGGTACGTATATGGAGGCAGTAAAATGCCATGAATTTGATTTCAGCATAAAACTAATCTGAAACCGCAGCCGTATTCCCGCTTTTCGGCGAACACATGTTTGAAGGGTTAGGATACCAATGGGCGTCATCATTGTTGGCGTTTCTCACTGTTGGCATGATACCGTTTCCGTTCCTCTTTTTCCGCTATGGCAAGCTTATTAGAGGCAAAAGCCGCTTCGCTAAGAAGTAGTTGATTCTGGCTGAGCAAGTATATGCATGATGGCTAAAGTCCGCCACTAACTTCATCCACTCTTAGCTTTCGTTGATTAGCACATTTCTGCGCACAGATTTGGGCGGGCAGCCTGACTGTGACCAGACAAAATAACATGTATTCTTGAAAGTCAAATATTGTAAAAATATTTTAGTACTTGTCGTTGAATTCGGGATCCCATTTCTGCTTGGGAATCCAATCATTTTATTCGTTGCTGTAGTACCAACTCTCTCCGAGCTTGTCCGTGCCATGCTTGTCGGAGGGAGCGCCATAATGCGAAAGAGAACGAGAGTGTTCTGCGAGGGATAAAGCATTGAAAGCTGGCACGAAACCAAGCAAACCAAAAACTCAGTATCTAAAAATGTGCAACTTGCTCAAAATGTTCCTTCTCAGGCTGCTCCTCGGAAATGAGTTCGTTTTCTGGCCTCCGTTCCGTGTATTCTGACTCGAACATTTTATCAATTCCTCAAGGGAGAGTCCTGCTGTCTCCACATAAACCACGGGGACAAAGATAGCGTTTAAGACCGCATAAATTAGATAATACTTCCACCCAAGATTAGAAATACCAATTGGCGTAATCAGTACGACAATGTAGTTGTTGATCCATGTCATATCCAAAAATTTCACATCCTTGCGTTGCGATGCAAAGACCACGGCCCCGTCATCTGAAACTTGTGGAAGCAATGAAATCATACCGGAATTCCTCCTGTGAAGCTTACTAGCCGCTGGTTCGAGGGCCTGGGGCATTGACGCAGATTGTAGGATCGGATATGCAATTAACACAGGGGCGAAAGAGGGACTCGTCCTTGTACAACCATCGTAAGTTCTCGGGAGAAACCAGCATCGGTTGTGACCAAAGTAATTCGCCAGCGCTGATATGCACCGAAAATGGCCAACAGGAAGAAGACCCGTACTGACTTCATATGCTCGCCTGCAGTTTGTCTTCGCCAACTGATTGCGCAAACTCAAGCACAGTCAAATCTACCCCAAGCGGAAATACCAAAACGCCCCGCCCCATAAGGCAGGAAGCTTAGCACAACGAGCCGGACTACTAGCAGCCACGGACTAGACTCGTCCAAAAATACCGGATCTAATATAAGGTTAACTTGAAACAAAGTTAACATCACACTTGGCGGATAATTCTGAGGATGATTTGTAGAGTTATGACTAGCAGTATAGTATCAAAAGATCAGGTACAGTTGTACATTATAACAAAATAATCACTGTGATGACATAGCAGCCCTCCCTTTCTCATTGGACATGTTGTGCAACCTTAGCCAGACGCCGAAGTATGGTGTGGGTATCACCGTGTAACATTTTCTGACCTTCGGACGTGCCTGTATATTCCGATATGATCATTTGTTGTGACTGATTCGATGTGTTATTCTTACTACGTCAAGAAATACGGGATGGCACTCACTATCCTCGCGAGGTTGGGGTATCTTTGAGGGTTATGTGAAGTCATCAACATACTTTCGAATAACTAATTTGAACAATAGATAAAATTCAACCTATAAAGCACAAGTCGAGATAAACAACCCTCAAACACCTTCGTTCCAATTCTAGTTTCCTGCGTCAGAATATCAAGCCAATGATGTTTCCATCCTTGCTTCAAAACAATCTGGCGATGATCGACCATTCTTCACACTGTACAGCCCCACCCATCACGCACTTCCCCTATTCTATACTGTACCGGACAATACCATCTCCCACTGACGATACATTATTGTAGATATCGATGATTTTTGTACCCCTCTTATGAGGTCACCGTCTTCGGAATTTGGAATGAGGGTGTACATGATATGCACGTTAACCGGAAACGCCGACTCCATCAACGATGGTGATGCCAAGGCTATAAAAGTAACCCCTCAGCTTTAATCCCATGAGAATATAGAAACAGATCAAGATCCTCAATATATCAGCAAGAGTATACTAAAACACAGCGCCCACAAAAATGGAACGCAAAACCCTTCATGACCCAATCGCAAGGATACGCGCTATACTCATGTGGCCTTTTCCGGCATTATGGAATACTATATGCTTTATTTTGAGCATTAAGGTCTTCCCACTAGTCTGGCATGTACGTACGCAATCTCCCCCTCCCAAAGAGCCAAATATTAACCCTCCACATCGCCAGGCCCGAGTCTTCTATTCAATGCTCTTCCGCTGGCGCCTAAATAAAACCCCAATCCCGCCATCAACCCTCAAAACCCTAACGATCTTCCAACCTACAATTTGGAAAAGCAGTACACCATTAGGCGAACTCGACTTCCTAGGTCACAAATCAAACGCAACATATCTGACGGACTTCGACGCCGCGCGCGTCTACCACCTCTCCTCGATCCTGCGAGTGGGATTGCATAAATGGTCGAATGGGCAGAGTGGCCTTCTTGCTCTTCTTCCTGTTCTTGGTGGTGTGGAGTGTTCATTTCGGAGGTCTATTAAACCCGGCCAGAGGTATGATATCGTTACTAGGATTGTTGGTTGGGATCAGAAGTGGTGTTTTGTTGTCTCGCATTTTGTGAAGGAGGGTGTTTTTAGACCGAGAGCCTTTTCGGATCAGGGGAAGGGATTGAAGGTGAAGAAAGAAGTTAGGGATGGAAATGGGGATTTGGAGAAGGGGAACTCTGGTGAGAGTGAGAGTGATGGGGATGGGAAGGACGCTGTTTTGGCGGTTGTTATGGGGAAAATGGTTTTTAAGAATGGGAGGAAGACGATTCCACCGGCTGAGGTTTTGAGTGATTGTGGACTTGTTCCTGCTATTGAGGAGGGCGCTTCTTTTGGCTCGCGTACTGTGGGTAAGCCTGTTGATGATGCTGGTGCTGGTGATGGCTCTGAGCCGAGGGTGAATGCCATTGATCAGCAAATGGTCATTGCGAAGGCTATTGAGGAAAGACGGTTGAGGGGACTTGAAATTGCCCAGAGTATCAACTCATTGGATGAAGGGGTTCCTTTTGATTTGAATGAGGATGTTGCTTTTTCGAAGTTCTAGATTTGATGTTTGATTTATAGAGCTGGAGTGGTTCTTGTTACGAGGTGGATAAAGTCTATACACATGAAAGAATTGAGAAAATATTGATTGAATCAAGCGGGTGGAACATGATAGATTAGAAGGAAGAAAAGTCATTCCCACCACCGAAAGCAAAGTCCTCCAATATACTCGGGTTTACCAGGTTCGCCAACATCTCAGTTCGAGTGCGATCGGGCTGCTGTTGTGTCTCACTGCTGAACAAGGAAAAGAAGAAGTCCTCATCATCGGAATTTAACTCATGGTCTGTGACAGGTTGGTGTCCCATGATCGACGAGGGCGCATCGAGAGGAAATCCCGATGTAGGCAGAGATGCAATTCCTGAAAATTGGGGCGATACACTAGCCACTGGGTTTGCACTGGTGTGTTGCTGTATTGATGATGATCTTCTCGCTTTGCAAACTGTATCAAGAGTAGGTAATTCAGCCTGGGTCTGATTTTGGGCATTGTGCTGCCCGGAGCAAGGAACTGCCCGCCTCCGCGTGAGACACGTACGCGCTACCTCGAGCACTTCCCGAAGCATCTCAGCACAGCGACGCGCGACAATGATATCTTCCATGGAGGAAAAAATCTCGAGGGATTTCTCGACGTCCTCGAGGAGCTCCTCGTCTGGGAGGCCTGGGTGGTTTGATAGGATGACATGGAGGAGAATCATTGAACCATAAAGTGCGTATGTTGTGTTGTACCACCTGTTAATCATTAGTTGTTTTCAGGATAATTGGAGATAATGACGTACCAGGTGCGGATGTAGATCCTGTGCATGAATGACTCGTACTGCATCCTGATACTATTACGTGCGGCTGTGAGACATGTATGTAGATGGATGGAAAGATCGTGTTCGGTATCTGTACTCGCTGTTGCTGCTACGAGGAATGGTTTGTGAATGAGGATTCGAGTATTGTAGTATCCTTATGGACCAATCATCATCAGTTTACAGCTTGGAATCTACGATCTGGGACTTCGGTTAACTCACTCAATCTCAAAACCAATTTTTGTTTGAATGCCCATTCAGGATCATTCAATGCACGAGCATCTAAATCCAAAAAAGCAGGCATGTTTGCTTTCCATTGAAGAAGTCGTTGATCCAGGGCCATTGCTAGACGGGATTTCTCGCTCATTGATCGCTGCGTGGAGTGGTATAATTGGTGGGATGCTTCCGTGTTGATTTGGCCCAAGGCCACCATTACTGGAATCATCGCGATGTCGTTATCTTCAGCGTCGGGATCAAGGTCACCAACATCGGACTTGAGCTTGGGAATGGAGGCCTGGTAATAATGCAGCGCTTTCATGCTGTCTAGACGTCCTGAGGAGCAACACATTTCTCTGGAGTATGTTAGCATGATCGCGACAACCCTGGCTTAAAATGCTTACATTTCATGGGAATAGATGCACCTATAGTTCAATTAACGTTAGATATGATCACTAATATCGGGAAATTTCTTTTAACACACCACCATGTACGTCGAGCCTCCCGTCGAGCACTAGGAGGCAGCGAAGACAGACTCGATCCAAGTCCAATAGCTGCTGCTGTGCGAACGGCCATTCCACTGTACATGTAACAGCTATGAGGCTGTAACGAATTTTGACGAAATACACTCTTCAAGTGGAGGTCAGCTTGTTTCTTAGACCAGATTGCTAGGAACCCACCAAAAGCAGAAGAGCCTGAGCCGTTTCCAAGCAGGAACTCTCAAACAAATCACCCATGGTCTGTCTCGCGAGCCCAAAATAAAACTTGGCGAAATCAAGAGCAGAGAACACATGTCCTGTCCGGCCACTTGTTTGATCGTTTGTCTGCCGGCAGAAGTGGCCTAGTAAAGAAGTCTCGTTTGGACTGGCATTGATCGCCCCCAAGGCAACAACTGCTAAGTAGAGTCTAGAAAATGCGGTGACACCTTTGAAGAGGCCTGCACGTCTTGAATCTGGCCATGCTTCACCTTCACAGCGTCTCATGAATGAGCCCTTGGAAAGTATCGGGTGGATGTAGTGCTTGTTGGTGAAGTAGCTGCCAATGAAGATTTTCTCAATTTCCATTTGTGCATTCTGCGTTAGCCGCGGAAACACGGATTCAAGGTTTTTATCGCGGTCTGTACTTCTAATTAGGAACTGGCTCATAGTTTTAAGAATTTAACAGGAGCTTTACCATTGTTCGCAGGCCTGAATCTGTTTCTCGATTTACCTTGAACAGAGGGAGCTGTCTGCGCCGCAATTTCTCCTCCGCTGTGAGATTGAGGCAAAGGGTGGCCAGGGTAATCTGCATTGTAGAGCAAGTTTACAATTGAGAGTTGTGACTTGCCCGATTTCCTGCAACCGATATCTTGGCTCGTCTCTGGAGAGAAAGGCTGATCACGCTGGTTGACAGGCGAAACCTGAGCTGGCTGCGAAGTGCCCTGATGAAATCGATTCTGACCTCTGCTGCTTGCTTGTTTTCGAGCTCTTGCGTATAGGTTCCCAAGGAACGCTAAGTTGGAAGAGTTGCCATAAAACTCGGTCCCGTTGGTATGCAGATTGACTCCGCTCAAACCATCCCTCGACGCTGCATCGCCTACCTCGGAAACTGGGACTCAATACGAGTAAGCTTCGGACTATTCAGTGTCGGAAAGCACAATACTCACTGTGGCAACAGTTATCCTGTGCAATCGACACACTCGGTGTTTCGGGTGCGATGTTGACACCGGGCGAGCAATCTTCTCGCAGGCCCGGAGACCAGTTCTGTGACGAGTTGACTGGCCCTGTATCTTTTGTAGTTTCAGGCAAACTCTGAGGCGTCCCATTTTGTTGTACACCAGGCCATGGTGATGGCCGACTGACACTGTTTTGGCTTTATTCAGTCAGAACGCTCGAAAATGGCGAAGGTGAGCATTCCAACCTTTGCTGAACCTCACGAGCAGCCCGTTTTCTCTGACTCGATACGCTGGGGGTCCCACGACCTCCAGATTCTCGAAATACACAGTCAAACGAGTGATCTGTGATTCAGAGTTAACGTGGCCTCCATTGACGTCACGGGGCTAGGAGCATACATGCGCAATAAGAGCAGGGTTGTGCTTGATCACACTATATCTCCATCAGGATAATACTCAAAACAAGAGCAAAAAGAATCCAGCTGATGAGGCCCACCTTGGTTTTCCGAGTGCGACATGTTTCGCATGCGCGGGACGCACGCGGTATACGACGACGTGAAGCCCGTTTTGTTTTCATCTCGGACGCATCCATCATCGCTATAAAAACTATACTGCCCTATGTATTCGGACTGAACGAAATTACCGTGCTGTGATGTTCGAGAAAGGTTGACCCCATCGGAAGGCAGCACTAAGTCGTTCGTTTTGCCGAGCCAATCCCCACTCAACTTCAGATATCTTCTTCATGATCTCATCTGGGGTATCATGCGGGGTCTGGGGAAATCTTTGGGCCTTCTATATGTTCTTCATCCATATATATTTTTCTTGGAGATTATGTCTATTAATTCCGGGACATCCATATGTCGGGCTTTGTGGCTACTCGCGATCCAGATAGGGATGCTATATCTGCCCAAACTGTCTATCACAGGATTAGGTTTCTTAATGCAGCTACAGTTATCTTCGGATGGCTTATATGTCTCAAGAAGAAAATGTTAGTCAAGATAGATGTTGAGGCGACAGAACTGAATGTTGTTAATGTACCCGATGTTGCTTCCGACGGAAGCCAAACACATTCCGACGGATATGCAACGGAACTGCAGCGGAACTGCAACGGAACGACCCTGGCAACCGTCATTCAACTTCAAAAAGACCGAAGCATTGGGCAAAATAGACAAAATTACCCGAAATAAAGGGGATAACGGCTGCTCGGTTAAAGATGGCAAGCACAACTAAGGCTAATGTTCTTCATCCGAAACCGTATATAATCTATCCGACAGCACCGGCTTAGAGGCAACCCAGGCAGTTCTTTGGTAAATTCCTGTTAATTTAGGCTTTTAAACAAGCTGACACTATCGATCTTCGACTATTGATGGGCTACACCGGATGAATGTACGTAACGAGAATGGGATGTCAATCAGCATGTCCTAGTTTAGGGACAGGCTTGTCTGAAAGATCACTAAGAGCCTTATTGTTATAACGATAAGTCTATATCGTCCCCACAAGGGCGCGTAGTAATAGTATACGCCGTGCGTCTTTACTAACGTATGAGCGGTAGTCCCTAGAGAACTACTCTACGGTATATTAAAGAACAAAAAAAGACGGCGGATCCCGAGGGTAACGGCACGCAGAGACCTGTTTAGCGTAACCAAAGCCACACCAAAGCTGGCATCCATCTCGACATCGTAAGGATAAAAGTTTGTCCATCCTGGTGAAGCCACTGCCTTTAAGAGTAGACGAATCCCTGAAAAGGCGGGTGACATCACACCGACCCTAGCACTTCTAGATGTTATGGTAATTCGAGAGATTTTAATCAATTATTACTGGTTAGATATGCGATATACTGTACTAACACTAAGATATTTAGGACCAGTACAAAGTTGAATCTTTGCAACATCCGATCAGCTTATCAAGTTAAAAAACAACTAGATACTCTTTTATTAAATCACCACCTATTAGCTTGGCCTACAGCTTTGAACTGATAATTATGCCAACTGCACCGGAATCACTTACTCTATGTCTATCTACCTCGGGGATACGGCGTTTCTCGGCGATGAAGCGGTCCGAGGACCTCATCCCATTGGTTTGTTCGGAAACTATACCCATAAGCAAGTGACCCTCGTTCACGACTTGTTATTTCTTTGGCATTAATATTATGCTATAGAGAACGTATGGATTGCAAAAAAGGAATCTATGACTCACTCTCCTCGAATCGGATCTAAGATGGTTCCTAGTTCCTAGCTAAATTATGTCGTGTAGATCACCCCGGAGCCGATCCCTTATCTCCAAGATGTTAGATAGCGGATAAGCACGGGGATGGCAAACAGGTTCGATACCACCCGATGTGTAAGAGAATGGCAGTGTACATATATAAGACACGGCATGTAAGACAAGTCTGATCTTCATTTGAATCTTTTTTTCTTCTTTCTACCACATCACTTTTCACCCCNCCCCCCCCAAATACAAGTCTCCTATACACCAACCTCTCAGTTCATATCATACTTTTTTGATTTATACATCCTACACGAATGCCCACCATGGACTGGAACCAGAACGATATGCGCGCGCGCTTCTGTCACGCTCTTTCAGAAATGTATAAGAGCGAAGTTCCCCTATACGGAGACCTCATCGACGTAGTCTGGGAAGCAGACGCGAAAGCAATCCAAGACAGCCAGACGAACGGCAGTTCCAAAATCATCAATCCAGATGATGTTCTGCCCTCACGGCATCGTGTTGAGAGACATGGCGCTATTCGGTTAGGAACGGCGCATGAGCTCGCCACAATCCGTCGGATGTTTGCTGTGATGGGTATGCATCCCGTGGGCTACTATGATCTCAGCCTTGCCGGGTTCCCTATGCACGCCACTGCATTCCGCCCGAAAACCCAAGAATCCCTCGATAAGAACCCATTCCGCGTGTTCACGACGGTTTTGCGAATGGAACTGTTGACAGAGAACACCCGGGCGCTGGCCCAGAAAGCACTGGAGCAGAGGAACATTTTCACTCCAAGGCTAATGGGTCTTTTGGATATTGCAGAGTCTCAAGGATACATGACGCCGGAGCAGTGTACGGAGTTTATCACAAATGGTCTCGAGACATTCCGGTGGCACTCAAAAGCGACTGTCACACTTGACGAATACGACCGGCTGAAAGCTGAGCATCCTCTTATCGCCGACATTGTCTCTTTTCCCAGTTCACATATCAACCACTTAACACCTCGAACCATTGATATCGATCTTGTTCAGCAGTTGATGTTTGACCATGGGATGCCTGCCAAAGAACGCATCGAAGGACCGCCGAAACGCACATGTCCAATACTTCTGCGGCAGACAAGCTTCAAGGCACTTGAAGAGACTGTCTATTTCCGGGATATATCGGGGTCCTACGTGAAAAGCTCACATACAGCAAGGTTTGGTGAAGTGGAGCAAAGAGGCTATGCTCTGACCCGGGAAGGGCGGCAGTTATATGACCAAATTCTGGACCGAGTCAATGTAGACTTTGTGAAGAGAGGATTGAAGGGAAGTGATTATGACAAGTTATTGGAAGATCACTTTGAAGAGTTTCCTGACAGCCTCTCAAAGCTCCACGATTTGAAGCTGGCATATTTCTCCTATCAGGTGACACCACTGGGTGACCAGCTGGCTCAACAAGGCATGTCAGAGGCTGAACTTTCACTTCAGGATCTTCTCAGCAACGGAATTCTAAATTATAAGCCTCTTACATACGAAGATTTCCTACCACTATCTGCGGGCGGTATCTTTAATTCCAATCTTGGCAGTGTCTCTCAGTCAAAGGATCTTATAAGGAGCGCCGATCCAGACCTTGATGGCTTTCAGCAATTCCTTGGGACATGTGTGGCAGATGAGTTCCACCTCTATGCCGAGATGCAACAAGAATCATTGGAGGGTTGTCGGCAGAAACTACAGCTGGGGGCTATTTTATTATAGCCTGGAGCACCGTCATATCTGCATCAAATTTCTGCTGCTGCTTTGGAAATAGTAATGCGTGCTTTTGTTAATATTCGTTGGAATCAACTATATAATGTTATTGGTTAACGGCATACTATTGCAATTATTGTGTTGAACATTGACACGTTAACCCCGTCATTTCGACTATGACCTAGTGTATTATGTATGATTGTTCTGAATGAAAAGCATGGTATAAATAGGGCAATGTTAAAAGGACCCCCTCTTGTTGATATTCGGACCCCCTCTCCACCTGTCTAAGCCTAATTAGGGAAGGCTTAGTATGTGTATTTCACTGTGTTTTTTTTAGTACAGTGACACAGCAAAAGTTTTAACACCATTAGATAGACCGTTTTTTAGACCATTATGTAGACCGCTTTTTAGACCCCCTATCGTAAACCGAAGAGTAGGTCTATATCACCTTACTTTCTAAACGTTTTTGCTTTAGTGAGTGCTTTTTATAGAAGATAAGATTCAACTGTCACGGCGTGGGATCTAGAGTGCGCACGCGTACAATTGTGCGTACTGAGTAGGATATATATCGGTCCTAGGTATGTCAGCCGTCAGGCTGACATAGTGGTCTTTTTGGCCTAGTTAGTATACGTGTATTAAGCTGGGTGCAAGTCTTCACACGCCCTACGAGGCCTATTGTCTCCCTCTACGCCCTTTTGTTCGTTCTTACTAAGGAAATACACTACGAAATACACATACTAAGCCTTCCCTAATTAGGCTTAGACAGGTGGAGAGGGGGTCCGAATATCAACAAGAGGGGGTCCTTTTAACATTGCCCTATAAATATTCAGTTCTACTTTTCCACCGTCTCAGCACCACGAACAACTTGATCATATACTCTTTTGGCGAGTCCAACCGAATGCATCTTATTTCCGTCCCCAAGATCTTGAAAATCTATGAATTATGCGTCATATAAGGTTTCGCCACCCAGATTCGGCCGCAAGTGCTGCGCCAAACTTCGCCACCAGCCGGCCGATGGTACCGTTCGGGCCGATGCCCCTTCGAGCTATTTCACCCTTTCACCCGATAAATAACATTTCAACTAAAATGAATAAACAGGGAATGAGGCTAAGCAACATGGCTTGTTGGCCGGTTCCGCCGCTCTAGGTCGTTTAGGTCGTCCCCGGATTGCATCTGCCGTTTACCAGATGAATGGATTAAATATCCGATGTCCCGCCAAGATGGTTGAGATCTCAAACTCATTGTCTGAGCAAGCTTGATGTGCATGGAATCAGTTCAAGAACTTCCAGATGACAACATCTCTTGGCACATCTTGGTTGGAACAATCATAACTATTGTCCCAGCTACACTTTGTGTGATCTTGCGATTTATCTCCCGCCATGTTGCCCGTGCTGGACTATGGTGGGATGACTATACCATTGCAGTAGCCTTGGTAAGTGGCCTCTTAATTGTCTGACGTGGAACCAAATAAACAACTAATTAGTCTTTCTCTCGGTTTAGGTCTTCAACTGGGCCCTGGCTATCTTGAGATGGGTAGAGATTGCATTCTATGACTATGGCCGTCACTCTCAATATATCTCATCTGAGAACATTGAAAACTTCCTAATGGTTCGTATCTCACTAATATTTGTATTGTTTCAAGGCTAACAGACAAGTAGACCTTCATGGCAGTTCGGATCGTATACTTCACCAATGCTGTCTTTACCAAAGCATCATTGCTGCTCCTCTTCCATCGAATCTTCGGTGTTGTGAAAGGCTTTCGCTGGGCCCTATGGACCTCCGGCGTTCTGGTCATTGCATACTTCATCGCGTGTGCAATTACCGCAATTGCAGGGTGTTCGCCACCATCCAAATTCTGGAACCCAAGCCTGCCAGGTCATTGTATCAATATAGTGGCATTCTTCAGGTGGAATGGCGTTGCCAATATGTTTCTCGACCTTTTGGTCCTTTGCCTCCCGCTTCCTATGGCGTGGCGTGTGAAGACTACCGTTCGACAGAAGTGGGTTTTGACGGGACTTTTTCTGCTTGGTGGCTTGTAAGTTATTTTCCAATTCTGGGGTCTTTTATCAACATGAGATAGCCCACTAACAATAATCCAGTGTCTGTGTAGTCTCAATTCTCCTCATCGTCAGTTTCGACCTTTCAGACGTGAACGATCCCACTTATACAAGTATCGATCCATCAACTTGGTCCTCAGTTGAGCAGTCTGTTGGAATAATTTGTGCCTGTCTTCCTACCCTTCGACCTCTTATTCGACGGTTCCTCGGTTCCTCGGGAGCATCTGCGAGCAGTCCTGCTTCTGACTCCCAGATACGGTTGCCGGCACCTGTTGACGAGGAGAGTGGTATTATGGGAAGTATCCTGTCATCTGCACCGCGTGCGCACATTCGTTGCGCCACTTCAAACCAGCTATGCATGTTCCAAACTGTCAACCGATCTTCAGAGTCCCACTAGGATGATGTCTGTCCTATTTCTCGGTTTTCTTAGACGAACAAGATGAGTAGCCCTGTTTCTGCGGCTGAATCATTTGCTTGAAAGCTGTTCTCGAGCGATATGCAGCTGTATTTATCTCTACTTGTATTGCATAAGATACCCAAGCTAAAAGTCTTCGTCTATGATATTTTGCTACCCTTTAGGCTTGTTTCAATATTAGATCTTTAACCGTAACTAGATCCAAATCTCCAACATGAAAAATGCGGCATCAACAGCCCCCCTTCATAACTATGCATCATGATTTTGCTCAAACCATTTAATCGTCTATAAACGAGGCTGGGAAAAAAGTAGGTCATCGTCCTAAGGATGAGATTATAGGCATCCTTGGTGATCCAACGATGATTAAGTTGCCTTACACACTTTAGCTGCTTTGCTTATTTGATTCACCTCCTTTTTGGGTCCGTTTTATGGGACGGAGTGCACCGGGAGAGTAACCGACAGAGGACAATAAATACACACAGAGCGGCCGCACCTCGTCCTTGTATTTTAGGGGAATGGTGATCGTGCTCTATCGGCTCGCAGGGGATTACAGTACACAGATATTATTGGTCGGCCAGTATGGGTGGGCATGGGTTGGCCGGACAAATGTCGAGACGGTTAAGTTATGGAAGCGTACCTTGCGAAGACCAAAAATTCTTACTCGGAAGGGGTCTCCCTCGCTCAAAAGCCCCTAATCAGTAAGCCAGCTATCTTTGCAGGTTCCATTGTACACGTAACGTTATTCACGGCAGACACCCCCATAATTGCTAGTTTTTTTCTTGTATTTCTCCCCCAGTTTCGGTAGACTAACCGCTCCTGTCGGCTCCAGTACCCTTGCTACTTCTAATCACTCTACCACACACGTCTTCGTTTCATTGGGCCGGAAACTTGGCTTTCGTTTGAACCATACCTTGCTAGGAAGTGTAAGGTAAATGGCGAACAAGTCGAAGTTTGCAGGTCGAACTGAATAGATTCATTGGGATTCCGTTCCTGACGATCTGCACAAAGCACATACGACTGCAGCACCTATGCTCGAGCCGTCCACCGCCGGGATCAATTTGACAGTATCGGATTGAGAGTTGCTCGGCCAATCAAATATCTCTCCAAGAGCTTTCATCACCTTATCATGGAAACCTTCATATTTCTCGAAGACCGAGCCGTCGACCGCCACGTGACATTTCCCCAGTGATCTCTTCTTCATTATTGCGGCTATACCGCATGAATACAGTCTAGCAGCGCGTTGACTGATCAATTGAGCGAGCAGCCGGCAAAAGTATAATTCTTCAGACGAAGCGGAAATAGAAAGCACACGCTCGAATAAAGCTTTACTGACGTGCAAGTCCTCGCTACCGTCGGTTTCTATCCTTGCAACAAAGGAAGAATCCAACGTATAAGGTTGCTTCAGTTGGGAGAGGTCTTGGTTTAGAAATATTAGACTCCGTTCGTTACTCATATCGACGAGCACCTGACGGAGTATTTCCCCAAGGTAGAAACCAGCTACCAATTTCTCATAGCGTTGCTGACCTGGCCGCGGCGAGCAAGAGTCAATGCTTTCGTCATAGTCGGTGAAAGGCAGCACAGTGCGACTGTTATCGAAAGCACCATATTCGCAGTTGATAGCCATGGAGGCATCAAGGGAAAAGCAATGCTTGGCAAGTTTTGGGATTTCGGAGCACCGTTCCATATATGCTGCGTTGCTCCCGGTCCCAAATATACTTCCAATCTGTGTTTCCTTATCCGCATAGGAAGATGCCATGAGGGTACCAGTTGTGTCATTGACCAATGCCACTATCTGAAGAGGCAAGTCCTAGAAAAGCTTGGATAAGCAGGAAGTCCTATACAGACGTGGAGAGCAGACTTGCATTTTCGTTCAAAGCGCGCTGAAGCTCAGCAGTAACATCATGTCCTTCAACCCCACTAATATCGAAACCTTTTGTCCATCTTTGAAGGACTCCATCTCTGACCGATGTTTGCGTGACTGGGTACGAAAATGTGAATGCCAGCGGAATCTTTCGCAGCTCATGATCAGAAATCGCATGGTAAGTCAAAAACTTCCTCAAACAATCGATGATGAAGAGCCACAGCTGCTGTGCGGTACCGGACTTTACGGCATCAGGTATCTTTGTGTCCATTTGCGTACTGTCATACTTGCCACTGCCTAGCAGCTCAACTTTGCAGACCCGAAAATTCGTGCCTCCCATGTCCATGGTGAGGAACACCCCTCTCTCCTCCCCAGTGGGGAGCGCCATCACCCAAGTGGGATTCATAGGCTATATTGTGCATCCAATTAGTTTGTTTCTCCTCGCGCAGAAATGGAGCGACACGGGCTTACTATATCACCCCCATCTTCACTGAGGCCTATGCAACGTTAGCATCGATATTTGTCGTAGCGGCGGGGCGGTAGCCATCACATACCAACATGGAGTTCCCTAACAAAATTTTCAGTTATCCGCTTGAGGGCGACACCTTCGACGGTAAATAACTCCCGCAGACGAGCATATTGTCCTTGGAGAGGGGCCGAGAGTCGCGGACGTAGGGTAGTTACTGTAGGAACCGATTAGCGACGCCTCATCAATACTGACTGGTATGTCGCTCACCCGACGCAGAGGTAATCGTCGTTGAGCTCGACATAGCTGATCGAAGGGTATAAAACTAGGGAGACTGAGCGGTAATCGGCCTGCGGCTATACTTGCACACAGTTTTGACGCAAAAGCGCCCTTATAAACCAGGAAAAGTGATTATAAGATGCCAGGAAGGCGCAACAGAGCTTGGTATTTATAAGTCGTCGTCTCCTCCTTCATGTTGGCCTGTGGGCCGGGGTTACGTATATGGCTTGTGATTCCCAATTTTACATTTGTTCTTTTCCAGTGGAACTTGGCCAGGACCGATAACGTTTTCGTACAAAATAGGCCTTGATCCGCCGACCAAGCGAATGACTTGAATTCTTGGCCAGATAATGCCCAGGTCCCAGGACACTATATTGCATTCGACCCACCACAGCTCTTCATTGGCCGGGAGTGATATGCGACCTTCATAGTCTCCATTTAGCTAACATGCTTCCGTGAATTTGGTGTATACATCTCGTCGGTAGCCATTTGGCTGCCTCAGCCAGGAATCAGTTACTGCCTGTTAGCGGACAAAGGCCCACATTTTTGCTATGAGCTGATCCTGCACCCTTGAGATGACATATGATTTTCTATTATCTGACCACTGGCGTTGGTATTAGAGTATGCTACATGGTTCCTTTAGCGGAGGGTGTTCTACGGTCGTCAAGCCCAGAAATGTTCGAACGTAACTGTCATTTCGGACGGGAATAAGGAGCGAAAATGGATCAACGTTATTAGAAGCTTGCTGCCAAGTTGCATTCATGATTTTACGCCAGCAGCCCGTCGGCCCCTATCACCGTCAGATGTGAGCGAGTAGACCTCGTCGAGCTCTTCTGCGCTGACCAAATGCGAAACTGGAAACCTGTACTACAGCAGCATACAGTATGGATCGTCTGACGTATACGTACTAATTCTCCAAGCAATTGCACGACATACCTGTACCTCTGGGTACTTGAGGTTGATTTCTATTTAAAGAACCTGCTTGTCTGCTTTCGTAAGTTCCTGGTAATGTCTGACTATGATTCTTGGCAGTCAGCAGTTCCGGCGGCTTACACAGGGGTACTTCATAGTGACCTCACTTATCGATGTAGTGGGCGGAGCGCGGAGATCTGCGTTAGTCATCGTACGGTAGTAACCTTTTTCTGGAACAGTAAATCAAGGTTATTAAACCTATGATGGATCCAATTCCATGCTAAGTGGCACTAGGATACATACGTCTTGCAATTAGCTGTTGAGGAAGCCAAGGTCCATTGATAGGCTTAAGAATGTTCCAGCGGCGCTTGGTGGGGGTTGGTTCACTAATTCTAAATCCATGCTGCATCGGACCCTTCTGCTTGCGCACCTTGATCTTTGCCCAACATGCACTATCTTCCTAAGGGGGCTGCATCAAACCAGGCTTAAAGCCCCACATATTGCATTCAATAAAATCTGGAGGTCTCAGTTCTGGAAGATATTGTTCGATTTGGTTAATATTTGAGTAGTAGAACAATGGCGACTTTTGATCAAATGCAGAAGAAACTTGGCATTGCCTCAAGTCGTCTTCCATTTTCTCTCAAGCCCAAAGATGGCGCTTACGAGACTTTTCGTCAAGTGGCGGTTTGGTGACCACCTCTGGTAGCTAGATTCCCTGTGGCTCGGCTGGTCAGGAGTTGAGATTAATGAACCGGAAAAGGTATTTTTCGTTGAGAAGCCTTAGCCGAAGCAATGCCGCTGCTGTATACCTAGACCAGGAATTGGCTCGCAATTATTGCAATGTAGTTTCCAGTATGAGGTGTAGCCGCGAACCTTCTTATCACGGTATTGATCAGGCATAAGTAAACGATGTTCTGGCCCAGTCACAATACCGATCGGATGTTTTCAATTAGGCGTAACTGGCTGCGGTGGGAAGAAGACCCAGAACAAGGGTTTCCAGCTTTCCTCGAGTGGTGTATTGAGGTTGTTGGGTTTCGCGCTCTAGCAATTTCTGGCAAGCGTGGTCGACTTCGACCGAGGGGCCAAGAATGGCCCCAACTAAAAGCCAGAAAGTACCAGCTTGCTACACTTGTGGGCCCGGGCACGTCTGTACTATATATTCTTTCTGATTGGCGGGAACCCTACCGCTTCTGCTAAAGTACGCCGGTTTCCTAAGCCTTTAATTGGGATTAGAAAATGGGAAATGTTTGTTACTCTCAACGGTGGCATATCCCAGCGCGACAAACTAGGCTAGATTTGAGCTCACCACGGGATCTTAGTAGCATGAGCATTATTACTCTCAGGCAACATTTTGTGTTTGGAAGAGGCGTGCGTAATCAACGCAAAACGAGTTTAAATAACACTTCATGATGAGATTTATTTTGACACGATTTATCCAAAGATAGTGTCAAGCGCTGAGTGACCTTGATTCGGAATTGACTCTGAGTAGAATTTAATGCAGCTTTAGAACTTTAATCTCACTTGTGGTCAGCTCGGTGAAAGAAATTGGCTTTTGTCTGACCCGGACCCTGAATCATGACGTTGTGGCTTATTCGTGTTGTAGGAACAGGGAAAAACTGCCAGATTTCTAGATCTGCTCGCCGCGATAGGTTACATGATGATATACTTACTTCACCGATGAAGAAAGGTTGCTACGCATCTCATTATTTATGCGTGGTACTTCACCGCGGCATCTTTGGCCGTAAAACCATATCATCTAAACCGACTATCAAAATTTCATCGGGGTTTTCCTTCCACTGTGGCTGCCTTATCAAGAGTACGTTATGATTTTCAGGCACGGAGCGACCAAACTTCTGCACCCCGGGCTCTTTCGGAAGCCAATCGTTCACTTCGGAAGACCGGTGTCTACCGACGCTAGCATCAAACAAACATTGAGCAAGGAGCCAGTTGGACAAATGGACCAACGATTTCAGGAGTTCCAACTTCGCGGGAAAGTATTTGCAGTGACTGGTGGAGGGCGTGGGCTAGGCTTAGCAATGGCGGAAGCATTAGTAGAAGCCGGCGGAGAAGGTATGTAGAGTCCATCATTCTAATATGTACTATTGATCCAAACAGACTAATTGTACCGCGAGCCATAGTGCATTGTCTTGATCGGCTACCTGAGCCTGACGAAGAGTTTCGTGCTGCACAAGCGCGAGCAAATCCCCAATTTGGGGGGTCTCTACATTATCGGCGGTTGGATGTCCGTGACAGGAATGGTACCAACCAGATAATGTCTGCAATCGCTGAAGGCAAAAATCGGCTAGATGGCTTAGTGGTGGCGGCTGGGGTAAACCACATCGGGGGTGCTATTGCTCACTCTGCCGCTGACATTGAACGCGTAATCAGCATCAATTACACTGGAGCTTTCACGTCTGCAACTGCTGCAGCAGCACAAATGCTCGACAAGAAAACTCGTGGGTCTATACTACTAGTTTCGAGTATGAGTGGAGTGATCGCGAACAAAGGAATGACATCGTCCATCTATAACTCATCAAAGGCCGCTGTGATCCAACTCACTAGAAGCTTTGCGATGGAATGGAGCAATGTCGATAACGAAGGTAGGGGTGGAATACGAGTGAACTGCCTTTGTCCTGGACACATAATGACGCCCATGGACCAGATGGCCATGGATAAGGCGCCGGGGACAAAGGAGGTATGGGAATCTGAGAACATGATGGGACGATTGGCACAACCGGAAGAATTTCGTGGTATTACCTTGCTCCTTATGAGCAACGCGAGCAGCTTCATGACTGGGAGTACAATCATAGCCGACGGTGGGCATACAGCGTGGTGAAGGCTTCAGTATATAAGAAAGCCTATAGAGTTGATTTTTCGGGCAGATGGCTCTGGTGTAAAAGGCTAATACACAATGTTCAGTGGACTGACCGACTACGCGGTTATGTCGGTTGGGTATCATTGTCAAAGGCATCTGAGGAATACATTTCTGGTTTCCTGCTCGTGTTAACCCATCATCTATTCAGGTTGCGGCGTGAATTGAGACAACGGCACATTTGTATATTCACTATGAAGTGGTAAATGCTACCACAGCTCTTCAGAGCCACCTATGTATGGGTCTGAAGTACCCGTGGCATAAGCTGTTATTCAGATTTAGATGGCTCTGCTAGAACCTCGGTCAATCCATCAATCACAATTTGTTGCTAAGATACATATAGGAAATGTTGAACTTTTTATATTGTATAAAACAAACTTCGTCATCCCATATTTGGTCTAGTTGTAGGAATCCGCTACCGACCTTGACAATTGGATAATGTTGTCAGCGTGTACTTTGTACTTACGATATATGAATGCATTAGAAAATGGGAATCGCGGAAGTAGGGTGCTTTAGACAAGCTAAATAATCGCCTTCCAAAGAGGCCTCCTCGCTGCGGACACCTTCCTTCGAACCCTCTCTTTTATTGTTAGAAAGGTCTATCTTCCACGACGACGCAGTATCGAGGACCCGGTGACCGCAACAGAGAGAGCAAAGACGCAAACAGCCTGCTTAGAGCGAGAAGAGAAGCGTCATTTAGCATGTGTCCGAGCAGAATATGAATAAGAATTGGTTTAAGTTACTTCCCTAGCTTTAATGTTTCCACTGATGCTCAGATCCGGGAGTACATCCAACAGAGTATGACCACTGTCTACCATGCGTCAGCAACTTGCAAGATGGGACGCCAGAAAGACACGATGGCTGTGGTAGATAGTCATGCTCGAGTTTATGGTATGTAGGGCTTGAGGGTTGTCGATGCTAGCAGTTTCCCATTTCTGCCGCCTAGCCAGCCCCAGTCTACGGTCTATGCTTTTGCCGAGAAGATTGTGGATGAGATCTTAAAGAGTGATTGGAGGAGATCTGACCAGGCTCTTCGTGATATGAGTTGACCCTATGATTCTGAAACATGTAACCTACGAACCCACGCCGTCAAATGACTCTTTGAAAAAAAAATTGAACACTATAGAATACAATGCATACACAGAACAGCCCAAATCCATCTATCTGTACAAATATGCCGCAGAGATATCAATGCATCACGGCAGGACAACCACCAATGGCCACAACCAGGCCACATCTCAACGGCATTGTCCATACCTCAAACCACTGTCGGACATAGGTCCGGCATCACAAATTTTCGCCTGAGGAAACCTTCAAAACAACCAATTATGCACTCATGACCGGGGTTCAATAACCGAGCTATCCTCTCCATCTTCCACAACAATGGCACCCTCCTCCAACAACTCATCCGGAGTCTTAACCCGCACATCCATCACGCGCATGATAGTATAGCGGTGCTTGCTCTTAGCCTGCTTAACGTGCCTCTGTCTCCGCTTCGTTTTCTCCTTGATACGCAACGGCTCCGATTCGACACCCGTCACACGAACCCGGCACTCATAGATACGCTCATCGATATGGGGAGCGCCCTTCATTGTGAAATCGCGAGATCCAAGCGCGGAAGCACGGTTGAAGCGCAGGATGTCGCCCGCCTTAACGTTTGGCATGAGGAAAGGCAACCGGAGGTGATCACCTTCTGTCAAGAGGTATGGTTTTGCGTGGAGTTGAGCGACCACGTAGTGCGGCTTCTGGCCGGCGAGGTGAGGGAGTTGTGACATGAGAGATTTCGTCACTTCGAGAGGGGCGGTGAAGTTGGGCGCGATGGGTTGTTTCTCAATGGGGAGGTGGGCGCGTGTTGTGGGCACGAAACGGGGCGCCTCCGCCTCGGCCTTGGGCTGGGAGTCTTGTGCACGAGGAGTGGCGCTGAGTGGTGATTCAGGGTTCGAGGATGACGACTGGGTCCGGGTTTCTTGCGAGTTCATCCATGATGTTGTCTGGTGCAGGCATGCTCGTTGCTGAAGGGGAGCTGCGGATGAAATTGTGGACGGTGCAGTCCGGCGAAGGTCGGAGGCGAGGCTCCGCAGAGCTGAGCGAGAGAACATGTTGGCTGAACCCTTCCAATTACTCAATTGGAGCTCGTGGTGAAAGTGGTTCGCGGGAGTTGGAATTCGAGACGCTTTGTAGTTGGCCCCGTAACTAGAGAAATTGTCTACTTTGCGCAAATGGCCGCTTTGCCACCCGTATTTTATGTCACGTGGTTTACTAATTATTCCTCGCCGGAAGTTTTTGCTGCAGATGAAGAGGGAATTTTACATTGAAGCTTTTGTCATAGTCATAGAATATTCTACGCCTATCTCTACGCCTATGATGCGCATACTTAATACATATTTAGCACTTTTTACCAACTTTCCCTATGAAAATGTCGAACATGAAGTTCAGGAACTAGATTTACTGATAAGCCAGTCACGTGGCATGCTATCTCTGCCGCATCACAACTTTTTTCGGTCTGCAGTAGATCTTCAAGGAAATAACTTCATCTCCCATCCCAGCAGATACCCTCATTCTGCTTCATCATGGTATGTTTTATGCTATTATATGTCGTATTCCTGGTCAATTACCAAGTTTACTAACCTTTTTCCCACCAACAGCCTCAGAACGAGTTCGTTTCCCCGCCAGCCACCGCCCGAATTCCCCCAACTGACATCTTCCCAGGTACATTGAGCGCTGGCAGAAGCAGCATGGTAAGCGCCTCGATCACGATGAGCGCATGCGCAAGCGCCAGGCTCGTGAGGGACACAAGCAGTCCCACGATGCCCAGAACCTGCGTGGTCTGCGGGCCAAGCTGTACCAACAGCAGCGCCACAAGGAGAAGATTCAGATGAAGAAGCGCATCAAGGCCCAGGAGGAGAAGAACGTCAAGTCCGCCGCACCCGACGAGCCGTCCAAGACCCCTCTGCCCCAGTACCTGCTCGACCGGTCGCAGGAGACCAACGCCAAGGCCCTCTCCAGTGCTATCAAGGACAAGCGTAACGAGAAGGCTGCCAAGTTTGCCGTTCCCCTGCCTAAGGTCAAGGGTATCAGTGAGGAGGAGATGTTCAAGGTTGTCAACACCGGAAAGAAGACACACAAGAAGTCCTGGAAGCGTATGATCACCAAGCCTACTTTCGTTGGTAACGACTTCACTCGTCGCCCCGTCAAGTACGAGCGATTCATTCGTCCCATGGGTTTGCGTTACAAGAAGGCCAACGTTACGCAGTAAGTTTTACCAGCGGGGATTTCCATTGTCCCAGATCTTCTCTCCCGTATTGGGTGTGGTATATTAACTTTTTTTTTTTTTTTTTCAGTCCAGAGCTGGCTGTTACCGTTCAATTGCCCATTCTTTCCGTCAAGAAGAACCCCCAGAACCCTCTTTATACCCAGCTGGGTGTCCTCACCAAGGGAACAATCATCGAGGTGAACGTTTCTGAGCTGGGTCTTGTTACCACCACTGGTAAGGTCGTCTGGGGTAAATGGGCCCAGGTTACCAACACCCCCGAGAACGACGGATGTGTCAATGCGTGAGTTTCCCTTTATTAGATCCGTTTATTGCAGCAGAAACTAACTTACAATAGGGTTCTCCTTGTCTAAATCAACCACAAACACTTCCTCTTCATTTCCGATAGGCACCGGCCTGTCTTCGATACCTCCTTGCTCAGGCAGTTCTATATTTCCCTTTCTCGATACATACGATCGATCACGATCGTTCTATTCTTGGGCGGTGTTAATGGCGCAAAATCAAGTCCATTGATTTCAAACGAAAAGTATTCTGCATGTTTGGCTTCTGAATGGACATAGCTAGTTTCTAGATAGTCAGGCATATAACCATGATTTTATGAAGACACCAATCTATCTACATTTCAAGTTCACGTTATCCCTTGGAAACCCAAGGTCAATGGCTAGCAAATCTACATGATTTATAAGAAAAGAGATACACAAACTGATGAAGTGAAACTGGATATCCAAGAATTCAAGATAGGCAAAAGTGTTCAATTAAACATTTTAACCAAGGGAGTTCAAACTCCAAGACCCTATGCTGTAACAGTATCCTAAGAGCAAAAGGGTTGATCAAATCATATACAGGGATGCAAATCCACACGCTGCGCTGAACCGAATATCATCAAAAAAAAGCCCCCCGCCATGATGGAACGGTAAGGTCAGACAAAACCCCAAAAGGCTGATGCAAGAGAAGAAGAGGCAATGCAAAGAAGAAACACAAGCAGAAAGATATCTCGCAAATAAACCAGCCAGACCAAGAGATAAGTAAAACATCCAACACCGGTCATTAAGTCGTTCTAACCAACAAGGGAACAAGGTAAAGAGGCCAACACGGCAGTCAAGACAAAAGAAATGTGATAAAGGAGCGAAGGGGCTGTGGTCATGCGTTTTCTTCTTCGAGTGCTGCTTTGATTTTTGCAAAAAAGCCTGCGGGCCATGCGGCCAGCTCTTCTTCCCTGGGCACGCCGCGGACTTTGCAGTGGTTGACGACATTGGCCAGAATCCGGCCAAGCATATCTTGAGTGACAGGGACGGCACCTTCGAGTTGAGCATCGGGGTGCAGGAATGGATCGCGGGGGCCAAGCATTTCCTCGATGGTTGGTCGGAGAGTTTGATCACGCTGCAGGCAGCGCTTGAGGGTTCGGACAAGGCCAGGGGGCACTGGAACGCCGCCAACACCAAAGGCCGGGAAATCGATTTGTACACGGGGATTGGGGATAGCCATGATGCGCTCGTAATATTTGGCGATCTTGGCGAATGGAGGCTGTCCGTAGACCATTTTGTACAGGATACAACCAAGACTCCAAACATCGCTGGGTTTGCCCAGCTTCATCATTTTGCCAACGCTTGCTGGCAGGCCGAGTGATGCATTGGAGTCGACCAAGGCTTCAGGGGACATGTAGTTGGGTGTGCCAACTTGTTGCTCGCGGTGAACATTGACGGTGTTGTCTTGAATTGCATTGGCAATTCCAAAGTCGATAAGCTTTAACCGGCCTTGAACCATTAGGAAGTTGGCAGGTTTCAGATCTGAATGAACGATGTTGAATTCGTGGACAGCCTGGACACATTCAAGCATCTCCTTCCAATAAAAGCGGGTGAAGTTGATATCGAAAACAGCATCTTCGGCATTCAAGCGATATGTGAGAATTTTTTCAAGATCAGACTCTCCAATCTCCATGAGCACACTTAGAGCGTGTTTGTCATTGTTGAGTTCCCAATCAAAGAGCCGCACCACACGTTCCACATTCTCCAACTTCTTCAGCAAGTCAATTTCACCCTTGTATCCAGTCAAAGTGACTGGGTCAACATCTTCAAGATTCACTCGCTTGAGCGCAAAAATCTTGTAGTTTTCCGCCATCACTCGGTAAACGCGGGAGCTACCACCTCGGCCAATGCAATCTAGTCGAGTGAAATGCTTGCCGTTAATTGAGACCTGCGTCTTCTTCTTTCGGGATTGGGAGGTCGATGCACCTCCCGTTGACGTGGCAGTTTCAAGAACTGACATTTTGGGAGGAGGAGGGGCGGCTCTGTGAGGAGTGTTGTTGCTTCGTGTGGCCAGTATCTTTCGTGCAGAGGTACCTGCCGGCGTGTCGGCGGCATCTTTCTTCTCGGTATCATAAACAACATTGTACTTGTCGGGCTTGTCCAAGACATTCAAGCCCTGAGGCTTTGTTCGCCGGAAAGTTGGCGGTGGCTCGTTTTCCTGGTCACGGACTGACGGCAGATGGGGCATTGACGGAACCTTGAAGGCAGGTTGTTCCTTGGCGCTTGAGGATTTGGATGACAATTCTGATGAAGCGGGTGTCGACTTTGACCCATACGATTTTGGTGACGATGATCTTGAAAATGGACCCTCAACCGCAGCCGGGCGAAGAGGGTATTCAGCCCGGTGCCCTTCGCGCGAATGAGGGGGGGTGGGGTCGGCCCATGATACCTTTGGGGAGGACGGTTTAGTTGGGTTGCGAGGTCGGTATTCGGCATTTTCCTCTGCTTCTACATCCTCCCTGACACCATCGGCCGAAAGATATTGGTGGTCCTCGTCGTTGTTCTCCTCACTCTGTCGACGTAGCACACCCCTCCGGGCGGGTCCTGTCAAGAAGCTACCAGCCAGTCGACCGACTCTCTTGACACGCAGTGAGCTTTGGGGGCCAGGTTCCTCGCCACCGCGGCCGCGGAGTACCGAGGAAGTGCCGAGACGTGTCATGGGATCATCTTCATATTGTGATTTGCGGTCACTGTCTGAGCGCTCGGCACTACCATACTCATCACTCGAGTTACGTTCCGCTGAACGTCTCCCTGAAGGCGAGATTGAAGAAGGAGAACGTGGATGGCTGCGAGAAACATTGATACGAACACTGCGTTGGCGTGGGGCGGGAGTAATGAAATCATTGGGGTGGTGATGAGATTCCGACTCTGCACTCTGGCTGTTGGACAACGGGGAGCCTTCGCGTGAATGCCTGGAACCAGATGAAAGCGCTCCAATGCGGACTACTCTGGGAGCCGGACTCCCTGTTGAACGGTCGTGGGGAGAGGAGTTGCGAGGAGATTGGCTTTGTTGACGTGACGTCGCAACTCGCGATTGGTGCGACAACGGTTGTACTTTCTGCAGATGAGGCGACGAACCTAATCCATCACCATGCAAAAGTGCCTTGACTGACGCGCTAAATTTTGGCTCAGGAACCTCTTCATCTGAGCTGTCGCCGGCGGAGTAATGCCTTGATAGAGAGCCGTTGTTTTGAACTGCGGGTGATACCCGTCTGGATCCCGAGCGTGAAACCGCAGTTCGGGACATCGGTCGGGAAGGCTGTCCGTATTCGCTGTTGTATACGGATGGGAGGGAATTCGGGGACGCCATGGCGACGATACCTACATTGAAGTCGTGGATCAATGCGGCCCCTCCAAGTTTGTCGACTGTTTGTTGTTCTTGTAGGGGAAAGGCCTATCTCGAGGTTTCGCGAGTGCCGCGCTATACGGTCACGTGTTTGGTGTTGCTATGGCGACGCTGGTACAACAACATGCCATAGAAGCTGAAAAACAGCAATTGGGGCGTACGTTGAGGAGAATGAATGTATCGAGTCATGCGTTAATTGAACCAGCTTGTTATTAAATCAGTAAAATCGATCACTCTCGCTAGATCGACCTGTTTTGCCACTACAGTGTGGATCTACACCAACGTATCAACCAGACCTGTGTGTAGTTATCATGTATTGCTTTGATTCATTCGGTCTCCCATGCCCATTTCCAAGTGGTAGTGTAGAGTGCCACTTGAAGCATTTGAATTGACACAGTTCTCGGCATTTTGTCTAATTGATACTCTATAAGCCAGCACAGGCCCATTGAGGTGAGTTAAGCTGCCTAGTGCTCTAGGGCCCCGCAATGACGCTCTAGTAGCTAGCACCTAGTGAGTCGTTTGAATCGAGGCTGACAGGCATGATCACAGTGTCTGTTTGTCTTTTCCTTGTGGTGATGTTAGCCTCGGCTTGCTATGCCAACATGCACAATCAAGGAGAGATCATCGGCTAACATGTACTATATTGACAACCCACAATGCAAACAGTAATTAAGCTCCAATTTGGATCTTAAGTTCTTCTTTGCCTATGGAAGTAGCTGAGCTGTGTTAGAATAGAAAGGAATTGATCCAAAACTATGTTATTCTTCTCAGTTTGTACGTGGTTGTTTACATCTATAAACTGCTATTGAGGATATCCATGAATGGATATATATATGGTGTAAACCAATAGGCAGCGTAAGGTGACACTTCAGAATAGAATAATCTAAATTCAATTATACAGAAACGTAATTATTTCATTCCACTTGTGTTTCTTCAGTTCTTTGTTTAATGTTAGACGTCTGTCCTTCTATACCGTGGTCAAGCTTCATCACCGCCTTAGGCAATATTCCGGAAGACGCGGAAAACCAAGAGTGCAGCTCGGCGACGGGATGTATTTGGAGTTCAAGTATCTTTCTTTTCCACCTCCATCTCTCGCGAAAATGGCCTCAAGTGTCGATGCCAAGCTGCTGAAGCAGACCAAGTTCCCTCCGGAGTTCAATCGGAAGGTAGACATGACGAAAGTGAACATCGAGGTTATGAAGAAGTGAGCAAAGTTCCCCGGCTTTTCGACCTTGGATCCCCGGACTGACAGACCTTCCCAGATGGATCGCCAAACGCATATCTGAGATTTTAGGCAACGAGGATGATGTTGTTATTGAGATGTGCTTTGGGCACTTGGAGGGACCACGCTATGTATGGCCATCGGACAATTATCGTCTTGCAGCTTGCTGACTTTGCTCTGCGCCTAGCCCGATATCAAATCCCTCCAGATCCAACTAACTGGATTCCTCGATAAAGATACCCCCAAATTTTGCCAGGAGCTATGGTCATTGTGTCTGAGCGGCCAAGAAAACCCACAGGGTGTTCCGAAAGAGCTTCTGGAAGCTAAGAAGCTCGAGCTCATACAGGAAAAGGTACACCCCAACCCTATCTATATCCTGGATTTTTCTAACCGGACCTCGACCTAGCTTGAGGCCGAGAAAGCTGCCGAAGCGTCACGCCGACAGAAGGAACAGGAGCAAACCCGTGAACGCGATATTGACAACATCAGACGCCAAGAGCGTTCGGATCGTGGAAGAGCAGGGGGAAGAGGCGGTGGCCGTGGAGGTCGAGATTTTGACAGGCGATCTCCCCCTCCTAGAGACCGGGACCATGGTCGATACCGCGAAGCTGGGCCCCGGCGTGACTTTGACTCTTACGTTCCGCCTGATAACCGCCGAGGTCGTCGGCCATCTGGGACCTCTGCACAATCTCGCTCTCGATCCCCGCAACAGTCACCCGCCCGCCGCGACCGCGATGCGCCCCGCCAACGACACCGTGAACGCCGTCGCCGCTCCCCAAGCAATTCAGCCTCCCCGGATCGACGCAGACGTGGAGGACCGCGAAGGCGCAGTCCGGACTACGGTGACCGTGCTAGATCCATTACCCGCAGTCATGCATCCCGCTCACGTTCCCCCAGAGGAGACCGCCGCAGACGAGACGCCTCTCGTTCCAGATCTCCCTCTCGCTCCCGCCGTCCAGGAAGATCCAACAGGACCCGTGACCGCGACCCTCGACGCCTGAGCCGCAGTCACAGTCACAGCCGAAGTCGTAGTCACAGCCGTGACCGTCGCCGTGATACTCGCAGGCGTCGCAGTCCCAGTGGTAGCCGGAGCCGGAGCCGAAGCCCGAGGAAGGACACGAAGCGTCGACGCTCAATGGATAGATACAATCCTACGGAAAGGAGCCAGCGTAGCAAATCTCCTGTATCCTCACCCGATGAGAAACGACGCAAGAAGGCTGATGAAGATGAGGAATATACCAGACGACCTTCCAAAGCAGATGATCAAGATATGAAAGATGCTGATGAGGTTGGTCATTGAACGTCGAATCCACCCTCAATCTACACCTCTCTCGAGACATATTGATATCTTGTCTGATGTTTGTTTCCCAATTCTACCCCGAACACATGTTACCTCCTTTCCGGCTTGACTTTTTCAATAACTAATACATAATTCCTCATCTAGAAATCCGAAAAACCAGTCTCCAAGCGGTTATCTTCAACGGAATTTCGAGAGAAATTACTCCGTGAGAAAATCCTCGCTATGCGTCGTTCTAGCGACAAGGTGAGCAGCTCACCGAAGATGGACAAGCAGTGAAAACATCCAAATCATTGACAGAGGGCTTCTCAAAACGTTTGAAAAAAAAGTGAAACGAGTTCATTTAGCGCCGTACAATTAGCAATTGCATGTAGGAAGATCTTGTGACATTTCGTCTTTCCAGAGAAATAGCGGTAAGAGAACTTTTTGCATGATTCAATATATCTAGTAGAATTCAGCTCTATAAAACAAGCAAGTAACCAAATATCGATACATGAAAGGAATGTACTCCATTAAAGGGAAAGAAGGTATATGCCAAGTCATCAAAATATATGCCAAGGGAGCTTCATCCGTACCATTATCCGAGCCTCCTCTCAACAAAACCACACATACAAGAATGATCAGGTTTGAACCTCCACAAGCAGATTAGAATTATAATAAGATATCTACAGACAGGACAGAGGCAGGGACGACAGATTCCCAAGGGGGCGGGATGTGCGCGAAGTCCATGAGACCACCCGGTCAACCACTCCCCAAGGGGGTGAAGGTCATCTTGTCATGAAAACCAGAGAAACGCAAACAAAAAGTTAAGGAAATTCTTTCTCAGTGGGTATGAGGTGAGAAACAAGTGTATTGTTCCGTTTACTCGTCGCAGCCACAAACGGTGGCGGTGACGGTAGCGGTAACGGTAGTGACGGAAGAGGCCACGGCCGGGGCGGTGATGGTAGGGACGCTGCCAGAGCCAGTCTCGCAAGGAACAGTGGCGGAGATGGTGGTCTCCTTGGTCTGGGTGTAAGCCCAGCTCTCGGTCCATGAGCCGCCAGTGGCAGCGGGTCCGCTGGGGACGACGGCAGTGCCGGTAGGGCTGACATCGGAGTTGGAGGGGGCGGGGCCGGAAGCACCACCGGAAGGAGCAGGGGCACCGGGAATGACGGTGCTGGAGATCTCCTCGCTGGTCAGGGTGTCACAGGGGGTGGTGGTCTCGCCAGCACCGGGGGCAACGGGAGTGCCGGTAGGGCTGACACCAGAGGGAGAAGGACCGGAGGCACCGCCGGAGGGGGCAGGGCCAGAGGCAGCAGGGCCACTGGGGACAGGAGTGCCGGTAGGGCTGACGTCGGTGTTGGAGGGGGCGGGGCCGGAAGCACCACCGGAAGGAGCAGGGGCACCGGGAATGACGGTGCTGGAGATCTCCTCGCTGGTCAGGGTGTCACAGGGGGTGGTGGTCTCACCGGCACCGGGGGCAACGGGAGTGCCGGTAGGGCTGACACCAGAGGGAGAAGGACCGGAGGCACCACCGGTAGGGGCAGGACCAGAGGGAGCGGGACCAGAAGCACCACCGGAGGGAGCGGGCATACCGGGGATCACAGTGCTAGAAACGTCAACGCCGGTGAGGGTGTCACAGGGGGTGGTCTCAGGGCCGGAAGGAGAAGAACCGCTGGGAGAGGAGCCGCTGGGAGCAGGGCCACTGGGGACGGAGCCAGAGGGAGCAGGCCCCGAGGGAGAAGATCCAGAAGGAGCAGGGCCGCTGGGGACGGAGCCAGAAGGCGAGGAACCGCCGGGGATCACAGTGCTGGAAACATCAACGCCGGTGAGAGTGTCACAGGGGGTGGTCTCAGGTCCGGAAGGAGAAGAGCCGCTGGGAGCAGGGCCGGCAGGGACAGAGACAGAGACGCTAGCGCCGGGGCCGCTGGGGACGGAACCGGTAGGGCTGACACCAGAGGGAGCAGATCCGGAGGGAGCAGGGCCACTGGGGATGGATACAGAGACGCTGGCGCCGGGGCCGGAGGGGACACCAGTGCTGGAAACGTAGGGGGTGCTGGAAGGCAGGCTGGGGACCGAAGACGATTTGATGCCGGAGGGAGCACCGGGAATGGAGCAACCAGTGAACCACTCGATAATGATGAGCTGGATGTTGACGTCAATCTCAAGGCCAGTGCAACCACCGAGGAAGGCAGCGAGCTCAGCGCGAGCAGACAGGGAGATAGCCTCGAGGCTGCCACCGGAAAGGATGACGGAGAGGGCAGCACGGAGGTCGACGCTGAGGCTGGAGAGGAGCTCGGTGAGGAGACCAGTCACATCAGTAAGGACACCGCCGACGAGGTCAATGGAGACGGAGGCATCGACACCGAAGGACAGCCAGAAGAGAACGACAGCCTTGAGCTCGACACCGAGCGAGCAGTCGGAGCCGGAGAGCCAGATAGCGAGCTTGGTACGAATGTCGAGATCAACAGCAGTGGCGAGCTTGCCCTTAGCACAGGCCTCGAGAGCGAGCTGGACATCGGCACTGAGGTCGGCAGAGACATCGGCACCGAGGAAGGCAGCGAGGGAGGCCTGGCCTCCAACGGAGAGAATACCGGACTCCTCGACGTGAACGCCGACGGAAGCACCGACAGAGATGGTAGAGAGAGCAGCCTCACCAAGGGCACCGATCTCGACGAGACCGTGGCCATGGTGGCCGTTGATCCAGGCCAGAACGGAGACCTTGAGCTCAGCGCTGAGATCACAGTTGGAACCGTTGATCCAGGCGAGGAGGCTAGCCTTGACATCAGCAGTCAGACTAGTGACAACGCCACCAGCAGCGCAGGCATAGAGACCGGCCTTGACGTCAACATCAAGGCCAACAGCGGCCTCAATCCAAGCAGAGAGAGAGGACTGCAGGGAAGCACTCAGAACGAGAGCAGACTCGAGGGAGGAGGCACCGAAGATACCATCAATGGTAACGTAGAGCTGACCCTTGGCGGCGATATCGGCGCACGAGGGGATGTACACGGCAAGAGCAGCCAAGACATCAGCAGAGAGGACGAGCTCATCGTCACCCTCACACCAGGAGATCAGGGAAGTTTTCAAAGAGGCCTCGAGGTCAGCGTGGAGGTGCAGCCAGATCTTCAGGGCAGCACGGGCCTCGGCGTGAATGACACCAGCCTTGCAACCCAAGGCACCACCCTGAAGAGCGGCAGCACCCTCGGCTCCGAGACCAGCAAGGAGGGAAGAAGAGTGGCTGTGGTGTCCGCCACCGAGGACAGCACCTAGAATGGACGTCACGTCAACGGTGATATCGGAAACACCGCCGAGGATCTCAGCGAGGAGACCGAAAGTACGGCGCTCAACGGCCATATCAGTAGGGTAAGCGAGAGCCGAGCCCGCCAGACCGGCGAGCAGAACGAGAGAGGAACGCATGTTGAGATTTCGAATGTGTCGAATGTGTGATAACGAGTGTATAGGCCAAACGCTTGCAAAATACGAGGATATAAAGCGAAAGACCGGAAACGGACGGACAAGCCGTCAGATTAACGATAGACTGGGTAAAAGAAAGGTCCAAAAGGAAAGAAAGAAACAGTGATGAATATGCGAGAACGAAACGAGTGATCGACCTCAGGTTTTATACCCTCTGGTCTCTCCCGATGCCTGTGCCGGGACACTTCCGGCTCGATTCAAGCTACCGGGTCGGAATAGAAGCACACTGGCTCTACCCCGGCCTCGATGTCCACAATTGGAGTTATCTACCCCTTAGACTTCAGGGATGTCGAGAAATGGAGACCTGGATCTTTCACGGCCGGGTGGATCTTGCTAGAGGCCAGTGAGAAGCCAACAACAGATTGATTACAGCATAGGTGGATCACTTCTTGGGCGTGCTATTCTTGGGTACGGAGTCAGTGTATCAGGTTATTTTATTAAATCTAGATTTTGACTGTACCATTCTACTTTAAGTAGAGTTGAAAATGGCGGACTCATTTGGGAGTCCATTGAGCCCTAAGTGGATATCTTCTCTCAGAATTGAGCATCAATTCGCCCAAAAGACAAAGAAAAGTGCCCTCATAAAGCAAACACACCACGAGCAAGTGACATGATGCCAAGTCGAAAGGGGCAAAGACGACTGCCCATCACTACGCCATGCGATGATCGCCTCGAGGCCGGAAAAGATCGTCCGGACCCGCCAACGGCGTATTGTTTCAAAATAGACAAATCCATTTTTCCACATTTTTAGCAATTAGTGTTCCCTTTCCCCTTGAGAATGAACTGCTTCCAATGGGGTTGGAGTCGAGTCGAACAAAATCTAAAGTACCTACTTAGGTATAACCCAGAAACGTCTGCAGGGGTAAGTATATGCGATTTGGAGTGGCCCGTTGCGAATCCACCCATGATCCACAACCGCGGGGAATTAGACCAGGAACAGACTACAGGCTCTTGACCGTATTAGGCAAAGATAAACAGGTCGGATTTGGCTTCGCAGTCAGACAGACCTGTCAAATCAAGACTCTTGGCTCCCCTGCTGCACCACCAAATCCAATGGCTCTAACCCGTCAGCCACCAACTGAATTTTGGTCTTGCTGATTGTGGATGTACTAACTGACTAGTGGAAGAAGAAAAAACAACACTCGGGTTTATATCTACAATCGTATAGTTTAATATCTTAAGGTCCACGGTCGCCCATGGTTCAGCAATAATGTGAAGAGACACGGTTACGGACAATGCAAATACTCAACGCTATCAAATCACAGACAACAATATACCCGTCTGGTCTCCACCGTGGGGTGAAAGTCATGGGTAGCAAAACAAGGACAAGCAACATCTAGACCCTCGAGGTAGAGCTGCCTGCACTAGCAGTAGAGCTGTCTGCACTAGCAGACGCCACCGGGTCAGAATTGTAACGACGGTGAAAGTGTATTAAGCACAATTCAGCATAGCGAAACTCCACTTCGGGCGTAGTGCGGTGATCCATAAGCACAAATAAGAATAAATTGTAGTGAATTTTCAAGTGGGAACTAATATTCAGACGCCCTAAAAAAGCGTCCCTGGACTAGCGTGACATGGTGGCGAATGGTGTGTTTTGGGAGAAGCCCTAAGGGGGGATCCACCAACCTCGACATAAGGACCTAAACGAAGCACGGAAAGGTCGGAAGGATTTCGCAGCCTACTCCGTACATGTACATAGTGCCTCAAGCTTCCTTCATCGTACGATCCACTAACTACCATCTTCAAACCACGCTAACCAGTGCCTCTTCCCCCCATTCTCTGGCACCGGTTCGTCTAGCCAGTAGAACTCCAATCTTGACGCGATC